TTTCAAATATAAATCTATATATTTTTAAAAAAGAATGTACTAAATTAGATAAATATATCCTATTACTACTGCTATTACTACCATTACTACTTTATTTATTTTATACATAATTAGTTTTCTTAATAAATCGATATAAATCTAATCATTAAATTATTTAACTAACTTTTTTAATTTGATCTAGAGTATCTTGAAATATAATATATACAACATTGTTAAAAAGAGGTAATATCTAGCTTTTTAATATTAAGATTCTAAATAAAATTATCATAATATTAAAAGATTTATTAAAATCAATCAATGGTTTTACCGTAACTCTTATAGGTAATAAGCTTATCATAAACTTGCTTATGTTTAATGGAGCTAGTATAATATATAGTATTCATAAAGTACAATAATATATAATTATTAATTTATATATTGATAATTTCTTTTTGAATATCTTCATAAAAGTAGACGAAGTTATTTAAAGTTTAATAATCTGGTTTCAAAATAAATCTTTATTAGGAATTGTCTTATAGTCTTATTAATTATTAATTGTATAATAACCCCCTTTGATATATCTTTACTCTCGAGATATTATTTCATCTACCTATTATATATTATAGAGACTATAATTATATCTAAAATATCTAATATCTATAAAATAAAATTCGCCTTAATTACGATATATATATATATAGCCTCTTCTTATTGTCTTCTTTTTTAGAAGCTAACTTTTATAATTAATAAATGAAGCTCTTTAAGGTTAATACCTAAAAGTCTTTAAAAGATCCTATTAAGAACTAATTCACTAAAGAGAAAAGAGAAGTATCTTATTATAGATTATATACTCACATTTTATTAGATCTTCTGTTATCTTAAAATACAGGATAAATTATTTATCTAAACTTATAATATTTAGGCTTATCTTCCTCTATATTTGATTTATTCAAAATGCTAATATAGTTATCTATATAAGTTTCTTTAACTATGACACTCTTTATCTCGTACCTAAGTAGTCTAATAATAATAACCTTAGTGAATTATACTTAGAATTATCCTAAAATCCTATAATACCTTATACCTCTAATACCTCCTCTTATAGTATATATTATAATAGGCCTTTATCTTAATCTAGCTATATAGAAAGTAACATTAGAAATTAGCTTAAACTAGGATTTAAATAACTTTATAATAATATATATATATATATATCTTTATTAGAGAATTAAGTCCTTATGTATTCTCTAAGTTTATACTTTATCCTTTCTAAAGAGTTACTATTTATACCTCGATTTTACTAATCATACCTTAACTTTACTAAACATATCTCGATTTTACTAATTATACCCCCTTATAAAATAGCCATCTAGTTTCTAATTATAGCTATCTACGAAACTATTATGGCCTGAGTCTTCCCTCTATTAATATTCCTACTCTACCCCTCTAGCTATACACTTTTATTTTAAATATAGCTAATATATGACTTTTATTAGTATTCTCATAATATATATAAGAATAATACATCTAATCTATTTTTAAGTTTGATTTCTATCCCTCTTTCTCCTACGCCAACTCTAAATTCTTAGATTCTATTATTATAATCCCCTAAGGATTATATCTTATTATAAGTTAATAATCTTAAACTATAATAATTTATAACTAGTTAATACCTCTATGTATCTTATAATTTAATTAGTACTTACTCTATAAGGCTCTACTTAGTTATCCTATTTATCTCTTCTTTTAACTACTTTAATATTTATTTTTATAGAGTAAAGACCCTTTAATTAATTAAAAATTTATATAAGATATATAGGAATAAAAGCTTCTTACTTTTCTTATTATTATATAGCTTCTATTTTAACTAGTTAAGTACCCTAAATTCTATAGCCTTATTAAAATAGCCTAAACTATCTTAATATACCTTAAGATCCCCTTATAAAAAGCTATTTAACACTAGCTATATATTATAGTAAAGAAGAGATAATATATACTCTAGAACTTACTTATTAGATCTAAGATATTAATTATACTTAATTATTAGATATCTCTATTCTTATAGATATATTAATAGCTATTCTATTAATAAGGACTAGTAACTATATTAGATATAGAATATAGTCTTTTACTTATCTCCCTTTTTAATTTTAATAGAGTAGTAGGTATCCTATATATTAAGCTTAGAGAAGTACTAGGCGCCTAAGATCTAGTTAAGAATCTCTAAAATAAGAGATAATAGATACTAATTCTTTACTATAATATAATTTAGTCCTTAGTAGTTAATATATAAATAAAGGCCTCTATCTTTCTTTAGTATAAAAAGGATAGAAGCTCTAGCGGGGCTCTTTAAAGCTTAAATTTATCTATTCTTAATATTCTTATTAATATATTCTTATAGAATATATAGCTTATTCTAGGATAATAGGTAGATTAGTCTATAGGGTACTTTAGTACCCTCTATAAGATTAATTATATAGTTAGTTAACTTCTAGGGTAATAGAATTTTAGACTTATAGGTAGAGAAGATATCCTAGAACCCCTTAAATTTAGGTAGGATTTATTCCTCTTCTATTACTATCTTATTATCTCTAGGTAATAGGATAGCCTCTAGTAATTATATAATTATAAAGATATAGGCTTTATTCCTATAGGCCTTAGTAAACTTCTAAGGGCTATAAATATTAAAATTTATTAATATAAACTACTATTCTTTCTTCTATAGGATAAGATATATTTAATAGTCTATTAAGGTAGTTATAAATAAGAGAATAGGGCTCTTAATTAGGGTAGGATCTTAATCTATAGCGATATATAGGTATATAAATAAGCGAGTAGCCTCTTAGGAGTCTTAAAGTATTATAGATATATAAAAGATACTATAGCTAGGAATATTAAGGTTTCTAGCTACTTTTAGGGTAGGAATTATAAGTTTTTCTTATTTAAAATAATAGAGTTTAATAAATTTAAAGCTAATATAATTAACTTTAGCTCTACTATTAAAGTCTACTTAGACCTAGATAAAGTCCTTAATTCTAGTATAGATATAGAGTTATATTATAATCCCTATTACTAGATAGGGAGTTAGATTAATAGATTTTAGTCTAATTCCTTAACTTTTATTAATTTACTAGTAGATAAGGCCTAGATTAATTATAGAAGATTAAGATATTTATTTATAAAGTAATTAGTACTTTTATAGATATTATAAAGTATAGTTTTCCTATCCCTTTTAATAGGGTTTTAGTATATTTTTAATTAGTTATTAGTATTTTAATTATAATATAAAGTATTCCTTAGAGATTAATTCTTAGTATTATTACTCTATTAATATCTTATATAGTTAGATTAATTAGGTTAGTCTTAGTTTTCCTAAGATTTACTATTAGCTCTAAATTACTTAGTATCTTAATCTTATTCTTTCTAGGATTTACTATTAGAATACCCTTATTTCTAGGCTAGAGTAGGCTTAATTAGGTTCTAGTAATATACTATAACTTTAACTATTTCTTTATATTAATTTAGTAAAGATTAAATATAATAATAGATCTTATCTTTTAGAATTAGTTATAGTTTAGTAAAGAAGTTTAAGATATAATTTTCCTCTAACTTATATTTAAGATATTATTCTAGTAAGTAGAGGTAGATATAGAAATCTTAGGGATCTTAGGTAACTAACTAATATACTCTTTCTAGCTAATCCTAGATATTTATATAAATATTAGTAGCGTTCTAAATTAGGGATAGGTTTTAGTCTTTAAAAAAGCTCTAGGTTTTAGTAGCTTTTTAGTAGTCTTCCCCTTACTTTTTAGATATATATTTAAACTATTTTATTTAGTAAGATAACTCTATAAAGCTTAGAGCTTCTAGAATCTTAGTTTTATTATTATAGTAGTAGTATAGAGTAGCTTAGAAGATAAACTTAAGATTAATTAGCTATTTATAGCGCTTCTATATAGAGAATCTTATATTAAAGGATAGAATATTATTAATTTTAATATTAATATTCTTTAGTACTAAATTTATAGTAAATTAGGGGTAATTAGATACTAGACCTAGGGGTTTAAGCTAATAGAGACCTATCTTAAGTTTAGTAATCTTTTTATAGGCGGCTTTAATCTACTTAAGCTACTAGATATAGAGGTTTATTACCTTAAGGATTACTATAAGGTCTTCTTCTAGGGTTATTACTCTTACTTAGGTTAGGGTCTCTATAGCGGGGGTGCTAGTGGCTCTCGCGGAGTAGGTTCAGCGGGTATTCGCTATCTTTCCTTAGGTAGTTAGGGGGTTAGAAGGATTAGAATTATTAAGGTAAGGTAATTAACTAGGTAAGGTTTAAGATATCATATATAATTTAACTATAGAATAGACAGAGACTAATTCTTAAGGAATCAACTAATTCCTTAAGTATACTAGATATATACATGATAGGGCAGAACCCTAAGTAAGTGAGTCATGCAGGTGCTTTTCGGGGGGAGATCGGGCATGATTAGGTAGCGTCTCGGCCTATCCTGATATCATGCCCTAATAACGAGGTTACACCGTAATAAAAACTTTAGTGAGTTTTTTATTATTTTTTTATTTTATATAAAATCTGTTATAGATTAAATGTATTCCATTTATAATTTATTATAATCTTAATATAGACTAGACTATGATTTTATTTCATTTTTAAATATATAATTATTACTTTACTTATAAGTTCTTATTATACTAAATTATTTCTTTACTACTATATATCCATCTATTATATCTATAAGCAGCAGCTATCATTACATGCGACCTACCTAAATAAGAGCACAGCCCTAACATTAGTTTCATAGCTTAAATCAAAGCTCCACAGGAGGTAAGACGAAGCGTACTCGACAATCGTAGGCGAGGATTAGATAGGCTACTAATTTACAGGAAGAAACGCGCTAGCGGGAGAGCCCTAGGAAGAGCGGACTCGAAGGTGGATGATACAAAAAGCAATAGAAAAAGACCTTAGATGTCCCTACCTAAAGATATGAATGCCATTCACCTCAGGATAGATCCCCCATAATATCCTCCTCCATTTCCAAGCCAGCACCCCTACCTAGAGATGGGTTTATAACTGTAGCACTAGGCCATGCTTGTTGGCCTTTCACCACATTATCAATGAATTCATCACTTAGACCTAGGCCAGTACTATTTTCTTCCACACCACCAAAGAGGGACTTAAGTAACTGCTCCTCCCTTTCGAGCTGTGTTTGCATCCTGGTCTCACGAGAGACCTCTGGAAGAGAGGACAAATCTGCGAAACGTAACATTGTATCCTTAGAATGAAGGTCAGACTGTACCAATGTCACATCTATAGCATCAGACGCAATAAGTGACGCTAGGTTGGCTTCATCAACCCCATTAACATCCATAGGTGATGGTGATATGTGCGACCGAAGCTCTGTCATAGTTAAGGCTGCAAATACCTTCTTGGCCTTGATCAATGAATGTGTTGAGTATGCATTGACTACCTGCCAAACAAGGCCCGTGTTATTGTCCTTATCAAAGGCGATTAGTTTTAAGAGCACACTAAATAGTAAATCGTGAAGTATAAAAACGATTGCACTCACCAGACGCCAAATATCTCGACCAGCATCTACTTCCGCCTCTAGCATCTTCATATCCCCACGCTCAAAAGCTTGAGCGACGTTGACGTAAGGTTTGGCCAGGGATTGGAATGTTTTGACCACATGAGGTGCAGTTATACTCGGAGGTGGACACAGCTAATGGAGGCAAGAATCAGCTAGGTCGAGATTTAACCATACACAGAAGATGGAATACGGTCACTCACCTTGCCCTTCTCGAGTAGTCCTACCAGTATCCATTTTTTATAGGCCTCGACCATTATCATGCTCACAGAGCCCATGGTAGGCATAGAGATCACAGTGCCCAAGAAATGTGATGCCTTGCGCCACTCTTTTAGCGCCAAATAGATCATTCCGCCATAGAGAAAGTACCGCAGGTAGTCTCTGTATGATATCTTAGACGAAAGACCCGTGGTCTCATTCATGAACAACAGACTTGATCTGTGCTCTGCACAGAGCATCGAAAGAGAGTTGGACGAAGCACGGCTCGGGAGCGCAGGAATATGGCGTATGTGCTCGTCCAACACTGGCAAAGCACAGGTATACGCCTTGGCCGCAAGACAAAGCTGGGCTAGAAGTACGTGGGTTGATGTCAAGACAGCACAGGATGGATCAAGTCGTAATAATGCACTTTGGATCAGTGGTGCAGCCAAGAATGGCTATTTAAAGTCAGTCGACCTGATAACCATCAGATGAGTCGAAAAAGCCTTTACCTTTGAAGCAGCTTGCGCAGCTTGTCCCATTGATTCGACCAATTGAAGCCATTCGTGACCGACATACCTGACTTGGATAGGTTCAAATTCTTCTAGATAATGCGCCGACTTTGACCATAGTGTTCCGAACGGGAGTAATTCTTTTGGTAGGGTCCCACCAGACGTTTCCCGTAGGGTGTGGATCTGGAGATGCAGAAGAAATAGGTAGGTTATAGAGTCCTTCCGGGGATCAAAATGCTAGATAAAATAAAGTCAGTTGACCAGCCTTAAAGTGCTATGAGAAGAGGCAAAGTGGAGATCGTGTTGACTCGCATTTAAGAGTGCCTGATCGTAAGCAATGGAGCCCAGATCTTTCTTCGACATCAATTGCCGGACATATGCAATATGGTCACGTAGCCGGCGGTCGTAGTCCTCATTTGAAAGGCTAGTTGGATCATGGAGGGCTGCCGATGCCGCGACAAGGTCGGTGACGATAGACATGCTGGCGCAGAGCCCGATGCCACGTACTGTGAGTGGGGCTGATTCGTCTTGGATGGAGATTAATGGCTAATGTGGTCTTGAGAATCGGTGAGAATTCCTATCTTAAAGAAAGGGAACAGTGGCAGGAAATGATCGTGTGTTCGAGGATCCATTTACCGATTAAGCCTGAGCAAGGAGCAGCTCGGGAGAAGCTATGGAAGTGGAGATGGGAAACTATAGTGGCGTTCCATGAGTTTGAAACGAGTCCCCCACTTATTACATAATATTCTGCCACCTTTTCTTTGAACCAAAACCTCACACTCTGTAATAGCACTAAGAAGTTTGAAGCACCCTGAGACCCCGCCTCTTCTGCTACCTTATATACATAATTCCCCGCTTTTTGAACGCCCTTTTACACACTAAGTGTGTAGTAGGAGTTGAATAACCTAAAGGCTAGTGAATATTATGTAAAGTCTTATACAGAAGGTGGCTGATAATAATAGGCAGTGAAATAGCTGCTGATTATATTAACAGCTTGAAGACCCAGTCAGATATATTGCTAAATATATTAAGTACCTACTATGCCATCTATCATTGCTACCAAAAACATGATTCAGAATATTATTGTTAGCCTGACACAAACAATAGACGGTCTAAAATAGTGGTTTCAAACTCATGCAACACTATTATATGTTCCCCACACCGCTCCGATTGTGCCCCTCGTCTTGACTCATGGATTAGTACCATCTTTTTTTTCCCTTCCGCCCCAAATTCTGTGTCTTCTTTCTCGTCAGTAATTTTCTCCCTGAAACATTGATCACCATAAGCAGGACAATGTCATTGACCGAGTCTGCCGCGGTGGATGTGGCTCGTAGCGCGTCCCTCGCGTCTCGCAAACTCGCAATCCTCCCCGATGCGGCCCGGAACGAAGCCCTGACGGCACTTCACAAAGCCTTGGATGAGAACCGGGCGACAATTCTTGCAGCCAATGCAAGGGATGTGGAGGCTGCTACTCTTGCCGCCGACAGCGGCGACCTGAACCACAGCGTTTTGAAACGATTGGATCTGTCTCGGCCCGGCAAATATGACGATATGTTAGAGGGGATTTTGAGTGTCCGGGATTTGGAAGATCCTGGTGAGCTTATTTCGCACTATTCTCTCATGACCCCGCTCTCCCCTCAGAAGGGAAGGAGGTCTTTCTAATACCAGAATGCAACTAACCGCGCGAGAGGTATACAGTTGGCAAAATCACAATGCGGACTCTGCTTGATGAGGGTCTGACTCTGGAAAGAGTCAGCTGTCCTATCGGTGTCCTCCTGATCATCTTTGAGGCTCGTCCGGAGGTTATTGCAAACATCGCTGCCCTGGCCATTAAGTCAGGCAATGCTGCAATCTTGAAAGGTAATCCCTTCTGCCCACTTGAAGGAGTGAGGCAGCCATTATTGACACACTCGAAATAGGTGGAAAGGAATCCCTTGAATCATTTGTGGCTATTGCAAATGTTGTGTCTGATGCCATTGCTGGCTCCCCAGTGCCAGTAGCGTCAATCCAACTTGTTAAGACCCGGGATGCGGTTTCGTCTCTCCTGGCCCAAGATTCGCTCATTGATCTTGTGATCCCCCGAGGCTCCAATGAACTAGTACGGTTTGTGAAGGACAATACCAAGATCCCCGTTCTTGGACACGCCGACGGCCTCTGCTCCGCCTACATTCATTCGGATGCCAACATCCATACGGCAGTCAAAGTGATCGTGGATTCCAAAACGGATTACCCGGCTGCTTGCAATGCGTTGGAAACATTACTTGTGCATGAAGATATCTTAGACTCCATCTTCCCCGTCGTTGCAACCGCTCTTCTTGACAAGGGAGTCTCTCTTCGATGCGATGAGGCATCTAAAGCGGCCTTGTTGAAGGCTTTGCCGGCGGAGAAAAGTACTGGGGTGCTACTAGCTACGGAGGCAGATTATAACACCGAATTCCTGGACTTGGTGTTGGCTGTCAAGACCGTCCCTTCTATGGTACCTCCAACCTCAGCTGTCGAGGCCGCCATCGAACACATCAACCTACATTCGTCCAAGCACACCGAAATCATCCTGACCGAGTCCCGAGAGCTGGCGAACTTGTTCATGAGTGGCATCGACAGCGCTGGGGTTTACTGGAATGCATCCTCCCGCTTTGCCGATGGAATGCGCTATGGGTTTGGGACAGAAGTGGGCATTAGTACCAACAAGATCCACTCTCGGGGCCCCGTCGGGCTCGAAGGCTTGACCATTTATAAATACTTGATCCGGGGCAATGGTCATGCAGCTGGAGACTACCACGATGGGCCCGGCGGACGGAAATACGTCCATTCCAAACTACCCTTTTAGTGTCAGGTTAAAGCTCTAGTCCTACATAGATTCTACCAAAAAGCCAATGAATACAACGAATTTTTTTTTCCTTTTTGAAACATTTCGCAGTCGTAGAAAAGATGAGGACTAAGCCGGATGCATTTTTCTTTTGCGCCCCCTTCCATTCGTAAATTTCTGATCTCGCCACCCAATTAAAGACATGTTGCCTCTTTAGGTACATCGACTTGGCTCTCCAGCCAGACATAGCGAGATAACCAGACACTCCATGATTCCGTGCGATTGGAGATTCGCCGGAAGACAAACGCACAGCAAAATCAGTGCCTGTACCACTATCTCCCGAAAGCCCTTTAGACCTTGAAACCCTTGGAGCGTCTGCGACCACGGGCCCGCTCGAACTTCCGGCCCTTGCTGGCAACGTAAGGCTTCTGTAGAGATGGCAGATAGGTTAGCATGTCAGATTCGACTTTGATAGAACAATTGAGCGATAGAATACTCGACGCACCTTGTGGGAGTGGGGGCCGAAACCGAAGTGCTTAACAGCCTCGCGGGCGTTCTTAGGGCCGCGCAGGAGCAGGGTGTTGGCACCGGTAGGGGCACGGAGGGCGAGCTGGTCCAGAGTCAGGACCTCACCACCGGCCTTCTCGATACGGGCACGGGCGGTAGCGGTGAAGCGCAGAGCAGCGATGGACAGCTTGGGGACGGACAGAAGGCGGTTATCATCGGTAACGGTACCAATAACGACGACGGTCTTGCCCTTCTGAGTCTCGTTGATGTTAGAGGCGACACGCGAGATCGACACGGGGGGACGGTTAATGCGCGACATGAAGAGACGACGGAGAACCGCCTTGTTGAAGTTGGACTCAGTGCGGCCTATCAGAGATCCCAGATCAGTATCGGTTCGAACACACAAATTGCCTCCACACGTGCGGTGTTGCAGATTGGCAGAGTTGGAAGATTTCGATGGGGATTCATACGAGCAAGGAAGCGGTAAAGCTTCACGAGCACCTGCAAGTAAACGTTCTCGCTCTTAGGAGCCTTGCGGTGGCTGCTGCGCACATGGTGCCGGTCCAAGTCGATACCTAAAATTTTCCAATATCCGTCAGTCCTGGAGGGATTTCAAAAGGAACAACGACATCATTATATTCAACGATGGCTGCATTCACAGCGACGAGTCTGAGGGATCTGGAATGGTAGCACATACCCATGGCTGCTGGTATGAATTGAACACCTGGAGTTAGCTTGCTGTCGCACCCGTATGGAAACTGCAGGAGGTTTTTGGTCTTGGACTTTCGGCTGCGCGGGTGTGTGTGGGTTGAGCCCTACACTAACCCAGATTTGGCAAGAAACGAGTCACGTGTAGCTATGTATTATGTAATCGGACTGAGATTTGTAGTCACCTGATTGCGTCCGATTGATCCAAGTGGCAATTTCTCCGCTTAACGGTGTCCACCCACATTCTACTGCACTGTACAGTAGTCTATGTTGTGGAGTCCATATGTACATCACACAAGGTGGTGATAATATAATCATATGCACTTTGGATTGAGCAAGATTTTGTAGCAAGAGACTCAATTCAAAACGATCCACAAGTATTTGAGATTGCTCAACCCGAAGACGGAAATTGTATTCTACCTCGTCTAGATGTACTTGACGCTGGAATTATAACAGGGCTGAAATAGGCAGGAAAGGAAAACTTTATATACAGATCCCCCTCTCCCCCAGATGTGACATGGAAGGGAAGGAAAAGAGAGGGGATAGGAAGAGGGTATATATGCCAAATGGTCCCCGAAAAGAGATGAGAACAACGCTCATCTAGGTATCTTGCACTAATCCTTATCCTTATCCCCGAGACTGACAAGGAAATCCCGCGTCAATTCAAAGCTGAGCCAGCTGCTGGCCATGCTGGGTGCGACTTTCAGGAGATTTGGCCCAATCCCTTTGAAGAGTCCCCGCAAGCCCTCCTGTGCCACAATCACTCGTATGGCATCCCAGATCGATTTATACTGATACCCCATTCCGGACATGGTGTTGATTTGGAAGCGTCGTCGCAGAACGTCACTAGTTCAGAGATTAGTCTTCACCTTGTATAAAACACAGATAGAGGAGACAGAAAACGAAACATACAAGGGATATGTGCATGTTTGGGCCACTGCCCCGGAGATTGCACCGGCCAGCAGCTTCCGCCACGGGCTTGGGTTCTTTTCTCCATCTGGTGTCAAATATGTTCGCACCGATTCGTAGGTCATGAAGTTCAGCCCCACCTGCGACTATTAGCAATGACGTCCAAGGAAAACCCGGTGGAAGATAGTGAAGATGCTCACGTAAGGCGCTACTCCAACAACGGTAGGCGCAATGCCACGATAGAGGGCGATTGTGCCACCCTCATTCTTGTAAATTGACACCATGGTGGTGAACATGCCTGGCAGTTTCTGGGCGGGGTCTCGGTTTCCAAGGTCGGCAAACGAAGCAGACTGGATGGAAAGTCGCGTGCGAACAATGTCCAAAGGGTAGGTAGAAGTCACGGACGTTATGCCAGCAGCAGCACCGCATAGGAGGCGGCGAGCCGGTGACATATCACCATCAGGAGACTCAGCGAACTGCGACGGCATCAGTCATCAATTCAGATGTCTACCGCAGGGGCGGCACTTACTTTCTTGTAGAAATTATAGCTTCCAAATTGGACCGCAGAGTAGGGGATGATACGAATACAATTCGTTCCATTACCGCGCATGAACCCTCGCCAGCCTTCCTCTCGGCCCATTTTCCCTAGGGCCTTCCATATGGAGAGTTTGTATTCTTCACGTCCCACGCTTTGGATTTGCAGGAGGATTTTCAAGCGCTCCAGTGGTGATACAATGGTCCGGGAGACTGCGCCAGCCACTCCACCGGCCATGAATGCGGCAACAACCGGCTCGGCAACCTTGTTTCTCGCTTGACCCAGCATTGATGGCGGCCGAGGAATAGACTCCTAGGTGAAGACAAGTAATCAGCCTAAAGGACGTTTTAAATTGGGCTTGAACGCCAACATACCATGGCCGCATTTTGGGGTAATTGTAAGCCCTGCAACGCAGGTTTCGCCGCATCATCCACACCACCGGATTGTGTACCATTTTGACGATTAAGGCTCATTTTGGCAGCATATGCTTTGAAGATAGCGGGTTCGCAGCTTTGAAAATAAAAGATACGCTACCAGCGATATATCGAGCTCCTTTCACTCTCGTGCACCCGAGTTCCTCAAATCCAGTCCTTGTATGCGGGGAAGGGCGCGAATGAAGTTTCGAATGACTGGTCGTCAGGTAGGAATTCAATGTTCCCCCACAAGAAGATTAGCGCCTGTTCTAGATTCAATGTGATTAATGCTGGCCATGAAGCTTGTCTGTGATTGTCACTGGCGAATGCTTTATAGGTCCATGCTTCCGTGGATTAACAATAATGTCTTTTTTGGAGGAATCCACTGGCTCGATTGAAGTACTGGAAAGTGTGGGTAATCTCAAAAGGTGCCAAAAAGACCGCGGTGAGGGTGGGTTGCGTCTCCGAAGACAAAGGGGGTGTGAGAGCTGAATTTCTGCCCCGAAAGGTTCAAATTGATCGATCTGTCGATTTGGTCCAGAGCAGGGAAGGGTGACTTTGTCTGATAGAAGAAAGATTGGAAGCCTCGCCTTGTAGGGGGTTTCCAGGACAGATGGATTTTTCAGAGAGGGTGCGTGAACTGAGCTTCAAAGTGGAAGAGAGTTGAAGGGTGAAATACAGAACATCATGCCGACTGCCGACATCTACGGTACCTCCCGATGGTGCCACACCTAAGATGGGAATATCAATTGTTATAGAGTATGAAAAAAAACATTCAGATAATTCAATAATATGTCTATGTTGATTAACTGATACACATATGTATATATATAACTCAATCATGTACAGACTCAATATCAATGCACATCATATCGTCATCATTCGATGAGCAACGACTTGTTTCGCTTTCATCATCGAAACATTCCTGCATACTTGGTCTCTATAGTCCGCCTGTCCACCGCCCAACCTCAAAGATCTCACTCTCTTCCGCTTCATCACCTTTTTTACTCTGGACTCTCATCCTCGTGTTGCTCTTTGCACCATGTCTCGATCAGGAACCACCCTTTATGTCACCGGCTTCGGCCACGGTACCCGAGCCCGCGACCTTGCCTACGAATTCGAACGGTACGTGACGCCCACATCCGCCGCCATGAACCCACGATCTTCGATATCCCTTTCTTCCCCTATACCCCCTTCAACACCATTCCCGACGCTACGATGAACTCCCTGTAAATCATGGAATGAAATTGCTTTGATGTTGGTAATTGGCTGTGTGTTTACTCTTGGGAAGTTACTTGGCAAACCTGTGAAAAGAAAAAGAAGACGCCCTTGGCCATCGGTCGGTCATGTGTCATGGCTGCACTCTCGTCTTGATATTTCAAGTTTTGTGCTGATACTTTCATTAGATATGGTCGCCTGGTTCGCTGCGATATCCCGGCCCCTCGTACTCCCTCGAGTCGACTGTAAGCTATAATCCCTGCCAATGTTGGATACATTCTAGGTTTCTAACCTGAGTCCTAGGTTCGCCTTTGTTGAATATGAGAGCCGTCGGGATGCAGATGATGCCTACCACGAAATGCACAATAAGCGCATTGGCCGTGATGACCTACTGAAAATCGAGGTAAGGTCAATTGTTCCATAATAGGGAGTTTGTAGCTTACATTTCCACTAGTGGGCGCGCACTCCGCCCTCTGCGTCGTGGCGGTTCGATTCTGGTCGCGACCCTGCCCGCGACCCTGCCCGTGATTCTGGTCGTGAGCGTCGCCGTGACCGTACCCCTCCTCGCCGTGGCCGCTCTCCATCGCCTCGCCGCAGCCGTGGTGGCGACTATTCTCCCCGACGTGACGACCGTTATGATCGTGACTACGATCGTCATGACCGGGATACCGATCGCCGTGACCGTGATGTTGACCGTCGAGACCGGGATGGTGACCGCCGCGATCGTGATCGCGAACGTTCTCGTGACCGTTCTCGTAGTCCCGACGACCGGGACCGCGATGCTAAGGATGACCGGGAACGACGCGATGATGATCGGGAACGCCGCGATGACGAGCGTGAGAACGTCCCGAATGGTGAAGACAGGAAAGGTGTGTGGAGCTCTCACCCTCAACGTAAAGGTTGTAACTCATAATCAACAGTACCCCTGGACCCCGTGCCTGCTGCTCATGATGAGCTTGATACTGCTGAGTAGATCAACTCAGTGCCTGTTTTGTTGAGTCGCACCCCTCTTCCCAGGAATTCGTGCCGATCGTCTCGCATCTCTACATTGGTGCCAGTAGTCGTTGATCAAACGAAGAGGGGTGTCACCAGAAAATTTGGCTCTGGCTCCTCCTGTCGCACATGTCGAGTCATTTCTTCCTTGATTCCCCTATTCCGCCAAAGTTTGATCGTGCGGTTCTTTCTGGCTAGGGTTTTCGTGACGGCCCTTAACCCCGTGTTTGATTTCTTTTTGTGGTTGTTGGTATTTATCCTGGTCAGCAGCTCGGATTCCATCGAAACGAACGACGAGCGATCGTGCTTTAAGTCCTCGCCCGTCTCTATATCTCTCCCTCTCTACTATCGTCCTAGCGTTTCCCTCGATGAATACCGACCGGCCCCCCGTCTTATTCGCAGATTTTAATTCCACACCGGTTCTCCATATTCCACGCCCCGCCCTGTTCGACCGGTCGGAGTCTGTCAAGGCAGTTTGTTCATTGCCTCGGATTTTGTAGATTTATTGTATGCATTCAATCCACTTGTAATGAACCAAAGACATCAGTCTCCAGCTTCATGACCTCTTTCCCATGTTGCAATAGTGGAGGGTTTTGAACTACATCTTCTTGCTCCCAGTACATTATCAGTGCGAAAGGAGAATCCCCCTGCGTTTCTATTGCAGCCAATTTGCTCCTCGGCCACCAGGGAGAATCGCTGAAGCTCACTGATGCGATTCGGCCTAGAGAGCCGTGGTTGCATTTTAAGATCGTTTGAGACTCGGAAATTGAAACACTGGGTTTGCAGTGGCTTTCAATGCCCCTATAGTCTACATTCTCGTATTATCACAATTCTAATTACACTTCTACTAGTAGCTAGACGAATAGTTATAGCCATGACGCAATTGTGACTAAGCTACAGAATAGCTATATATCTAATTTGCGGGGGATACCTTATCTCTTCCTGTTGGACTTCTTATCAACCCATCACCATGGAAAGGGCAGAGAACAAAGGCATTAGCATTGCTATCGATGTATGTGTCTTATGATATCATTTATATCCCCTTCCGGTTCCCCATTCCTCTGATATTCAGCTGACCTAACCTCTAGCGCGGTGGCACCTTCACTGATTGTGTGGGAAATCCGGGAACGGGTCGTTTAGAAGATGATATTGTGATCAAACTGCTCTCCGAAGATCCAAACAACTATCAAGATGCTCCTATCGAAGGCATCCGGCGGATTTTATCCAGGTTCACTGGCAACGAAATCCCGCGAGGGAAACCGATTGATACCTCTCTAATCCAGAGCATTCGAATGGGCACAACCGTTGCCACCAATGCATTACTAGAGCGCAAAGGAGAAAGAATCGCGCTAGTAGTGAGTAAGGGATTTCGAGATTGCCTTCAAATTGGTAACCAGTCACGCCCTCGGATCTTCGACCTCAATATCAAACGTCCGGAGGTGCTCTATGAAGAAGTGGTGGAAATAGATGAGCGTGTTACCCTGGAGGATTATGCAGAGGATCCTCAACGTCATATCACAACCACAAACCCACGAGGCAGCACTTCGTCTGATACCGAGATCGTCCGAGGCCTATCTTCTGAGGCAGTTCGCATCCTTAAGCGCCCCTCTGAAATCGTAGTCAAATCGCAATTACAAGAGGTATATGATCGAGGTATTCGCAGTATCGCAGTGTGCTTGATGCATGGATATACGTTTCCAGACCATGAGGCACTGGTGGGGCGTCTCGCAGGAGAGATCGGCTTCCATCATGTCAGCTTGAGTCATGAGCTTATGCCCATGATCAAGCTCATCCCGCGGGCCACTTCGGCTTGTGCAGATGCATATTTGACTCCAACGATCAAGAGATATATCTCGGGATTTCAGGCTGGTTTCGAAGGGGGACTTGGCAGGGAAAGTGTCAAGAAGCAGGAAGGTGCCTGGGGGGCCCGCTGCGAATTCATGCAGTCGGATGGCGGACTGGTCGATGTTGACCAGTTCTCCGGCCTACGGGCCATTCTATCTGGCCCAGCAGGCGGAGTGGTGGGCTATGCATTGACGTCATATGACCATGAGACGAAAATCCCCGTCATCGGGTTTGATATGGGTGGAACTAGTACTGATGTCAGCCGATATGGAGCGGGTCGTTACGAACATGTGTTCGAGACTACTACGGCCGGAGTGACCGTTCAATCACCTCAACTGGATATCAATACCGTTGCGGCAGGTGGTGGCTCTAGGCTCTTCTACCGCAATGGACTTTTTGTTGTCGGCCCAGAATCCGCAGGAGCGCACCCAGGCCCAGCATGCTACCGCAAGAATGGTCCATTAACAGTGACCGATGCTAATCTCGTCCTGGGTAGACTGGTTCCAGACTTTTTCCCCAAAATCTTTGGCACCAGTGAGGATCAGGGGTTAGATGAACAAAAAAGCCGAGAATTGTTTGAACAATTGGCCCAGAAAATCAATGAAGAAATGGCCCAGGGAGGACAAGGGAAAAAAATGACTCCAGACGAAGTTGCATTTGGCTTTATCAAGGTTGCTAACGAGACAATGACTCGACCTATTCGATCGTTAACTGAAGCCAAAGGGCACGATACTTCTAAACATAGACTGGCCACCTTTGGCGGTGCAGGAGGGCAGCATGCCGTGGCGATTGCAGAAAGTCTTGGAATCCGGCAAATACTGATCCATCGATATTCTTCAGTCCTGTCTGCGTATGGGATGGCCCTGGCTGACGTAGTTGATGAGAATCAGGAGCCAGAATCCAAGACTTGGAGCAATGATCAAGGTGTCCGACAGGATCTCATGGAGAAGATGGATCAACTGAAGATAAAATCATCCCGCAAGCTACGAGAGCAAGGCTTTGAAGAAGAATCGATTGTCTTTGAAGAATATCTCAATATGCGGTATCGAGGCACGGAATCCGCTCTGATGATCTTGAAGCCCAGCAAAGAAGAGTCCAATCTTCTATTTGGCGGAGAAGACTGGGCTTTTGGCGCGGCCTTTGTCCATCAACATGGGGAAGAATTTGGATTCACTTTACCGGACCGGGATATCATTATTGACGATGTACGGGTGAGAGGCATTGGGAAGAGTTTCCAGACGTCTGAGGAAACGGTGGATTCACAACTTCGAGAGTCCAAGCCCCAGGATGTGGTGGAGGGCCGGGAATACCGGAACTCCTCGGTGTATTTTGAGGGTGGTCGACAAGAAACACCCATCTATAAACTGGGTGATTTACAAATCAATGATCGAGTCAAAGGACCAGCGATTCTGGCCGATGAGACTCAGACTATCGTGGTGCCCCCTGGAGCCTCCGCCCTTCTCATCAAAACCCACGTTGTTATCCATATTGGTGAATCTGGCGCCAGCCTACCTCATATCAGCACCGAGACGGTAGATCCGATTCTCCTCAGTGTCTTCTCCCATCGATTCATGGCCATTGCGGAGCAGATGGGACGCGCTCTACAGAAAACCAGTGTCAGCACTAATGTCAAGGAGAGGCTCGATTACTCATGTGCCTTGTTCGACGCTGATGGTGGATTGGTTGCGAATGCCCCACATCTCCCCGTTCATCTTGGAAGTATGTCCACCTGCGTTCGTATGCAAGCTCGACTCTGGCATGGAAAATTAAACCCAGGCGACGTCATTGTAACCAATCATCCCGAGTTTGGCGGCACGCACCTTCCTGACATCACGGTCCTTCAACCCGCTTTTAGTGATGGAAATATCATTTTCTACGTCGCTTCGAGGGCGCACCATGGTAAGATACACTATCTACTCTACCTTGAATCACTTTTGGTAAGACTGACCTTGTATCATCCCAGCTGACATAGGTGGAATTCTACCTGGGTCTATGCCCCCTCACTCCAAAGAGCTCTATCAGGAGGGAGCTATGATCAAGAGCGAGAAACTGGTCTCCGCGGGCATCTTCAATGAGGAGCGTATCACGGAGCTGTTATACAGCGAACCGGCCCAATATTCCGATTGTAGTGGGACCCGGTGTCTGGCGGACAATTTGAATGACCTCAAGGCTCAAATCGCTGCAAACAAGAAAGGAATCAATTTGATTAGCACCCTCATTGAAGAATATGGGGAAGAAGTGGTTTTGTTCTACATGCGCCAGATACAAGACAACGCAGAACTCAGCGTACGGAATCTACTCAAGGAAGTCAGCCACAAATTCGCCGGGTGTGATCTCAGAGCAATTGACTTTATGGACGATGGAACACCTATACAATTGCAAGTATCCATCGACGCGGAAAAGGGTGAAGCAATATTTGACTTTGATGGAACGGGTCCAGAGGTGTACGGTGAGTTGAGGAAGATCTTCATACACTGCTTTCTTGGGCTAATCATACGATGGTAAGCCAACATCAATGCCCCGGAAGCTGTCACCTACTCTGCAATTATCTATTGCCTGCGATGTCTCATTTCCGACGATATCCCGCTGAATCAGGGTTGTTTAAAACCGATTGACGTTCGCATCCCCCCGAAGAGCCTCTTGTCTCCATCAGAATCTGCTGCAGTTGTTGGAGGGAATGTTTTAACGGTAAGGGGAAAATAGATCAGAAATCATTGCGCTGTTTGTGTATTAACATTGTCTATAGAGTCAGCGAGTGACCGATGTGATCCTGAGATGCTTCCAAGCCTGCGCCGCCTCGCAGGGAGATACCAACAACTTGACCTTTGGATTTGGCGGCAATCGAGCCGGTGAAGCGGAAACCAAGGGATTTGGGTATTACGAAACCATCGCGGGTGGAAGTGGAGCGGGACCCCATTGGGAGGGCACGTCCGGGGTGCACACCCATATGACCAATACGCGTATCACTGATGCCGAAGTTTTTGAAAGACGATACCCCGTTCTGCTACGGGAGTTCAGTCTACGAGCCAACTCTGGTGGAGAGGGACAACATCGCGGAGGAGACGGGGTCGTCCGAGATATCGAGTTTCGCATTCCCGTCCAGGTTTCCATCCTGTCCGAACGCAGAGTCTTTCATCCGTACGGCTTGGAGGGGGGGTGAAGACGCCAAGTGCGGCCAAAATTTCTGGGTGCGTAGCGTTCAACGACCTAATGACGAGAGGGAGGAACGACTTATCAACCTGGGTGGTAAGAATACTGTCCAGATGCAACCGGGAGAACGTATCATCATCCAGACCCCAGGAGGTGGAGGATGGGGCCGAGTCGGCGACCAGCATCAGCTTCGTCATGAAAAAGATGCACGTCACGCCTGGCGAGGAGGTTCAATTGCCAACCGAGAAGCCACTCAGGGAGCAAGTATGTGAAGACGGATAGGAGAGTAGATGTGGAAGCAGCCGCAATCATCAATTTAGATCGAATTTGTTGACTGCGTTGATATCTCCTTGGTTCACCTCCGGGCCAAGATCATCCTAGAGCATCCCATAATTGATGATAAAAGATACTTTCATCGATTCCTCTCTCCACCTGTTGGAGCAAATTGACCGTAAAATTTGAGTTTGTCATTGCCTATTTCTACAAACCAGTCACGAGTTTATCACGGTTTGCCAAAGGCGAATCATGCATCACTCTCCTCCTCGCTAGTAGCCTCAATATTCTGCTTGGAAGGACTGGCATCTTTGCTTCTCTTGTCTTGATCCTCGTCAGGTTGAACCCCACCTCCCGAGTACAGTGGTCTGGGCAATGTCTCGCCCTGTCCCTTGAGAGCTTCCTCGATATTGGGGAGAATCTTGACTAGAGTGGCAAATTGGGCAATGGGCATAGAGATCCCCTGAGTCCATATCAGTCTTCGAATATACTGGAGCATTCACCTCAAACCCACTTCTCTGAACAGGAGAAAAACACAGGAATCACTCACCTTCTTGCCCGGAAGCTCCTGCCCATCCTTCTCGTAGTACTCACGCACACTGATCATGGGCTTTCCACGGAACGAGGAGACGGTTACTCGTCGCATTTTGGAGATTTCCCAGTACTTATCGCCATTCATATCCACTTTCGAGGTGCCTGTCTCCTCCGTGCCAACTTTAGCCTTCTTAGACTGGACACTGGTTTCACCTCCTAGATCCTGCACATCTGAGGAGCGCTTGCGAGAAGTCATGATGATGCGAGAGTGGATGAGAAAGAAGAAGAGGCAGAGAGTGAAGGCGCGTTAACACGCGTCGGGTCACATGGTGATAAGACGCTCAATCTGGTAAATTGAAATGATAAGAAAGAGTATCTCACGTATTTGAAATTAACGGACTTGTTTAAGTGTATAACATGTACAAAGTATATGCCCAGTTCGCCTTGGAATACAATAGACTACGAAATCTCAACATTCGAAGCTGAGAAAACTTGGTAAACCACAGGACATCTGCAGCATGCCAATCTCAAGAGATTTTTCACGTTCGTCACTTAAATTTACATGGACATGGTCATCGTCACAGCGTCAAAACACGTAAGCCTTGCAAAAGAACCGAGAAGACAAACCCCTGCGCCACACTTTCAACCTGAAGACTGTCAAAGATCTTCTCCAGGGCTTCTCGGCTAGCAGCAGCACCCATGACACTAGTGAGTGCCTGTGGGATTCCTCGCTGGACAAATAGCCGACGAGCTTTTTCCCGGACTTGCTCTTTCTCTTCCTCGGTGGGTGGTGGGGGCCAGGCTTTGAATTCTTCTTCTGTCGGGAGAGCATTCTCACGAAGTTTCTTCAAGTACTCGCCAATCGCATCATCAGATGTGTGGCTTTCAATCATGGAATCCTGCAACAGGGTACGAATCGTTTCAAGGGTTGGGCTACCTGGCCGTAGGATATAAGACTTGGCCGCGTTTAACAGGGTGCGTCGAATATTCCATGCTGAGGACAGAGTGTACAGCTCATTGATAACCGCAAAGATCAGCTCTACTGCAATCTGAGTCTCATCTTCGGTGATAGGCTTTTGCTGTCGACATGTCCTTTGCGAGATGTGTTCTGATTCACTGCTCGTCCTCATGTCATTGGGGAGCGGTGATGGAATCGGAACAGGGACCTCTTTACTCTGCGACCCCTCGACGTGACTACTTGACTCGGAAGGTGCAAGCGTCGACTCCACGGCCCACGCGTCCTGTCCACCTGTAGCGGAGCTGAAATCATGGTGGGAGTCACTGGAAGACAACCGAAGACTCTCCTCTTCAACAAATGCCGACGAGGGTTCTGGCGAGGCCATCAGTGAGGGAGCTTCTTCTACGTCACTGGTTCTCAAGGCAGAGTGGTCATTTGCAGCATCCGCGGGAACGGTAGGTCCATGATCAGCCCCAGTGGCATTTTTGTGGGGTAGAGGTTGTCGGTCAGAAGTGTTGGTTGGCTTTCTGCTATGGCCAGTCACCCCAAAGACTCCTGTCACACCATCAAGAACTGCTTTACCACTCCCAGCCACCCCTTTCGGAGCGTTGGTTAACACCCCCAATACACCCTTACCCATATTTTCGAACGTAGATTGACTTGGGAAGGAGTATCCAGCTTTGGTCACTCCTTTTTCGTTGGTGCCACTTTCCTTCTCCAGAAATCGGCGCATTCGTTCGGTTTCGGTGAGAGACTCATGTTTCGTAGCTTCCTGCAGATATCGCTCCAAATCCCGAGACAGGACGTGCCTAGTCTTACCTTTCCAAGTGGGTAGAGTAGAAAACTGCTCGGAAAAGCCCTGTATTCCGTTCAATCGAGCCACAGTCTCCAGCATTTCATGCAAAGACTGGAAGTCACTGTATTTCCGGAACACCATCCATCCGGTCGAGCGAGTGGAAGTTGGCTCAACCTGAACCAAGTAATCCCATGTTGGCCTCGATTTAATGACTCCCTTCTCTCTCTCGGCCGCATCATCGTCTACCATTACCTGAGCTCCATGGAGATTCACAGGCGGGGCTGGAGCTTCCTCTCGGGGTGGAGAAATTGGGTCTACTTGACCACCATTCCCATGGTTGTTAATTGCGGAATGTGGCAACGAGCTGACAGGATCATTCACACTGAACAGTGGTGTACCTTCGTCATGGTCGCTTTGAACCAGGGGTTTTGAAGTAGTGCCCTGCATATCCTGTGAAGCAATCATGGCGCTCAAACGTTTAGCCTCTTGCATGGCTTTCTCTGTTGCCATATCTACCTGATCTGGTAGACTTTCAGCCTGGGACAGAGCTTTGTTTTTAGATGGCTCGGAGAGTGCACCCTTCGCGTCTTCTGAGATCCTGGAGGAATCCACACTCTGGTTCCGTGCACCCGCGACGCCAGCATCGATTGCATGCATGATTTCAGATTCACCATCCTGAAGCAGGTAGATGATCCAATCATTTATAAATTCCGGACGAGAAAGACTGATAACCGTTGACTCCAATACAACTCTGGCGAAAACCTCCCGAAGAAAATCTCTGACGGGAGAGCACCTGTATGCTTTAGGGTCAAGGTAGTTCGACAGAATGTCGTCCGCTATCATGTTGAGCTTTTTTCGCTGTTGTTCCTTGGACAACACGTTGGCCAGGCTGCTGTCCGGAGCATTCTCCAGATATTGCTCTACGATCTTCTGGGCGTCCTTTGGCGAGGACCCAGCCGCCGAGAATGCAGCGGAAAGTTCGTTCAGGAAAACAATTATTATCGAGGATGAATTTGTGAGGAATTGTAGGAACGTATCTTCGGTTCGTTTACGGGACAAGTGGGACGAAATGGTCGTCACGAAATGGGTCAAGGTTCGTCGACAGGATCCGGGGAACACTGCTTCTCCTGGGAGAATTGGCTCATACCAGTATCTTCCTCTTTAGTTAGCCAAAGAGACCAGCTACCAAAAGGGTTCTGGGCCGTACTTCACGTAGTCCTTCACGACAGCATCAGTGAGCACTCTTAACGAGGCAGCAGTTGCTGGTCGGAAAGCTCCATATTCAAGGTCTGAGGTGGACAGATCTTCTGGCGCCGCGACAATATTGCTATCGGTACCCTCATCACCAGTAGCAGTAACCGTGCGGAGGGACCAGTCTAGTAGTCTTTGGGAAACCTCCAGGGCCAGTTCGTGCCGCTTCTTCGGCGTTGATAGTATACCGTTGTTGCAATGAGCTGGGCCTTCCCATGATGCATGTAAAATAGCTCCGAGCGCTGCACCGATCAACAAAAGCCCAAGTCGTCCCAAGATGATATAGGTTCCGATGACAAGTATCCCGAATACACCGAGGAGCCTTTCGTTGCTCGAGGTTGATAAAAATTCCAGGGTTAAACCAAGACATTCCTTCAGTAGGCCTGAATGAAAGGGACGTTCCGGCGAGCCTTGTAATGTGTGTTCAGGAGAAGCCGTCAACTCCGGTGGGATGGGTTTGGACGCGGCTACATCATCGCTGGAGGGACCCATGGTGATTCTAAGACGCGTGTTAGATTCGTGCTGTTGAAGCGAGTTTAAATGTGGTTCACACCTCCATTTCCCTCCCTTTGGACATTCATGGGAAGAAAGGGAGAGACCGATGCAGTGGATGGTTCCAGGAGATCGCCGCATAGAGGAACGGTGGTCAGTGCGGAGGTTTACTGGGCTGCAATTGGGCGTTTCCCCCCATAGGTCAAGAGATATTTATAGAACCAGATAGACGATTTATTAAGTATATAGTGTTTCGATCTCAGGTATGTATCCATTCATAATTGCCTCAAAGTCATCAAGACAAGTCAGGCATCTAAAGCTAAACAGAATGGAACTTACTCTCCGCTATCCGAGTGAATCTGGACATTCAAAGTGCATGAGAATCATGCCAGACGTAAAGAGATTGCGGGATGTGTTCTATCTCTATCTATGTTCTATTAAGAAAGGTGATCAATGGTAACGACATCATGTCCAGAGATCTCCCTATCTGGCTCGCACATATTTGGTGTGCGAACCCTGAGCCACAATCGCAAGACCTTCCTCGGTCCTTTTGGAAATTGTCACGGTTGTGAAAGCAAGAGTTTTGCCGACTTTGTTGGCCCGACTTTCAATTTCAAGCCAATCACCATCGGTGGCGGTGGAGAGGTAATTAACATGAATATCTGTGCTGACCCCGGTAGAGTCCAATCCGTGAGAAGCAATAGCCATTCCACCGGCCCAGTCAGTCACACAGGCCGAGAAAGCACCATGGAGGGTGCGCTTAGAATTGAGCTGGCGAGGACCAACTTGAAGTCGAGCTCGGACAAGGCCCTTTTCAGCCTCATAGATTTCAATCTCACTTAAAAGAAATTCATATATGGGGCTTATTGGGCGAGTACGCTCCCACACTTTTTGGACCTGTTGGAGTTCAGTGCTCATGGTTTGGAAAAAAGAAAGAAGGATGAAAGATGAAAGATGAAGAGAGAGAAGAGAAAGGGGAGAGAGAGAAAAGGAATTTTCAGGTTCGGGTCCGGAGAAAGTAACAGCCGAGTGGAGTCTCTACGTGCGCTTTCTCCGATGCCGGGATTGTCTCGACAACATCTGGGATAAGATGAAGTGATTGACGTCTTCATCTCCCCAATAAGTGAGGTGGCTGGCAATACTCGCAATTAAGGAGATGTCAAATGCCCCTCTATAAATTTAGTTAAAAAAAAACAATCCTACGTCAGATCGTTCATCAATGGCAACAAAAGGACAGGGGAAGTCACTTACTCTTGCACACTATAATCAATGCGACCATTGGAGTTCAGTGATCGCACTTTGGCATCTTCAAATTTCATCTTTCGCTCTTGTTCATCAGGGTTGATATCATCAATTTCGCCTGCACGCGTCGAGTCTTTCTGCGTATTGCGCCTCTTTTGAAACCCATCGTACAAAGTCTCGAGGTCAGGGTCGATCAAAGTCTGGAACTGGTCTTCGGGGTCCTGTGGGGTTCCAGACTGGGTGTGCTTGTGCCCCGGTTGACTGCCAGGTGATTTACCGGCAGCGGGGACTTCATCGGCATTCAACCCCAAATGGCGGTTCAACAAGCTGCTTGCAACACCGGACGTGAAATTGCTCCAGAGAGATCCCACACTTTGACCCATGCGATCTTTGAGAATTGAAAGGCTTTGGCCTGATGCAGTCCACAGACTTTTCTTTACTGACGGCAGGGGTTGGGGCTTGAGACTTGCCATCGCTGGGGAGACCAGCGGCTCGATACGATAACTCACGGGATCCGATGGGTGAAAAATGTTGTAAAGATCGCGACATTTGGGGGCAGAATCGATCGCGGAGCTGTCAGTCTGATCATCAACGCGTGAGTCGCGTTTAGAGCCCTTGATCGACCCAAAGGCGTTGGATCCAAGTTCCACATCCAATGCACTTTTCCGATTTCCTGCACCCAAGGGGGAATATCCAGCAATGGTCTTTCCTTTCAACATTTGAAAGAGAGCTATGGGAGACCCGAGGCAAAAGAACTCCTCACATTCAAAATCCAAGGCGCTAGATCCTCCGCCTCGTCCATCAGGGGCATCTTCGCTCTCCTTTGCCCGACCATTGTTCTCTTGGTTGCCGCTAACATCACTTGGTTGGCGGCATAAAATATCGAATAGGATGGCACTTCCAAGAGAATGACCGCAAAGGCTGATCGATCCCTTAAAAGAGGGATTACGCTTCTTATAGAGATGAATAATGCGATTGCATTCTTGTTTCACAATGTTGGAAATGTGTTCACAGTATCCGCTCTGATAAAGGAGAACATCCATTGCCAGATCTGAGATAAGATTTCGCACCGCAGGCACACTTTCCAATGTGATATCCGCCAGGCTAGGGTACGCATCATCCTCGAGCGTGTCGGCATCTGTAAGATCAAGTTCCTTCCGATTCTGTCGAACCCCACGATAAGGAAAATCTAGGAGATGGCGCCAGCATCTAGACAGCAATTAGTATGAGGGATTGGAAGTGACCCATAGAGAGATGGCAGTGCCTTGACTTACACGGGAAGCACTTGAACGCGGCAATTGCCATTACTATCTCCAAACGCCGAGTTTAGTGCTTGAAGGTCAGGCGAAGCTTTGTAAACCCCCTTCAGCGTCTTCCGAAGAACATTCACGTCATGAATGAAGTTAATGCTTTCCAGCCGCAATCCAAGTCGCTGGCCGATACCATGAGTTACCAAGACCAAATGGTCCACCTCCCTCTCTCTATCTTCACCGTCGATCTCTCTCAGGTCTTCCATCTCCTGTTCTTCCTGTCGGCGGGCTTGTTCCTCGAGTTCCGCTGGGTTTTGCGGTTCCCCTGCAAGAGATGACATCTGTCGTTCCAGTGTAGACTTGGGCCGCCTCTCAAAGGGATCGGCTTCGACCACATTTCTCGCAGATTGCGTCTCTGCCGGATCCTGCCCTATGTCCTGAACAATTTTCATGGCTGAGGGCGCAGAACTGGTGCTACTAGTCGGTTTTTCGGTGGGCTTTCGTTCTTGGCCCTGAGAGTCTACTTTATCTCTTACCCGTTTAGGTTCCACCAAGCCACGCACGACTCTTGTGCCGGGAACACCGCCTAGCTTTTGGTACACGGTCGTGCTGACGCGTGACATAAAGTCGTCGGTGTTGATCCAGGCTGTAGAAGCGTCTTGGTAGACAACAATCCTATTCATGTAGGCTCCAAAAAGGCGGTACTGCTGGGAATCAGAGGTAGGTCCGGATGAGGGTTCATTTCCAGTGGTCTGAGGGACTGGCTTGGTTGGTTCTTGGCTGCCGAAATCAGGGTGGGAATCATGAGGGTTTATTTCCCCCTCCGATCGAGCCTGTCCATCTTTGGTGGCCAGCTCGGATGATTTGGCCTCCACTTCTGTCCGCCACGGACGTAATTTCAGGTAGCCTTCTTCGAGTTGGGTTGCAAGATTCTCTTCACAGGGTTTCAAGTTGGAGCCATCTTGAAAAAACCACGTTCCACGACGAACCTCGTAGATGGGGCCGATCCAATAAGCCGGCCCTAGTTCTCGTTCTTCCACGTCCACGTCAAACAAGTAATCCTCATTCACGGGTACTTTCTTTGAGACTGGATTTGAGGAGTTGGCTTGAGCTTGGGCGCTTCCCTTGGAGTCTTCAATTTCCGACAATTGGATATACGTATTCTCAATAGACTGCGAGTCTTTCAATGAGAAGGGTATGAACTTCTTAGGTGGGGGTGGTAGTTTCTGATCGGGTTTTTTGGGGTCGAGAAGGGCAGGCTTGCGTTTTGGCGAATCCACTGCATAGAACCATCTCACTTTAAGCGGCGGGCAATCGGAGGGGTAATGACGCAGACTCAGCCTGTGTCGATGAGTGACGGTGTGGTCTTCCCCCTGCGAGCGCTGCAGGGCATCTGCTCCTGGTCGATCTAAATGAGGGGTGGAGCTTTTCGGGGTACTCCAAGGAGAAAAGGACCCCAGGAATGATTTCTGGTCGGCACCCGCCATGGCCGTCGGCCGCGCCCGGTACAAGGGCTTGAAACGGATCAACGTGAAGGCTTGAGCCAAGGGGTATACTGTATCGGGATATGAAACTCCAGCAAATTCCGTTTGTCGGGAACCTCAATCAAGAAGAGAGGGTAGGATCCCAAAGGTGGGAGTTGTTTTGGATGTTCAACTTCCGCATGATGTAATCTTCGGTGATCATCCGATGACAGCGACCACATAAATACGTTCAAACTTTGGAAATTTTCGACCTTTGGGCTTGAATACTCTTTTAAATCAAATGGCGAACCGATGTTGGGTTACGAATAAATGGATGAGTACATATAACAACACGAGGGTCGGGCCTTCATATACAATTCATTGTATACATAGTACAAGCGTACCAATAGGTGGACGCAGTATATATATACATATGTACACACTGAAATGTCATATTCTTGGTTTTTGTGACAACAATCATGGGAAACCTAAGGAGAAGAAGAAGAAGAAGAAGAAGGACAAAAGCGAACTTCAGCTACTCTCATACATATCAATCGATGATTCATTTATTTATACCCGCTTGGATATCCTTAATGAGGTTCACGATAGCTCTAGGTATGTGTTCGTCTAAACATGGTATCCACTAGGATCTACCATTCAGGTAAGAAGATCAGCGCTCCCCGGCATACATAGGGCCCTGGAGAAACGGCCCAAGACGGTTCCCTGGGTCCTCGACAATCGCTTTAGTCAGAGGGGAATGGCCGCGGTAACGCGCCAATGTCGATGAAAGTTGGGAAAGAAAGTTGGAATGCCGATATTACTAGGGTTCCTGGCCATTGAACCGAGAAGAATTGAACACATCTATCCATTGTAGCAATCATAGAATCAGTGGGCGAAGGGGATAAAAATACATTGTTACCTAGCAGCTTCGACGTCATCAGGCCAGGCAGAGCAATTGAAATAGGCGTAACAAGGAGGCTGAAGTAAACATTTGTAAAATACCTCAAATATACGTGTCGTCAAATAGATAAGGGATGTATAAACAAAGTAACGGACCGTAACAATACGGCATCAATACTGGTAACACATACGCCATGAGGTGGCTCATCGGACCCCACTCTCTCTCTCCCCGTGTCTCTTCCATCTTCCCCCTCTTTCTCCTCTTGCTATTTTTCGCAAGTACTGGATTCCTTGGAAGAGGCTCAATTCCTCTGCAGTGACCAATATCTGGTCCTTTTTACCCCTCTGACCAGTTGGGTTTCTCCTCCGTGATCCGCACCGATTCAACCCCCCCCCCGCCATCGTTGGTCTTTAAGATGAACGCCCTTAAGCTCCAGAAGTTTGTATCTCCCACCAATAATCAGCCTGAGATAATTTCGCTAATTGATACCAATCTGCTATTCCAGGCGATTCCCGCAGCTGGACCAGGGTGAGATTTTCTCCCTCCAGGACGCATTCCACAAACTGGATATCGACGATCGCGGTTATCTGGACGAAGCCTCAGCGATCAAGGCCACCCAGCAGTCCGAGCGACAGCCGTATGATGTGGTGCGCCAGGCCTTGAAAGGCGTCGAGCTCGATAGTTCCCGGCGCGTAGAGCTCGAGGACTATATCGATGTATGTGGCCATTTCGTTTCTTCCTCCCATATCCAACACCCACCCATCCAACGAATGGTGAGAGCTAACACCAGGTTCAGTTAGTAGCGAGACTCCGTTCGGGGCCAGCCCCCGGTGCTCAAGGTGGATCTAGCCCCGCGGCTGTGATTCAAGGAGCTGGGGCTGGAGCTGGCGCGGGCGCTGGCGGATCCCGTCATGTTTCCAAGGGAAGTGTTGGTGGTAGAATTCATGTCCAAGGCTCATCGGCCAATGTAACACATACAATCAACGAGGATGAGCGGACGGAGTTCACGCGGCACATCAATGCAATCCTGGCTGGTGATCCGGATGTTGGCCACCTTCTACCCTTCCCCACCGACACTTTCGAGATGTTCGATAAGTGCAAGGATGGGTTGGTGTTGGCCAAGTTGATCAACGATAGTGTGCCAGACACTATTGATGAGCGCGTTCTGAACAAGGCAGGCAAGAGGATCAAGGAATTGAATGCCTTCCACATGACTGAGAACAACAATATTGTCATCAACTCTGCCAAAGGTATCGGCTGCTCGGTCGTGAATATTGGAAGTGGAGATATCATTGAGGTTCGTGAGCACTTGATTTTGGGTCTGATCTGGCAGATCATCCGTCGTGGCCTGCTAGGCAAGATTGATATCAAACTCCACCCCGAGCTTTACCGACTCCTGGACGAGGATGAGACTTTGGAGCAGTTCCTACGCCTGCCCCCGGAGCAGATCCTTCTCCGTTGGTTCAACTACCATCTTAAGAACGCGAAATGGGACCGAAGGTAAGTCGTCAATTTTTCTTTTGATAGCCAATCCGGGTTATCACTAATGACTTTATAATCTAGAGTTACAAATTTCTCAACCGATGTGAAGGATGGTGAGAATTACACGGTCCTGTTGAATCAACTGGCCCCGGATGTGTGTTCCCGCAGCCCTCTTCAGACCGGAGACTTGCTTCAACGAGCAGAGGAAGTTCTTTCGAATGCCGAGAAGCTGGACTGCCGAAAATTCCTGACCCCGACCTCCCTTGTGGCCGGAAACCCGAAGCTCAACCTTGCCTTTGTCGCCAATTTGTTCAACACGCATCCAGGCCTGGACCCCATTACGGAAGAGGAGAAGCTCGAAGTGGAAGACTTTGATGCCGAAGGAGAGCGTGAGGCACGAGTGTTTACGCTCTGGCTGAACTCGCTAGATGTGCAGCCGTCGGTTAATTCGCTCTTCGATGACCTGCGTGATGGTACCATCCTCCTGCAGGCCTACGACAAGGTCATCCCCGGAAGTGTCAATTGGCGACACGTCAACAAACCCCCGGCGTCTGGTGGCGAATTGATGCGTTTCAAGGCTGTAGAGAACACGAACTATTCTATTGAGCTGGGGAAGTCAAACGGCTTCTCTCTAGTGGGTGTGCAGGGTGCTGATATTACAGATGGACAGCGAACCCTCACCCTCGGGCTGGTATGGCAGCTGATGCGCCGGGATATCACCAACACCCTCTCTGCTCTGGCTCAACGGCTTGGCAAGCGCGAGATTACCGACTCAGAGATGATTCGATGGGCCAACGACATGTCTAAGAGCGGCGGCCAGTCCTCCTCGATCCGCAGCTTCAAGGACAAGTCCATTGGGACTGGCCTGTTCCTTTTGGATGTGCTGAACGGCATGAAGAGCAGCTATGTCGACTATGATCTCGTCACCTCTGGTCGGACTGATGAAGAGGCGTATGCCAACGCTAAATTGAGCATCAGTATTGCCAGAAAGATGGGGGCTACTATTTGGCTTGTGCCGGAAGATATCTGCCAAGTGCGCTCTCGCCTGGTTACCACCTTCATTGGTAAGTTCAAAATCCTCGTGTACTACAAATTTGTCCCCTCTCTTACCATGTTTCTTAGGTTCCCTCATGGCTACACACGAGAAGATGTAACGAGCTTTCTCTACTATGGCAGTATTACATATCTATTCCTTAAGGGAATTACCGAGCCGGCATCAGTGACTATTGAAACTACGCTGGCGAATATGACATTACTTTTCCTCCTTGATTCCACGTCTTCAAATAAATGTACATTTGCTTTCAATGTTGATTCCCGCGCCCCAGTGGAGTGATTCGCAATCAAAATGAACGAAATTTCAAAACGTTACATTCAGAATCCACACGGTGAACTGGAACAGTAATGATGCTAGCTCTGATGTTTAAGATTCACGTTTCCATGTATATCTAATCCGACGCTTGGTTCTCCATTCTGTCGCATATACTGCTCTTTAAGGGTACAGCAGGTATGATTAATCGTATTCCATATGGCCGCAGATTCCTTGCCAAATTGGCCGACAGAAGAAGAATTTCTAAGCGAGGACAAACTTGACCCTAGATGATCAGGTACAGGCTGCACAACAGACTGGGTCCAGTAAAGATCCCCAACCAGAAGAAGACGTTGCCCACAAGCCTTCGACCTCGCATCAGGCGGGTTCGGCTCAATGAGACTAGCGGAAGCTGTGACATTTGCAAAATCAACAAATACCCCCGGAGACGTCGGAAGATGCACAGCATAATCAATTCATGTACACATGCGGACAGGAGAAATGTAATCAAACTGGCGGACACACGAGAGAGGTGAAAAGTGCTGATCGAGCTGTGATAAACATGGCGCAGTAGGAAGTTATGCACAGGACGATTCCAGTCGCGGGCAAACTGATCCCATGAGACCGAGTTCCACCAGTCAGCATAGAATCCACGATCGGCAAAGCGAGTAATCTCTGCTACTGCATTGAGCTGGGTGGCAGTCAGCTGGCGTCTCCAAGGATCTTGGTCCGAATAAACTCACCACACATTCCCAGATCACGTAGAAGGCCAGGAGGTACTCCATCATGAAAGGAAATAATAAATCGCTTAGAACCCACGGAAATTCCTGTAACCTCTGCTGCAACGTGAATCCTTTCTCCTTCATCTGCAAGGTGGACATGACGACCGGATAGATCCAATTCTGCGAAATCGCAATCATGACCACGATAATACCAAACGTAGCCGCGGTCTTTTCGGCCACATAGACCCAGTTCACTCGCTCTGTTCGTGGATACTCTAGCTCGTAGACTAGCGTGGGCAACGTGACGAAGTCACAGAAATTACCCATGCTTAAGTTTCCAGGATACTGGTTCGTCGACGAAAACTGGCCCCGAAGGCCGTCGGACAAAAGCTCAATCTCCCGTTCAATTAACGCTTTCAAAGATGCCATCTGCTCGCTTCCCAAGGGAGTCCCACTGTCGATTCTCCCCGAGAGCGCCAGGAGATGATCTGTAGCACTGGATCGCCGAAAGCTTTGGTGGTTCACGGAGCTTTGATGGTTCACGGAGCTTTGATGGTTCACGGAGCTTTGATGGTCAATAGAGTGCCGATTTTTGATTTGATTTGGGCCAGCGGGGTCCACAGGTCCCCCCGAATCTCTCGCGGAGGTACGTGAAGAAGAGCACCCTTGTTCGTCGCTGTGCTTGTTCAACCGTCGCAGCCGAATTCTCAATAAATCCCGCTTTCTGTATAGCTCAGATACTGACGAGGGATTTGGTCAGCGTCTCTGTGGGCCAAGCAGAGAAATGGCAGGTGGTAACTTACAGTACCCATTGAAGGAAGAATAACTATGCTGCTTCATCAGCATCGTCAAACAATGTAAAACCATAAAAACCGTATGTGTCCATGGCCAGTCGCGATGATAAGTCCACCAAATAGCGATGGCTAGGTATGCCGTCTGCCAAGTCTGCAGCTCTTGCATTAGCCAACTTCCTTGTGGCTTCTTTGGAGTCCAATGATCTCCTGTCTTACATTTTGAATGAGCCACCCCAGACCGCTCCACCGTAGATACCCCCGGAGAACGGCCCGCTGAAGACCGAGGCAAAAGACTGTCGACCAACATAAAACCAAGTCCGATATGCCTAAAACTAGGACATCCTTGCGGAACATCAGGTGGATAATCTCGTTCTGGCCCCAGAGGCTGCCGTAAACCCGCCAGTTATGTGCGGCGATCTTGACCAGCAGCAAAGTCACGCCTAGCCAAAAGAGGGTGAAGAACCCATGGAATTTATTCAAATACAAGCTTGGATTCTGGCGGTCAAACGTACTGAGCTGCCGAGTGAATTCCAAATCTTGAAAACGAAAGCGACGTCTTTCTGCATCTAGCCCCCCAGTGCTCTCGAGATGTGACTTGTGATGGAGAACTTCCTGGAGCAGCTTGGCATCCTCTGCCGTCAACAAGTATTGACCTGCTTGATCAATCTCTTGGAGTTTCACCGACACACTTGGCCCTTCTGAGGCTTCATCAAGCTCTAGGTCGCTTGACGGGGACGTGGACGCGAGCTGTTCCTGTAGAAGGTCTCCCTGGTCCGAGGGCATGCTGAAGGGTCACATGGATATACGGAGCTAGAAATCTTCAGCTAAGCCTTTGCTGATCATCTCTCTCATATGTGTGTGTGTGAAAGTGTGTCTCCCTTTCTTCTCTTCAGTTAATCCTGTTTAACCTGACAGATGTGCAAGCTTCTCGGTCCGGGTGTTTCGGATATTGTGGCAAAATGTAGTGAAAATATGACGTTGACGCTTGAGATCGGACGATTATATAGTATTCAAGTCATACAAGTGTAATAATAAACAAACATTAATGATGAATCTCAGGGTTGCTTTGTTTTGTTCATATGATGTGATTGCAGGGAGGTTGTACTTCTCCGCCCGCGACACCACTGACCTTAACAACCATTTTCTTCGTAACTCCGGGTTCACCAGCTCCTACCAACCATGGGTCCGTCACAAGTTCAAGTCCCTTGCTTGGAGCAGCCCAGTACTCTGAGTCCATCACAAACCAATTCCGATGCCAACCCGTCCTTGAATGCCAGCAACTTGACCGAGGTGGACATGGGTGGCACCCAGGAGACTGTGATTGAAGTGATTGAAGTAGCTGAAGATATCACTCCGCCGGATGCGCAAGCGCAGCCAGAACTTCACAAGAGAAAAAATACTGACCCAGGGTTTTTGGAGTAAGAGAATCGACTTCCCGTATTTGTCTCTTGTCGCTCGTGAGCTTCATAACACCATGGCACAGGCGATTGGGGAATTCTACTCACCTCAAGTGGCCCAGCTTACCGTGTCTAGCATTCTCACCTCTCCAATGGTTGATATTATCGTCGGTCAAGGGGAGAACAAAACAACTCTCAAGGCCCACCAGACCCTTCTCCTCGAGTCACCCTTCATGAATGAATTCATTAGCAAGTTTGAAACAGCCGGTCCAGTACGTCGTGATCGAAGAATCCGGTCGCATTTGCCATGTCGCTAATAGTCTATGTGCTTTCTTAGCGGCGCATTCTACTCCCTACCGAGAACGTCGAGACATTTGGATGCTTCCTTCAATTCCAATACACTCGCGACTACACTGTGACGCAGAGTGAGTGTCCCTCAACCAAGACAGATGACAGCGGAGAACAGTTGCTCCGTCATGCGCGAATCTACACACTTGCCGAGAAGTTGGGTTTGCCTCATCTGAAGAGTCTGGCCCATAAAAATATCCACAAAGTGAGGAGCACGCCAGGCGGCGAGTTGGCCTACGCCCGCTATGTCTACACGCACACCCAACCGGATGATACCCCCATCAGAAAACCGGTCGCCTCATACTGGGCCACCCGTGGTCATATCCTGCGCCATGATCTGGAGGACCAATTCAAAAAGCTCTGCGTCGAGGTGCCGGATTTCGCCTTTGATGTGCTGACCGTTGTGATGGATCGCAATGAGAAAAGCTCAGAGACCGGTTCAAGTGTTCGCGATAGTGCTAGGAAGCGTCGTCGGAGTGAGAAGTAAAGCCTACCTTGAAGAGCCAATGCTACTGGGCCTGATACCCCCTCTGCGTATTGATTTGGACATTGTATTTGGTTCTCCAAGTGAGTGCTGTACATCTAAATCCTCTTTTCATTGTAAGATCTGGCCGTAAAGACTCAACTTGGGGGTTCCCGGGTTCTTGGAGACTACCTTAGAGATTAACCATATATAGATAGCAGATCCCGTCTCGGAAGGGTAGTTAATGCAATTTATTTAATGAGGATCATCGTAGTGACCTAGAGCTTATTGGGCCAGGCTCTCCACTTCGGCAAGAGCCTTGGGTGCAGAGGTCAAGTTATCGGAACCGTCTGGAGTGATGTGGACGTTGTCCTCAATGCGCACACCTCCCACAGCCCAGTACCGTTCCAAAACATCCGCATCAATATACTTGCCCAAATCTGGGGATTCCAGAACAGGATTGATGATGTACCGACAGAAGTAGATCTGAGACGATGCAGTTAGCGGGGATGAATTTCGTGGATCTTCTCAAACACAATGATTATCTTACCCCAGGCTCAACGGTGATGACAGAGCCGGCGGGCAGGTTGCCGCGCACTCGCAGATACCGGAACATCTTGTCCTCGTCCTCATAATTGGGATAGCCGCCGGTGTCATGGGTGTCCATTCCCAGGTAATGACCTAGGCCGTGGGGGAAGAAAGCTACGCTGACCCGCTTCTCAAATAGCTCCTCCTCAGAGCCGCGCAGAATTCCAAGCTTCAACAAACCCTTGATTGCGATGCGATGCGCCAATGCATGGACATCATCCCACTTTACTCCATCCTTTAACATGGCAATGCACTCAGACTGCATTTGAAGGACAATCTCATAGATCTGCCGGGTTTCCGGTGTGAACTTGCCGTCCAAGGGGATCACGCGGGTGATATCGGCACAGTATGTCTGGTATTCACCACCCGCATCGATGAGCAAATTCTTTTTCCGCTGCTGAGTTACAGGGTCGAAGAGAGGCTTGTCGTTGCTGACATAGTGTAGCGTCGCGCCACTTTCGCCACTGGCAAAGATGGGGTGGTAGGACTGTTCCCGGCACCCATTGGCAATGCAAGTGCTGAGGAAAATACCCTCCAGCTCGCGCTCGTTGGTTGCAGTCTGAGCCGCTTTGATGACAGCGATATGGGCCTTGGCGGAAATCTCATTGGCCCGTCGCAACAGGGCCACCTCGTACGCATCCTTCACCACACGAGCGTCACCAATGACATCTTTCAGAACAGAGAGGTTTGCGGTAGAGAATCCCTGGAACTTGACATCCTCCGATACTTGTTCCGAGATGGCGAAAATAGGTGCTTTGCCGCCCTGGGTAACCGCAATAGCAGCCAGAGTTGCATTTGCATCAGTGGTATAGAGGACGCGATCAACATCATAGAGCTTCGCAGCCTCCTCAAGGGACATAGGTAGGCCGGACCAAATCACAGAGTCCGCATCAATAGGAGGAATGAACAAGGTTAACTGGTCTGCTTTGACATCGTAGGCCACAGACGCATCAGGCAAGAGACATCCAGTCAAGTAAAAGAACGGACGACGTTGCCTATATAGTCAATGACGAGTTTACAGCGTGATCACAGGACTGACGAGCTTACCTGAATGGCATGGTCTCGTCATTGTCTTCGATTAAACGAGTTTTTTGCGCCTCCAGGTAGAGAACGCCGACCTCGCCATGACGAGCCTGGATAAACTCAGCCACCCGACGAGCGTGAGCCTTGGCCGGGTACTTGGTAGCAAGAATCGCGTCAATCGAAGCCATGGTGAGTTAAAGTAGAATTTCAAAGGGGGAAAAAAAGCTGTGCGGGGCAGGTGTTTGTATTTACCGGCATTGCGGGGCCTGTTATCTATCCATGGGGCGGCTACATCCGGTAGATGTATTTTAAAGGAATCTGATTGGCTTCATTACACATACAATCACCCACATCATCGGCCTGGACTATGAGTCTCGGACGCAGATATCTCCTCAAACTCCATTTGCCATTGATCCACCTCGGCAAACTTCTTAGCAGCGGCGCGCAACTCGGCACTCATGTAGCGCTGATCAGACACCCCAGACACCGCCTCAGCCTCGGAATCGCTTGCGTCCGAGTCGGGTGGGGAGGACAAGGGTGAAGATGACGGCGAGGAGAGGAGTAATTCATTCTCCTTATCCACTTCTCCCCTGGCTAGCTCCCGTGACTTGGACTGCTTGGGGGCCGGGGCGGATTTGGCCTTGGTCTTCTTTGGTTTTTGATTGGATTGAGCTCGATTGCTGCCAAGGGGTCTGGGTTTTCTCGAAGGTGCACGTTGCGTTCTTTTTGCCGGCAGATAGCTAAGTTCGTCTTCGTCGCCGGAGACCGCAGCGTGCATCCCATCATCGCTTTCGTCACTGAGGGGTTCAGCGTCGCCCGCCGCTCGGCGTTGACGGCGAGGTTGCCGGCGACGGGGAAGTAGCCTTTCCCGGAGTGTTGCTGTGGCCAACTGAACCGTGTCTTTGGAATTATTCTTTTCGGAAATCCGGTGAAGAGCGGCTGGCGAGCGCGGCGCTGCAATGGAACCTTGAGTACTCTCTGGTGGAGGTGGACTGCTACTGGCGGGCAATGCCATGGTTTGACTAAAAATTTCAGGAAAAGGTATAGGCTGTGGTGTCTCCTCTAATCCATGGGATGAGCGTCTGCGAGGTACTGGTGTAACACTGGGGGAATCCTGGACAAATCCTGGAACCTCTTCCACTGATGATTGGGGTACTTGTATTTCCTCGCGCTTGCGCTTGCGAAATCCGCCAGATGACTGTAGCGACCCCGATGCCGACCTCGATGGAGACTGATCACCCGGATTTAAGAGTAGCGAATGTCCTCGGGGCAGATTCAAAGGTGTGGATTCATCCTGAGGGCTCAAGCCTCCCAGGAAGTCTTCGTCATCGAGGTCGGATGAGCCATCTTCGGCTTGCATCATCTGCAATATGCTCTGTTGACGGGGGCGTCGGCGAAAATTGCTCAAGACTGAGCTTTCAAACCCGGGGGTACCTGGGACGCGCGAGCTCGCATCGCCCTTTCGGCCCGCAAAGGATAAGGTCGACGAGTAGCCACGGGACCTAGTCGGGGGTCTGCTGCCCGTACCAGGACGACTCCCAGTACCAGGCCGATCGCCAGCTGGCGATGATTCAATGGCTTGTTCATAGCTTTTAGCTAACGGTGTTTGACTGCGGAGGGTTTGTCGAGGATCTAATGTAGACCCGCGTTCTGGCGATTTGGCGGGGGACTCCTTATCGCGTGTTCCTGCAACTGCAGGCTTGGGAGCCTTGGTAGATCGATTTCGCTTAGGAGCAGGGCGCGGCATATTTGAAATTCAGAGGTGGATTGAGTCCAGAATCGCAAATTTCTTGATCCAAAGGAAAAGGAGAAAGCGCGTTTGTTTGGGGACGCGTCCACGTGCGGATAAGGAAGATAAGGGCTATCAATCAGCGTCGCGGGGAAAACAAGATGGAATCCTCCTTCTGTTCTCCTTCTCTACTCTTTTTCCTTTGCTTCCAAGAACCTTCCCCGGTGATGTGATCTTGTCTTGGGTTGATATCCCTTTGGCTTCCCAATCAGCCACGGACCGTATGCCCGTATGCAACTCAGCAAGATTCATGCCTCGGAGAGCACTAGGCCCAGACGGGGAATTTCTCCCCGCAGATCTGGAATCTTACATGCTCTTCGCTCTTAATGAAAATCTCCCTGCACTTCAGATTCTATATTGCATGACATGTGGATTTGCTCTTTCCTGAATTTACTGTCAATCTAGAATTATCCAATCCCTTACACCAGAGGGGGTGGATAGTCGCTTCTGAAGGCTTGCAAGCTATGAATCATGGCGTCACCAGAAAAAGATATTGACCTCGTCACAGGCATTGATGTCAACTATGAAACCAACAAGAAACGATCAAACTCAGAGACGACCGACTATCCGCGAAGACGGGCCATCATTGCTGTAGGCATCAGTTATTATCGCTGGAATGTTTTCTCAAGATTGCCGTGAACTAAGTATATAAAAATCACAATAGTGCCAAATATGCCGATTGCGCAAGACACGCTGTAACGGTGTACGTCCCAAATGCCAGCTCTGTACGGATTTGGATGCTGAATGCACGTACCGAGAACCGGGAATCAAGCTCGATATGGGCGATAAGTTGATTCTGGAGCATCTTGTCCGGATCGAGGGTCTGCTGCATGCAAGCTTATCGACACCCGGACCTCAATCGGCCTTGTCATCGAATTCTCCTACTACGAGTCATGACACCAATCTTGGCAATGAAGATCCAGGGGCGAAGATCAATAACGGAGCTCCAACATGGAAAATGTCGGTGGGCCTTGCATCTTGGGCCAACCCACCTTCGAGTATTAGCATCTCCACAATGCCCAGGGTGCATACCACCCCAGGCCTGCACCTTCTGCAATGGCCCTTGGTGCGCGACTTGGTCTTGAAACCCTACGGCCCGCAGAGTCTCCTTCAGCTAGAGATGGCTCGCGAACCATTACGAATGACACCAAATTCCGGATTTGATTTAGGAAATGTGCCTACGTATGTGCAGGCTTTTTTCGGTCATGCCAACGTCTGGTACGCCTGCGTAAACCCATACTCGTGGAATCGATACTATAGAACCGCTCTTGCGCAACGATTCCAAGAAGGACCAGTCTCTTGTCTCGTCCTGCTCGTCTTGGCTCTTGGATGTGCCAGCCGAGAGGGCAGCATGGCATTTGTGCCTCCAGACTGTGAACCGCCAGGGCTTCCATACTTTGCCACTGCCTGGAGTCTTTTACCATCTGTCATGATGCGCAATTCTGTCATGGCTGTCCAGTGCATGGTCCTTGCGTCGGCCTATTTATTCTACCTAGTGCGTCCGTTGGAAGCTTGGAATTTGTTGTCAAGTGGCAGCATGAAATTACAATTGCTCCTGGGCGACTCAAATCGTGTGCCTGCACGATGGAAAGAGATCAGCAAACGAGTCTTTTGGAACTCACTTTTGTACGAGAGTGATCTGCTGGCGGAACTCGATCTTCCGCACTCCGGTCTTGTCCACTTTGAGGAATTTGTCTCCCTCCCAGGGAGCTTTGAGGAAGAGGAGGATGGTGGTGATGATGATGGGGACCTGGGCGATGATCATGATTCCGACGGGCGTTCCACCGGCAAGCCTACTGAAGAACCGCCCGGTCGAGATGAGCTTTGGTACTTTCTAGCTGAGATTGCGCTACGGAGACTTCTAAATAGAGTCAGCCACCTTATCTATCAGAAAGACCATTCACAAACACTTGCAGCGTTGGGACCGGTAGTGTCGGAGTTGGACTTCCAGCTATCACAGTGGCATGACAGTCTGCCTCGTCCGGTAAAATTCCCTCTCACGCAGATACCACTCTCCAACCCCGCGCAGACTGTTCTTCGGCTTCGTTATAATGCATGTCGCACGATCATTTACCGCCCGTATATTTTGGCCGTTTTTAAGAATGAGCAAGCTGCTGTGGACTCGAATGTGCGAGAGTGTTGCCGAAGATGTCTGGAGGCCACTTTGCGCCAACTCGAGCACATCACCAGCCATCGTGAAGGCCACCTTCCGTATCTCTGGCAGGGCGCCTTGTCGATGGTATCACAGACCCTGCTGATCATGGGTGCTACCATGTCGCCCACTCTATCGATACTGCTACCGGCCTCGCCTCATGTCGATGCCATCATCTCTAATGTGATCGCCGAGGTTGATGGATACGCCCACTTGGCACCAAGTCTGAAATTGTCGGCAGAGATCATTCGTGATGCCGAGAGGCGGCGGCAGATCTGGCTTCGATCACCAGGAATTGGTACATGAAAACGAAGAATTGTCATAGTTGCCTATTACTTCGTAGACTAGTGCATGTCTTCTTTTCCGAAGATGCTGCAATTCACACATTGTTACCATAGGCTGGCTTTATTTTCTTCATGATGTGGTGATTTCATTCAATGTAATCTTCATGAAAACAATCATGGGACATCGTAGCTACCGGCAGCCCCCAGCTCAATGAATAGATTTAGGGATTGTTGAGGGCTACAAGACAGTAGAATCGGAAACAAAGAAATTGCTTTACAACATGCGAGTCCAAAAAGAGGGGAAAAAATGAAAAATAGGTACAAATCCCATCTCATGGCAATTATGTTCTTCAAATCATATCTTAACTAGGCGAATCATGGTATCTTAAAAGACATGGCGAAAGGTCAATATAAACGTCAAAAGAATATTGGCAGATAAAATCAGGATGGCCACGACGGGCCAATTGAGGGGGAAAAATGGCATGAAAAGGGGGTAGGATCTGTCGTAGACTCTTAGGCCAAGACCCATTCACTGCCCCGCTTGATGAACTTATCAAGCATCATGCCCACATCAGCCAGTGCAAAGCGGCACACATAGAAGCCAAAAAACTCAGCCGCATGGCGTGTGCTGAGTTCCAGACCGACGTGGGTTGATGATGAATGTTTGAGTCCGGGATCCTCAACTTGCTGGGCGATTTGATCTAAATCGGTCAGCATGGAACGAAAAGAATGGAAGGAGCTAGGGAAGTGTACGAACCTATGACTTGAGCAGCATCGAAAAGACGCGCTAAAGCTCCCATGTAGTTGGCATTCGGCCCCGAGAACTCTAGCTGAGTGACGTTGCGCTTTGTATGAGTGGTGGGTGCCGACGTCATGGGAAGAGAGTTGAGCGTCAGATTATCCTTGTTGCTTTCCTTGACGTTCTGGGGAGCAGACGCGGTTGTACTGATCCCGGAGGTCTTAGCCCGTAGCCGTTTCCAAGTCGGGAGGTATGACTTGTTCGATGTGCCCGAAGTCCTGGAAGGGGGAGGGTCAGGATGGGCGGGATCCTCTGCTGTCGCATTTGGCCTGAAAAGCGGCATCGACGTCTGGATCCCGACATCATGACCCAGCTTCTTAGACAGTGTGGCTTGGACCTGATCAAGAATACCCTCAAGCGCTTGCATTTCTTCCAACACGGCATCGGCATCGTAGGTATCTACCTGGGCTAGTTTCAACAGCGCCGCGGTCAGGAGATCACAGTTAGACACCTTGTCTTCCACGGCCTTGATCTTGACATTCTTCACACGCCAGGCATCACGAGGGATGAAGAGCTTTGCGGACAAGTAGCCACCGTGGGGGTGGGCGAGTGATTGATACAGACACCGCATCAGCCAGAAGGGACGAAGAAGAAAGGATTCTGGACACGGCTCGAGAGGAAGGGGTGCATTGGCTACAAGAGGGTTTGGACAACCCAAGGCGGTGGGAGAATGAATGTTGCAGTCAAAGAGATTGAGACCCCCGGTAGGCAATCCGTTTTGTGTGAAGTATGTCGCAGTTGGGGTTGGCATTACAGGAACACTGCCGCTCATGACGGCCTTCTGGGTATCCAATGTTGGGAACGAACCACTCCACGGGGTTGTGGGAGAGCCGGGTGCTGTCTCGGGGTTGGGAACGGACACATTGCGAGATCGAAATGCTTTTGAAGCAGACTTATCCAGGCCATCTGGGGCAGACGGTATTTTGCCCATGGGCCGCCCCGAGGCAGGTAAAGGAGGAACCCCAGCCTCGTCATCTTCATGAGTGCGGGCCTTGGCGAGACTGGTATGGTCTGTGATGGACCCGATTGAAGGGTTGCGCTTTGAAGGGTAAAGGTTGGCTCGAAAACCTGGCGCGAGAGCTTTGAAATGGTCTGACGGTGGTTCATCTTTGGGAAGTGGCGGCGGTGGGAGGCGATTTGCGAGAGGAGTTGAAAAGGATTCGAGATCAGAGGCACTGGAGTCGGTACGAGATCGTGCATTGGTTTCGATCTTCAGTTCGCCTGAATTCTGTCCCGACAAGCGCCGCGCTCGGACACCTGGGACTGGAGGTGGTCCCATTGCGGGAGGAGGGGGAGGCTGGGATAGAGAAGCCCGTTGCGGTAAACTAGGGAAATCAGAGGGGATTGGAGGCAAAGCGACAGACGGAGGAGAAGATGGGAGAGGGGTTTGCTCTGGTCTCTGCTCAGGGGGTAGGATATCGTCGTCCTCTGCGAGGGTAGACAAGGTAACCCCGGTGCCCGTGATGTTAGACGCGGCTGAGCTCTCCCAAGTTCTTCCAGACAAATTGCTGGAGTCAGATTCTCGAGGGAGCGCCGACTTGGACTGAACACCAAACTCGAAATCATCCATGACATAGCCCTTGGTCATTTCTTCTAAGAGTCGCTCTTCTTCCTCCGCTTCCTCATCGAGGTAGGAATTTCGTACCACCGGATCCTCGAGTATGTTTTGTTCCTGAATACGACGTATCTCTCGGCCACGGTTCATGGCAACCTCGGCCTCGAGCTCCGCTTCGCGGACCCGCTGCTTAGCCAGCTCAATATTTCTGCGCGCATTTGCCACGATGTCATCACTTTCTTCCTCGCGGTACTCCATGACCGGCTCCAAACCTTCATCGTATGCAGCCTCCACCGCTGCATCGAGGGCGGCATCGAACTCGGCTTCAGTGTCAGTGCTTATGCGTCGACTTGTGCGCCGTCGTAGATAGACAGAGGACGCCTTCGAGTTCGCGGATGACGGTGAGGATGCGCCGGACTCGTCAATTGTGTCCAGCCACGAGGTTGATTCATTAGTTTCCTGCAAAGAGGGTTCCAGATATTGTTGATGGTAAGCAACACTACCACCTGAGCTCGCAGGAGTAGATCGATCAGACTGTGGATTCTTAGGCATGGCCAAAGACCGTAGTTGATCATCAAATACGCCTGGCCTCAAAGATTGGCGGCGAGGAGGAGGAGGTGACTCGGAAGGAAATGCTTTGGCATCTTCTATAGACGCATCGAAGCCAAGGCTTGAGTGGTTAGAGCTATGTTGGCTCTGGATACGAGCATCATCCATTACTGAAGTTTGGAATAATTCGCCGTATGATTCCTGGCTCAAAGGGCGATCTGGAAGAGCCTTGTCTTCGCTATCCGGTAGAGGCAAGTCCATGCGCTGAAGTTCTGTGATTCGTATTATATAGGTATCGCGCTAGAACAATTAGCCTTGAGCTCCGGTATGTCCACAAATAAGGATAATAACATACAATTTCCTGGAGTTTAAGTTTTTCTTCGTCTCCGCCATTGCTACGGAGCATCACTAGTTGCAGCAGCTGACATGCATCTGTATAGGCTTCCATGGCACCTTCGAAGTTGGCTGCATTATCTAAAAGAACAGCTGTGTTCGCCTTCTGCAGAGCTTTGGACAGCATTGCTTTCTGGGTCTGGCCATGCTGTCTGCCATCTGCCTCCCCTTCCCCGTCCGCCAACGAGACGGCTCCTTCACTGGGCCGAGCCACGTGGCCCTGAGTATAGGACGGCTCATTTCTGGAATTATATTGTTCATTTGGCGAAGAGTTATTAAACAGGTGACTCGAGGCCGTAAACGAAAGATCGAGGTGGGAGTTCGAGTCGGGGGGAAACATATCCGATGCTCTCAGATCCGGCAGGCTCAGCTCGGGCAGCTCCCCCAACGCAGGTCCCCGCTGTGGACTATGTCCCGTCAGGGACATCTTGGAACTCCCTCTGCGATGGCCCGTATAGTCCGGTAGACCTTTGCTCGATGCGGTGGACTGCGACCAGCGGTTTACACTTCCCAGGCCTTCTTTAATGGGGCTACTGCCCCACGAGCCATCTGCAGCGAGACCTGGGGCATTTTCCGTCACCACACCTAGTCCTGTTGGAGTAATGGCTCCGGAGGCCTTCCCCATTCGATTGCGAGATGCTGGGCGGGAGGACCGAGAAGCCGGGCGATTGGGCGGCGCGGTCGACGGGGGCTCCATGAGAGATCCCGAGGGACGTCTAGGGTGGAACGATCTCGGTTCATCTTCCAGGGCGGAGCGGTGTAGCATTTTTCCAAGAGCGGAGGGGTACGATCCAATGAGGCACTATATGATTCAGAGGTCGAGGTCGGGCATTGAGAAAAAGGGACAATTGTCGAGCGATTTCCGAGACGATATTGGTCAACTTTCTTTGTATCGAAACCGAGCAATTCAAAAATTAAATGGATTGGACTGCAGGGCGCATGCTTCGACCACGTTCAAGAGAAGTAGGTTAAAAAAAGGAACGAAATCTTAGGGAGAGGGGGGTTGGTGTGATTCTGGGATGTCCTCAGTATGCGCCGAACCAACGCATGATTTCGAGAGCGGAGATAATCTGTCGCGAGAGAGATTGAAGGGGACAATTGCAGACTGAGTGCATTATCTTCAATCTCCCTGCAAAGTCCCACGAGAAGAGTAGTCAGGGGCGGGACCAGCGGGATTATTCTTCAGGGGTGGTCCGTGTTTGATGCGGGCGGTGTGAAAAGGGGGATTGATGTGGGGGAATACAATCACGGTACTCCGTATAGTGATCTAGTACATGCGTAGTAGAAATGATTGTGATAGTGTACAGAAGAAGACGATGAGGAAAAAGGAACTGTAAAAATTCTATTCCTCAGTATCTTCTAACCGAATCCAATCAGAATATACTCCCCACTGTCCACTAGTCCATACATCATGAAAGGGAGAAACTCTACGTGGTTCTTGGATCGATAGACTCGCAGTCGTAGTTTACTCATAATTTCTGAAATCAAAATCTGATGGATCTGATTGAGTAGTCATACGGTCTAGTTACAGTATACGCGATAGACTGTTTTGATTTGTCCGCTTTCACGCTTAGAGCCGGGAACCACCAAAACTCTTCATGGAATCAACCAGATGAATCCCTCCCCGCTCGGACGTCTCTTCTCGCGCACTTTCTCTCCTTTCTTCGTCTCTGTGCGAAGACTGACCATGGCGTCCAATCCGCGGGATCCGAACACCCTTAGCAACTACAATAACTGGCGTTCCACTCACATCACCGCCAATTTCGATATCTTGTTTGATCAGAAGAAGCTGGTTGGCAATGTCGTCCACAAATTTACGTCCATTACCGATGCTGTGTCGCGGGAAATCATCCTAGACACCAGCCATCTGGACATTGGCTCCGTCAAGGTTGATGGCCAACCTTCCAAGTGGGAGCTTCTTCCCACGCTGGATCCCTTCGGCACCCCACTTAAGATTAGTCTTGAGCAAGGTGTCAAGCTGAATGAAATTGTTGAGGTGGATGTAGGTTACTTTCTCTATATGTCACCATGAATCCCCAGCAATGTCTCTACAGTCTCTCAATGTCGACTCCGAAGTACTGACGCCGGTAGATTGCGGTGAAAACCACCGAGAAGTGTACTGCACTTCAGTGGCTGACCCCCGCCCAAACCTCCAACAAGAAACATCCATATATGTGTAAGTACCTATAATCAGGTAGAGATCTCTGGTCTCTAGGATTCTCGGAGCTCTCTTTTGACCAGACTCCAGTTTCGCAATGTCAGGCCATCCACGCCCGGTCCATTTTCCCCTGCCAGGACACACCAGATGTCAAGAGCACCTTGGATTTTAACATCACCTCGCCTTTGCCCGTCATGACGAGTGGTCTTCTCACTCAGTCGGATGAGACCTCGCAGTCGGGTCACAAGCTCTACCGATTCCACCAGTCGGTGCCGATCCCCAGCTATCTGTTCGCGATTGCCAGCGGGTAAGAGCATATATCTCCGTGATCCTACCGGGCTAGTAATAACTGAAAGTTTCACGTAGAGATGTTTCGCAGGCTTCGATCGGTCCTCGAAGCGTGGTAGCTACCAGCCCGGACAAGCTGGAGGAATGCAAGTGGGAACTGGAAGCCGACACAGAGAGCTTCATCAAAACCATCGAGGTATTTTAAAAGCCATTTATTTTATGAGCTTGAATTGCTGACCTGAAGGTATAGAAAATCGTGTCCCCCTACGCTTGGGGCCAGTATAACGTTTTGATTCTGCCTCCCAGCTTCCCGTATGGTGGCATGGAGAACCCGATCTTTACCTTTGCGACCCCCAGTATCATCTCAAAGGATCGTGAGAATATCGATGTCATTGCACACGAGCTCGCTCACAGCTGGAGTGGCAACCTGGTGACTAACGCTTCGTGGGAGCATTTCTGGCTGAATGAGGGCTGGACCGTGTATTTGGAACGACGGGTATGTGTATTTCCCGTCATGGAGAGCCGCACTGATTCTAACCAAATTTGCAAATAGATTTTGGCAGCAATGTATGTGTACCAGCGAGAGGCGTTCTAAAGCATTACTAACCATATCCAATAGCCATGGCGAGGCGTACCGTCATTTCTCGGCCATCATTGGCTGGAAGGCGCTTACCGATTCCGTGGAGCACTTTGGTCATGACCACGAATTTACCAAGCTAATCACTGATCTCAAGGGCAAGGACCCCGATGATGCCTTCTCGAGTATCCCTTATGAGAAAGGTTTCAACTTCTTGTTCTACCTTGAGAACCTTGTGGGCAAGCCGAAGTTTGACAAGTTCATTCCTTATGTAGGTCCTTTCTTGCTCGGGTGACCCTAGAGTATTTTCTGATATATCTTATTTAGTACTTCACCACTTTCCAGCGCAAGTCTCTTGACTCATATGAATTCAAGGCAAGCATTCTGAGCTTCTTCGAGTCGGATGCCGAGGCATCTAAGCTGCTGAACGAACTGGACTGGGATAAGTGGTTCTATTCCCCTGGAATGCCCCCCAAGCCGGAATTTGATACATCCTTGGTGGACGTGGTCTATGCGCTGGCTAAGAAATGGGAGACTCTCCCTAGCTCGTCGTTCAAGCCGCAGGTGAGCGACCTTGAGGGTCTGACAGCTAACCAGATTGTCGTTTTCTTGGAACAGATTCTCCGCTGGGAGCAGCCTCTCCGCCCAGAACTTTCCAAGTTAATGGGTGAGGTCTACGGGCTGTCCAAAAGCGAGAACATTGAGGTTTCCAACCTGTATTTCCAAGTTGGTATGAAGGCCGGCGATGAGAGCGTCATTGAGCCAACTACTGAGCTACTAGGCCGGATTGGAAGAATGAAGTTTGTGCGACCTCTGTAAGTTGCCCAGCCACTATAGCTTGTTGACCATGAGCTCACCGAATCCCCAGGTATCGTAACCTCCAGAAGATCAACCGACCAGTTGCCCTTGCAACCTTTGAGAAGTACAAGGACTTCTACCACCCCATCTGCCGTGGTATGGTCGAGAAAGACTTGTTCGGCAAGAAGGAAAACTAGATCATCTGAGCCTTGTCTACAAGAAAAGCAATCCCCAAAAAGGCAAATCAAAAAAAAAAGACAGAACAGTCCTAGACATTTCACTTGAAAAGAGAGCCAGGTCTAATTTGAGTAATGGAATAATGGAATACTGTACATGATGTGATTAACCTCGCAGAAGGCGGAATTTCAACGTAGTAAAACAAGATCCTGAAAAGAGAAGGTCCGTGCTCAAAGGCACTGTTATGTCCAGACTTGAGGGCTTACTTGCCCCCAGCCATTCTCTTATCCGCAGGCGAATACCCAAAAATACCCGATTCTTGGGTACTTCCTTTGCTGAGTGCAAAAACTATATCCGCCTCTTGCATCTTTGAGAGCTCCGACAGGACTCGTCGCATATAAGTCACCACCCAAGCAACCTTAGTCCAGTCAATATCATCTCCATCAGCACCCACCGAGTTGGCCTTCCACAGGTTCCTCCAGACAGCAGCACCCAGCACCGCGTCGCCCTTGGCCAGCCCCTCGTCATATGCGGCAATAATTCCACGCCATTGGATAAAAAGATCCTTCAGATACTTGTTACGGATAGAACGGCTTCCAATGTCGTGTAGGACATCCATGCGGTGTTCGGCGTTGTGTGAGAAGTGGTCAATGAGGTGGCGGGAGTAGGTCTGGACACTTTCACGAGTGGGAAGGGCACGAAGTCGAACAGTTAAAAGATACATGTGCAGGAAGGTGATTTGTGACCAAGTGGAAAATGTTGGTACAAGGCCAAGCTCTGTTTAAAACCAGAAGTCAGAAACTAGATTCAGCTAGCCAGTTGCTCCCAGCATTACTTACCTCGATACCACCAGCTATCACTGACGCCAAGATGCTCCCCCGACTCTGTCATAGGAACCTCAACCCCCTTTTGAGTTGCCTGAGGGACTTGGTAGTCTGCCTGGCTCGAGCAGGCTTCAAAAAGCTTCTGGGTCATTCCATACGCGACGTAGGTCTCGGCCGCGGCTCCGGGCCCAGTCGATACATTCCGGATGAGGCCGTTTGGTCGGGTAGGAAGAGTTAGGCGCAAAGGATATGAATTAAGAGACGTGGTTGAAGCAACATAATTGCTTGCACGCCCTGAAGTCGAGAGAGATGCGCGCTGAGACAAAGGTCGCTAGGCTTGGTTAGTATTCAAGTCGTTGCGCCAGGAGACATTGGAATAGTACCGGAAGGCAAAATGCCTGCGACCTGCGAAGGCCGCATGCAGACAAGGTCAATCTTGTGGTTGACATTATTTCTTTGGTGGATGCGTTTGTTGAAAGTCGTCGGCGATCTTTTCTGGGTTATCGCGGCGTTTGCACGGTTTGCGTCGGGTGAGCCAATCATCGCTCTCGCTTACCCGGGGAATACAGTCATCTTGCTAGTCAGGAATTATTATAATTTCTAAAACACTTTAATATTGGAAGAAGTAAGAAGACATTCAGCTCTTCAATATTTACGATGATCTATTCGCCTGTATCCATGGATGATGAAGAATGAACGAATGAAACCCCGCTATGACATCCGCGACTTAGAGCTATGGCCAAGGTGCTTGTGCACATGAGAGTCTATGATAATTGATCATTTCGTTTATTAGGTATATTAATTTTTCATGAACTGCATTTGTAACGTGACCTTGATTCTTGGGTCTCTTGATGAGAGTCCCTCATGCCTCTGGATTGAAATCGGATATGCATAAGCCATCGCGGTTTCAGGCTGAGGAATTTTTGGATGCTTCTTCGTTTTATGTTTTTGGATTTTTTGGCTCGTTTGATGGCGTGTGCGATAAGACCGGCTAACGAAGAGTCATCCATCTAGAACGACTCGTTCTGAGCGCTTCTCTACTAGGGGCAGGATCTCAGATAATCGATTGGCATCTCGCATCAATGCAGGGATATCAACCCGGGTATTTGCAAGGGTCTGTCATATCGTTTAGTTGGGCTTTCATGCGAACACATTTCCAAGGAACCGCCCATACCTGTCTCACTTTCTCGTATTCACACTCCTTCGATTGGTATTCTCGGATTACCTCGCGAGTCTCAAAATCCACATAGACACGGGTGTCACGAAGACGGATCAATACATTGTCCAGTCTCATAAAGAACCTTGTCAAAAGAAGCAGTCTTTCGGGCATCACACGGATCTTGCACGATAGCATGGCGATCCCGTTGTCTGCCAATTCGTCCTCGTAGAGAACAACCTCATCGAAGAAAAGAATAGGATCTGGGCGTGTCAGAAGCTCGATGGGTATAGGATTAGAGGTCTCTTCAAATGGTGGGGCACTGGGGCTCAATGTGCCCATGTAGTCGGTGCTGTAGGACCAGTCGAAGGGCTTTACTACTTCTTTAATCCCCTCATGTGTTTTCTCCCTATGGATCTCAAGACGTTAGAAGATAGTGAGCATTACCCACAAATTTGAGTGGGATATATCAATGTGCGATGTTACAGTACCTGCTCTTCTGCCATTCTTTCGAATAAGCCACTTGCAGCATCGACTGTCCAGTCTTGTCGACTCGATCAAGGGCATCGGAAGAGTTGAAATTGATACCCCAGCCACTCTTTTCATGCTCAATCATAACATAATTGTCGCCGAAAATCATTTCAGGAGGTGCAATGCCGAGCTTCTTCGTCATCTCCTCGATCGGGTCTGCTTTTAAGATGGGTAGCTTCTGAGTGGAGATACGGAAGCCTTGAATTGTGATCTCCTGTGGGCGTTTAGTTGGATAGACTGCCGCATGCCCTGTAGGCGGCACAGTGGGGGGTGATCTGGAATTCATGATTTCTTCTCAAACCATGTCGTCATGAATGAAAGCGTTATCAACTAACAATCGCGATATGAAGTTCAGCCCCGCGGGCGGAGAAAGAGGCGGGCCGATGCCGTTGCTGGGGGGATGACATTGATTACGGAAACCCAAACACCCGTTCCTATTCTCCCTCTCTCTCCACTTGTCAATCTTCAAATCGACCTTCACACTTGACAACTGCGATTAATGTTTTTTTAATTCTCCTAGAGCTTTTGTGTCCACTTTACTGGTTCACTCCTTGTTCTTTCTTGCTTTTCTGTTTATTACATCCTCATCACAATGGCAACAAAAACATTGGAAGCTCGCTTTGAGCACCTCTCTGTTAAAGACGAGAAGGATCGCACTTATGCGAAGAACAAGGTATGACAACGTCAGGGTACTCTGAAGAAATTTGGCATGCTGATCGGTCAGGCACCAAAGGGTTCCATCTCGACGGCAGCTTCGTTGTCCGGTCTTGGTTCATCCCAGAGTAATTCAAACCGGGCTCAATTGCTGAAATTGGCGCTGCAAAACACAAATGAAAACAAAGCCAATGCAATGAATGTCCCGTCATCTCCTGGTAAGGGCCAGGGGACAGTGGTGACCCGTAATACCGATGAGAACGGCGATCAACGCACGTCAACTTCGATGCACGACCAATCCTCGGTGCCAAGGCAGCTGCATCTTGGAATGTTTGAAATCGGGAAACCTCTGGGTAAGGGCAAGTTTGGCCGGGTTTATCTCGCCAAAGAACGGTCTTCCGGCTTTGTGTGTGCCCTGAAGGTGCTGCATAAGTCGGAACTTCAACAAGGGGGTGTCCAGAAGCAAGTTCGACGTGAGATTGAGATTCAGAGTAATCTTCGTCACCCCAATGTCCTCAGACTCTACGGCCATTTTCATGACAGCAAGCGAATTTTCTTGATCCTGGAATTCGCCGGTCGTGGTGAATTATACAAGCACCTTCGAAAGGAGCACCGATTCCCGGAGTGGAAAGCGGCGCAGTACATTGCACAGATGGCGGCAGCGCTGAAATACTTGCACAAGAAGCATGTCATGCACCGTGATATCAAGCCGGAGAACATTCTGGTCGGTATCCATGGAGAGATCAAGATCAGTGACTTTGGTTGGAGCGTCCACGCTCCGAACAATCGACGACAGACAATGTGTGGAACGCTTGACTATCTGCCCCCAGAGATGCTGAAGCCGGGCTCCCAAGACAACTACTACAGCGAAAAGGTGGATCTCTGGAGCTTGGGTGTCTTGACCTACGAGTTCCTGGTCGGCGAGGCACCCTTCGAGGACACGCCTGTCATGACTCAGCGACGAATTGCCAGGGCTGATATGTCCGTTCCATCTTTTGTCAGCCCTGAAGCAAAGGACCTCATCAAGAGGGTAAGTTCTCAAAGCCTTACCTGCTGCAGTATAGCCTAGCTGACGATCTATAGTTACTGGTTCTTGATCCCGAGAAGCGGATTCCCCTCGAGGAGATCCAAAGCCACCCCTGGATTGTCAAGCACTGCGTGAAAGATTTAAAGCGGAGCTCTAGCTCCAAGGAGGGCAAAGCATGAATGCATATGCATGAAACATTGGCTATAAGGTGTCTTTTATTTTCTTTGATTTTATTCGTTGAACAGACGATGGAGTCTTCAGGCGTTGGGTTCTGCTGTGCATCATTCGGAGTTTGGTGTTCTTTCCTGGAGTATAGCCACGTCAGGCATTCGCGATATGGGGACATGTGTTCTTTTAATCTTGCTTCTTCAGTGCCAATGAAATATGGTACATTCAAAAACTCTATGGTACAGGTGGAGGGTGGTATAAAAGCTGACGTCGTAGACTGCAGGGTAAGAAAGAGGAGAGAAGAAGGGGGTCCGGTCTCATCGGTAAATTTCATCAAAGGGTCTCGTGTCTCGGAAACAACTACCCCAGACCTCGTCGACCACTTGCTTTGCATGGGCCTCATCCCGGCAGGTCGGTCGCGCCCTCACGGAAAGAATCGCTCTTCGCCGGACACACTCTTGGTGTTGCTCAGTGAACTTCCATTGGCCTCTTCGGAAGAACTCTCGCGACCATCTGCATTCACCGCTCAAAGAACTTGCTCGAATCTAGCAGATCATTAGTTGATGAAACTCTTTGGGTAGATTTCGCTATGGAGCATGTTTAAATACCTCTGAACAAGCAGCATGTCGTAAGTTATCCGTCCAATTCACCTTGAATCGTAGGTGGTCGTAGGCGTGGACCATCTCGTGGGCTAGTGTGTCCTCCAAATGACCTTGATCCTTCATTTCATTGGCACAAAGCAGAATGCCATACTCAGGATCAAAACCGCCTGCTTTCCTATTTGTACAACGACGACAGTAGATATTGTGACTGTGAAGATCGCCTCCTAGTTGCTTGATATTGTCGCTGAGATAGCGGATGACGGGGCCTATGCGGAGGAGTTCTTTTAGTATTTTGGCCGGCGCAGGAGCTCCATGGGAGAAGCGCCTTACTGTATTGCAGGAGAAAGTCGCGCTGTTCGTCGCAGCGTTTGCAATCGGCAGCCTCATTTCGAAGGTCTCGCGCAACTCGGAACTGTTCAATTCCCTCGGAGGACATCTTGCCGGTCAGAATCCGGTAGATGTTGCGGAACTGGGTCCATGTATCATCACCGGCAACATAGCCCGTCTCGGGCTTACCATTATTTGGCGCAGCTGATTCTGATGACTGGGAATCGGACATGGCGATTGCGGACACTCTCCAAGAGCTTCCGCGGAGCGAAACGAAGATTCACCACAGAGCGGAGTGGCATGGCAGAACTCAGCGATGGCTCTGATGCGAAACGGTTCTTCAAAATCTTGATTCCCGAATTCTCAACCCAAATTTAGAGGCACGATAATTAAATCCAGTTTATGCTGTTAAGACCAGTCGGTACTATAATACTCTGACGGTCTTCAGCCATCATGGCCACCCCGGGTCTTACAATTGTGATCAAATTAGGTGCGGGGATATATATCTTGATATGACTCGATGCCGAAATCGGACTGACGTTATTGCTCTAAAAAATAGGAACCAGTTCTATTGTTGACGAGAAAACACATGAGCCTATTCTCTCTATCCTCACAACAATCGTTGAAACGGTAGCAAAGCTGCGCAAAGATGGTCACCGGGTCGTTTTAGTCTCATCAGGTGCAGTGGGGGTTGGCCTGCGAAGGATGGACGTCGACGACAGACCAACCTATCTGCCCCGAATACAGGCACTTGCTGCTGTTGGCCAGTGCCGACTCATGAGTCTTTGGGATAATCTTTTTTCCCACCTTCGAGTCCCTGTGGCTCAGATCCTTCTGACGAGAAATGACATTGCCGACGTGAGCCTTCAAATCCCCAGTTAACTGTTAAGTTCTCATAATAACATCAAGCCTAGAACACCCAATATGTCAATGCCCAGAATACCTTTGAGCAGCTTTTTGATATGGGTGTGATTCCTATTGTTAACGAAAACGACACCTTGGCCGTTTCTGTAGGCGACCATCAATTGCTAGCCACAACTGAAGAGACCTATGATCTAACACAATATTGGATAGGAAATCAAATTCGGCGACAACGATACCCTTTCGGCAATCACAGCTGCCACAGTCAAGGCGGATTACCTGTTCTTGATGACAGATGTAGACTGTCTATACACAGCTAATCCACGCAGCGACCCCAACGCTCAACCGATTGAGGTCGTTTCTGATATTTCAACGCTAGAGGCTGACGTTTCATCTGCCGGCTCCGCCTTGGGCACTGGGGGTATGAGCACCAAGATTGTGGCTGCAAAGCTGGGAACTAGCGCTGGTGTGACGACCATCATCACCAAGAGCTCAAAGCCCGGAAATGTTCATGAGATTGTGAAATATTTGCAAGCACTTCAAAGTATCACGAAGCCCAATGATGCGACTGCCGTGGTCAATTTACCAAAACCTCCTCTCCACACCCGATTTCTTCCGTCTGATGCCCCCATCCAGTCTCGAACGTTCTGGTTACTTCATGGACTTACACCTCACGGTTCTCTGTACATCGACCACGGCGCCTACGAAGCATTACTCAATAAGGCGAGTCTCCTCCCAGCCGGAGTGCTTGGGGTCGAAGGTCATTTCGGACAACAAGAAGCTGTGCGTCTAATTGTTGTGGATCGGCCTTCCCCCGATGCTTTGAATGGAGACTTCCTCCACCACTCCCAGGAGCCCAAGGAAGTGGGTCGCGCCATTGTGAATTATGGAAGCATTGAGATTGCACATATCAAGGGACACCGGAGTACGCAGATCGAGGCTTTGCTTGGTTATGCGGATAGTGATTATGTAGCACTGCGGGATAATATCTCGTTTCACCCCGAAGATCGGCACAATCACTCAGCGACTCCAGCATTAACGCCGGCTCTGGAAGAGTGGAAATCTCCAAAGACATCACCATGACGGAGAGAAGAAGACTCTACATATCTGGAGGCGCCATTGACATAGGCGTGCAGTTGTGTATTGTACATATGTGAATAATTCAACTGATGCAGCGTACAATTTCGATGTGGGAATACAGATTAGAGAAAGAACATGCCATGTGCATATGACAACTGCCAGGGAATAGAGCATCTACCCTTATTGAACACCCCATAATTACACGGATACCTTAACGGTACTAGGCACGGCCCAATGTTCGAAACCCAGAAGAGGTTTCTTCTGCATGTCCACTGAGAGGGCACCTTTCTTGACTTATACCCCAGCTCTAATGAAGCGTTACGCATATTGGGCTGAATCAAGTGAGGTCACATGCTCGTTAATGCCTGGAAAACAAGTATAGCTGCATCTTGTCTAAATTGCAATTGACAGCGCTAGTTCAGACATGGGTTGCTGAGGTGCCTAACTAAATGTGTCGTTCAATTATCAATCTCCAAGAAACATTGGGTTCGACTAACTAGGAAGGCCTAAATGACACACCTGGAGAGCGACCCAATTTAGAACTTGCAGTTGCCACTTCATGGGAATCCTCCATATTGAGCCATAATTAACCATTTCGCTCTAGCCAATCCTGCATTCTCTTGTCCAACGTCGGCATCGCAGCCGGGGCAGCCTGGAAAGAGTCAGTGCATCTCATTCTAAATTAGGGTTATCAATGATCATAGACGAACCGTATTCTCGATGCTGTGGGCTGTCCAAGTGGCATATGCTGTATCCGTATAATCCACTGTTGGGGCAGGAAGATACGTGGTGGCAATGGAGAAAGGAAAAGGAGGGTATTGAGGCGTCGCCGGTTTGTCTGCGATGGTGGTGCCCGCTCTTTTGGGCATCGGAGCATACTTGGTCCGGCCCGTCTGCTCTCCGTAGGGGATCGTATGGGGATCTAAGGCCAACCGCTTTCGCAGCTCATGATGGTCCGGCTCATGGCTCGCAGAGGGTACTGGGGTAGGTACTGGGAACTGCAAAGCAGACTGTGATGCATTCAAACTTGGGGTGGCTTCGGTGGGATCTAGGAGATTGTCGTCCACGAAATATGATGCTATGGGAATAGGTCGCATGAGCTGGACGGCATCTGACACTTTGGCAGAGAAGGTGCCTTTCATATTGGTGAGTGTGAAATGAGATGTTAAACCCGACGCAACGCTCTTGGTGGTGGAAGGAACAATCTTCAGGAAGCTAGATAGGATTAGCTTGAGCCCCGATAGCCAGAGGATGTCACACATACTATGCGTTTGGATCATTTCCTCCCACGCTTTGGTCGACCCGGAATGACACCAAATCACCAGCTGTATAAGAGACATTTTCGACCACTCGCTCCAATGTTTCCTACATCATTGTTGTCAGTCGTTGCATTAGGGTTGGAAGCTAGGGATTAAACAGTCACCTACGTATTCGCCCGTGGATTCGTCTCCAGCACAAAGCCAGAGATCATAACGCGCCGATGTCGCGCCTTCTAAGCCCCAAACAAGGCCCACAACATCTTGACTGTTAAAGGTTAGGCCACTAATGGTCTGAGCTGTGGCAGCCGCAAACAGAGATAGACTAGACCACAGCCGATGAAGCCTCATGTTGAATTGGAATATGGCAAGAGATGCGAAGTGACTAAGGGGCGAAGAAGGAAAGGTATATCGCTTCTCTCCCTCTCCTCTCCCCCTTTGGTCCATTGGTATGTGAACCCATTCCAACCCTTTGCTCCACAAGTTGATGTGCACTAAGATAAGAGCGATAAGATAGGGAGTGGTCCGTGCTATCGCGTCGACTGACCTTCTCCTGGAACCTGGAAACTCCCGACCTTCCGCTCATCAGCCCACCATGTCAAGCCAGGCCAGTTGGAACTCCGTGACTGGGATCGCAACCCTTCTTTTCGATGGCAATTTAATTGCCATTGCAATCGCGGTACTATTTACCTTCGGTGTTCCCGTTCTTCTGCATATTCTCTTTTTCCAAGCTGTAGCCTCGCCGCCCTCGAGCAACTTCCTGTTGTTAGGGCCCAGCGGATCGGGAAAAACTGCATTTACAACCTTGGTGAGCTTTCGAATCCCTCTGGATCTTGAATCATCTGTTTTCTCCTTTGCTTTATATAAGACTTGCAAATGCTGACCCTTTCCATAGCTTGAGGCGAAGTCTTCCCCGGCGTCAAAGAAGTCGCATTCCACTCACACCTCTCAGAGCTCGACCTTTGTGTCGGTCACTCTCCCTCCCGCTGTCCCGACTGCTTCAAATCGATACCGATCTGTCAATGATCCCTCGTTGAAGGACGCTGCCCGAAACCCAATTCGCTACCAGGTGAAGGATACCCCGGGCCATGGCAAGCTCCGTGCTTCGCAAGGCATCGCTGCCCTCCAATCTATGGCTGGCTCCAAGGACTTGAAGACTAAGATTCGGGGAGTGCTCTTCATGGTGGATACCGCCGCCCTAGTTGATGAGGCCACATTGCGAGACACCGCGACCTATTTGCACGATGTGCTTCTGGTTCTTCAGAAGCGGGAGCTGAAGAAGTCCTCCACCAAGCGATCTATGGAGATTCCTGTCCTGGTGGCGGCCAACAAGCAAGACCTATTCACGGCTCTGCCCCCTGGTTCCGTACGGGAGAAGCTGGAGGCCGAGATCGATCGGATTCGGAAATCCAAGACCAGAGGCCTGATGGATGCAAGCGCAGACACTGGACTTGATACGGAAGAGGAAGTTTTGGGAAATGATGATGCGCAGGGTGTCTTTAGCTTCAAGTTGCTTGAGAATGAAACAGGAGTCAAGGTGGAGGTGGTGGGTGGTGCCGTCAAAGGCGACTCGGAGGAAGAGTACGGGTCTGGCGTCCGTCGCTGGGAGGAATGGATTGGCATGTGTCTTTGAACGATGCTTGTCTGCTTTGGAATCTCCTGAAAAGTGTCAAGACTTGATATGTTAGCGGATCATTGCTCGGTTGTACATAACAGAGTATACGTACATACTAGGTACCGTAGAGGGCACGTTCATCATCCCCATAGGTCTTTTGAGCCCTTGAGTTTGAACAAAAAAAAAGATATACTCAATCAATAAGCATCCTCTAGGAACAATTATGACGATGGATCGAATCACAAAGTGGATCCCGTCCAGGCATCCATTTACTTTCAAACAAACCCTCGAACTTGTTCTTCCACTTTTCAACTTGTCAAACTTCTTTCTTCTCGAATCTCGTTCCAAGCTTTCATCTTTGGGCCTCTATCTCTGTTTTGTTGATCGAATCTGGGGAGGTGGAGGGCTGTTTCCCCTGAGTCTAGGATCTTTCCTGGTCTCCCACAGACTAACCGGGTCAATTGGACACCCTGAGCTCCTACTCCAGAGCCACGTACAGTACAAAGCTCTAAATCGACGCCGAACCTTAATTATATGCACGGAAGAGGCGGATACGCTAGTGGACCGATCATTCCACCCGAGTTGGCTTTTCGACTGATTTGCTGATTTTGCAGCCAAGAGCGTGGCGGTGCAGTGCTAATGGGCATTCTCCACCGACGCGCTCTCTCCTAGAATCTTACCTTGCCCTTGGCATGATTCAGGATAAGCATGGCCGAAATTTCTTTCAACAGACGTGAGGGGCTGGGGAGGTGGAGGTTGAGTTCCAAGCTCAGTCGCGTACTCCCCCAAAAAACACAAGTCACCGTGCACTGAAAAAGCAAGCGATAGGAAGATCTCCTCTCGATCGCGGATGCCAAGATCTCCGGGGCCTCGTTGTCCTCCATCTTGGATTCTGCGGCCCGGCTGATTGGTTCCATCGATTTGCCAGCGGTGGAGGTCGTGTTGTTGTTTCCCGCCTGTATAGACCCGCCTGCTTGCTTTTTTATTCCCCAGCTGAATTGTGACGTCTGGTCTTCCCCAGTGTCCTTTTTTTGTGTGTTTTATTAATTTCCTCTCGATCTTACGATCTGCTTCTACCCCCTAATTATTTCAAACCACCTTCCAGTCTTGGGATCTTCTGTGGATTTATTCTCCTGGCCGCATCTAGGGCCAACAAGATGGGCTCCATCCGACCCGAAATCGAAGAGCCGCGCATGCATGAAGGCGGGGACGGAATATTCGCGACTCAGGAAAAGGGTCATCCAAGCTCAATCTTACCGACCCTGGAGAAACACCACCCAACTCGATATGTGCTGGGATTATTTCGGGTCGATAGTGCTGGGGAGAGTGGTCGCTCGGGCTTCCATCCTCTGCATTTCTTTCGCGTGGTCTTCAAGAGTGTGTGCACCGCTTCGATGATGGTGAACATCCTCTGGCCCTTTGTTCCCGCCGCCATTGTCATGCACTTCGCCCGACCCGACCTTCATGTCTGGGTCTTCGCCCTTAATTACATCGCCATGGTCCCGTCCGCGAATGTCCTAGGATTCGCAGGCGGAGAGTTGGCCAAAAAGCTACCCAAAACATTGGGAGTTCTACTGGAGACGGGAATCAGTTGCTCGGTGGAACTCGTGCTAATTATGGTATTGCTTCACAATGACAAAAAGGGTGAGGGTAACCTCATCCCGGTCATCCAAGCTGCCATTCTCGGGTCTATCCTTGCAAACCTACTGCTTTGCCTAGGAACCTGTTTCTTTGTTGGCGGTCTCCGGCGGAATGAGCAAGTGTTCCACGAGGCCGTCAGCGAGGTGGGCACAGGATTGTTGCTGGTCGCCGGGTTTGGCCTGCTGATTCCCAGCGCTTTTTACTCCGCTCTGAAATCTGCCACCAATGAGGAGTTCACCCAGGCTATGCTAGAGGATTACACCATGCAGATCAGTCGTGCCACAGCTGTCGTACTCCTCGTCGCATTCCTAGTGTGAGTTTCCAAAAGGTCTATGAAAAATGACTGACTGGATCGCCGTGCTGACTTTTGATGGTAGCTTTCTCATTTTTAACCTGCACAGTCATAACAGCATGTTTGACGACATCTTGGAGACGGATGAGGCTCAGGACGAGGACAGACATAAGGAATTAAACAGGGCAAAGCTCACCTTTGCGGAATGCTTGGTGGCAATTGCAGTCGCCCTGACCTGTGTCAGCTTGTCGGCCGTATTCCTGGTTCAAGAGATTGAATATATTGTGGCCCTTGGAGTATCCGACAACTTTCTGGGATTAATTTTGGTTCCACTGGTCGAGAAGGCGGCCGAGCACCTGACGGCAGTGGACGAAGCCTATGACAACCAAATCAACTTCGCCCTTTTCCATTGCTTAGCTCCTTCTATCCAGACCGCTCTGCTGAATGCGCCATTGGCGGTCATCGTGGGCTGGGGTCTGGGCAAGGACATGAGCCTGAATTTCGAGATCTTCATGGTTGTTCTCCTGGTATTGTCGATATTGGTCGTTGGCAATTTCTTGCGAGACGGCAAGTCAAACTACTTGGAGGGCGCTCTCTGTGTGTTGATCTATGTAATTATTGCAGTCACTACTTGGTATTATCCCAAGGTCGACGTGACTTCGACCAACCAAGCCTAAAAATTGATCGTCTCTAGCAATCATGTTGAGCGTTCATGTCTACAGTCATACATGTAATTGATATTGGAATTGATTTTCACCCATAAATACTCCACATACTTCTGGATAATTAAATGTATAGTTGACCTAAGTTTATAATGTTATCACAACGTGTTGTGTCCCTATACCCGAAATGGCAAACTGTGTACATCCACGTGACCATGTATTCACCGCTGGAGTCTCCGCGGAGCACGATCTCCTGGAAGGCCGTTCGCTTAGCCCGGAAACAGGTTCCCAGCACTGCGAATCCCATGAATCATATTCTGCAATTGGGTTTCAATCTCTAGAAACTCGCAATTTCCCCCTTCGTCACAAAGCCGCCGACTCTCGCACTCCGCCTCGTTGCATTCGAACCTCAGCCTCACAAACCACGGACGCACTTCATGGAGGTTACCAGCTTGGATGAAGTCCTTTCGATACACAAGGAGCGGGATATCCCCATCAAACGGGATGTGATCGAGTCGGCTCTGGAGGACCCCGCCGCGGGTCTCGGGAATGCGGAGTGGGTATCCAAACACTTGCGACCGAAAACGCTTCTATCCAAGGAAGAGCTGAGCCTGTACGTGCGACGATAGCATCTTTCATCATTATATCCAGCTGACCAGAAGGATTAGCTATACAAAGCTCGAGAATTCTGGTGCTCTCCAGCCCATCCTTCGCGACTCCAGTCTTGCTGCGACACGGCCCTTTCTTGAGGACGACATACGAAGCACTATTCATTCTCTTGAGATCTCCACAGCGGCAATACAAAAAAAATCCCAGGCGCTTTCTGCACAATGCGAAACACTCAAAAAACAAATGCGCCGGCAAGAGGGCCTGGAACAAGATAGAAACCGGGACATCGCACGACTGCGGAAGAAGCATGAAGGTGGGAAACAAAACACTACAGTTCTGGTAATAACGCCTTGAGAGATGTTGAGAGCAGCTTGCTGAAAGTCTACAGGCAAATGATCTTTCCGATGAGCTCGATGCGGGCTTCAGGAACGAGACAGACAAAGCGGGGGCAGAAAGCAAACGAATCCTCTCGTTGCTGTCCACCCGGATGAAACTTGACGATAGAATTCTTGGTACTCTGGAGAATCTGATGCCTGAAATCAAGTCGAATGGAAATGATGCATCCACTGTCAAGCGAGCAGCACACTTGAGTGAGACTCTGGCGGCGTGCAGCGCAGAGGAAATTCACTATCGCCTGGACCGACTATACCTAGAATCGATCCGAGCCGGAGAAACCAAAGACCTGAAATATACACACGAAGCGGAGGACGAGACCATCTCGGCATTGGAGGAGGAGCTGGAGTCTCTGTATCCTGAGATCGAGATCTTGGCCGAAATGTCCACCAAGCAGCAATTCTACGAGCCGATTCTACGCGAGATCCACAATGAACACAGCCAGCTTCGGGTAACTTCACAGAACAAGTTGGAACAGGTGCGCGGCTTTCTGTTTTCCAGATCTGACATGACCGCTAATGCACGCCAATAGATCCTTGATGTCTTAATTGACATGACTCTGGCCAAGCAGGCATTGACGGCACAGCTAGCGGACCGGGAATCTTCATGTGAACTATTGGAGCAAATTGCAAGTCTTTATCAAGCCGAAACAACCACTCAGCTTGTGACCCAGCCATCTTCTCGTCGGGAATCCATTAGGCGGCGGTCCTTGCAGCCTAGTATAATTCTCGGGGCCACACGCAACCCCACTCCAATGCCCGAGTCACCTTCTCTAGAAAACCTTCTCCGGCGCGTTGGCTTGTCACCCGAGTCAGTGCTCCGCCCGCGGGCAGAGGATGGCGGTGCTCAGGGACTCTATGATAAGCGAATCCACATGTCGGAGACCATCCACAATCTCGAGACTGCGGCCGAATTACCCCTGGTGGCTCATCTGGATCATACAGATAGCTCATCCCAGCTGCTGGCCTCCTCATTACATGGCCATTCCCAATTTGAAACCTCGTTGCGAGATCTTGGACAAGAAGGTGCATTGTTGGGTCTGGAAACTGAACTCGCCTCACTTCAAAAAGGGGTGCAAGGGTTGAACCTGAATGTGCTCCATCAGCGGGATAAGACCCAAGCTAAGTTTCTTGAGCGGTGGAGTTGAAAGACCCAGTAATACTGCATAATAACGTGGGAAGAATATGATATCACCGATTAAGCCCTGCGGCTTTTCGTAGCTTCTGGACCTGTAATCTCCATTGACGCGGGAGCAACCCAAAACCAACCAACAGCATACTGCACCTCTGATTCGACAATCCGTAAGAACGGTGGCGAGTATAACCTGGTCTGCGCCACTGTTGTTGCGACAATATTCTATCAAGATCCGACCCTTCGGAGATATCTACTGATGTTGGAAGTAGGCGAGAAACAGATTGCATGGCGACTGCAAACCACGATTCCATGCATTTCGGAGGCTCCTGTGTGGCAGCCCCCCTCACGTGCCCTGCGATCGTGAGAGCAAGGCAGACTTCGACAATCCACCCTTGTCAAAAATGTGACAACAAGTTCCCTTGATATGACGAAGTTGGGGGAAGGAGGGTATAGTAAGGTGCATTAAGCGTGACCTGTGGTTTCCTTGTGCTTTCCCAGCTGACTTGGGCTCTAGACCCCCTGTGACCGTATATCAGCCACAGTCCATCACTGGAAAATCGAATAACATTAGAAAGAAACGAAGGCACACAGCCTTTCGATATCCTTCGTCATATCCGATCCGCTTTCATACATAATGCACCAACTCTGCAAACTCTTTTCTTCGTTTGTGACGAAACAACTATTTTAACCAGGGCGTGTCGTGCCCTAAAGTCTGCGACATAAAGAAAATCACCTGCTTTGAACCCTATGACAGTCACCACATGCCATCAAATTGTTGTTTATAGCACTTTGAACTGAGACGACAAACTTTATGTACTCCTTCCTTTGATCATGCCTTTGTACCTCAATCGACACCTATGTTCAAACATCTCTTTGTCAGTCGAGGCATTATTCGCTTCAGGTATCCAAATCTATAAATTTGTATTTCGAACCCGCTCCTGCGGGTCACGCACATCCGCTGATTATCGAGAAACAAGGCATGCGGTTCATCGAGATCCGTTTAAGAAGCTTTTCTCAGAGGCTTCGAACATCTCGCCCATCGCCAACAATCAGTAACGGCTCGACTTTCTATTCATCAGATATCGATATCCATTATCGGCGACCCCGGCGCTCTGAGAGTGACTCCGCATCAAGCTCTTCATCGTACTTCATCGAACGCTCAAGGCTTCGGCCACGTCGAACATATTGGACAACTGGGAGAGAGGGCATGGATCCACCCCAGCACAAGAGCTGGTTCTCCTCATGGTTCCATAGAGGTCCCCTACCCTCAAGGAGGAAAGCAAAACTCCCACTAAGGGAGCAGACCCACCGGGCTTTCGTTGTTGACCCCCCGGAAGATACGAGCGCCTATCGTTATCGACGTCCACCGCCATCAGCGCCTGCCTCTAGAGCACGGCCTGTTTCATCGAGAATGGACACCTTCACTAGTCCACGGGTGCGCCCTCAATCTCGTTCTCGGGACCGAGACGTTCATGTAATTCCTGGAGTTCATGAAGTCCGCGAAGTCTACACGGAAGCCCCAAGGGCGGAGAATCGTCGCTCAGTCGTTCCCCAAGTACGGCCTGTAACGCCCAGAGGGGAATCATCTTTTGCCGGCTGGCGAGGGCGTTCCAGATCACGCACCAGGGCTTCCCGAGAGATCTACGAGGTCGTTGAAGCGCGCCCGACAGAACCAGACACTCGACATAGTTCAACTCGTTCTCGTCCTCCCCGTGAACGGACTCCAGTAATGGAACGAGAGCCTCGTCGACCAGGGCGCTGGATTTCTCCAGTCCGCCAAGGCAGGAGTAGGCGCACAAGCCCTCCCTTAGACCGCCGCCCCGACCCAGATTGTCGATTCGCTCCCACGGATGAAGACGTCTCTTTACATACCGCCGTGCCTCGATCCATTGTGCGAGAATCACCGGAGGCCAGAGGAACGGCAACTAAAGAAGAAAGGTGGACAGTGCCACCTCGTATACCTTCCCCGACATCGAGCAACCTCAGACGCTCAAGAGAGGAGCCCAGGCCACGCAAGACTGTCGAGCGTGGCCCACAACCACAGCCCCGCCCTGATGTGATAGAGAGGCGCCCTCGTGCCAAGCAGCCTCACATTATCCAAGATGGGCGCGACGGACTGTTTGACTCGGCAGGTCACTATATACATAGGGATCACGTTGGAGATGCACCGAGGGTACGATTCCAGGAGCCTTCCCGCTTTTGGGAACCGCAACTCACTAAAGTCTTTAGACGTCGTCGCAACAGACAAGAGCGCTTTATTGATGAACGAGGTCCTCTTGATCGGTGGCGATAGACACCGGCTGGGCGTATTTTGGGCATTGTACATTGGACTTTTTTTTTTTTTTTTTTTTTTGGGGGGGGGGGGGGGGGGGGGGGCGTACCTTCTTTCGGAGCGCTATGGTTGGGATTCGGAGTTTAAGGTGGGAGGGTGGGCAAGATTATATAGTTAGGAGTTTAGATTCTTTGTAACAATTGTGATTCCTCTGGTTTCTTTAGACGAGAGAAGATTCCATGATCCAACTAGGTCGTCATATCGTCCGAGAAATGTGTAATGAGTGGAGCATTACATACTTCACCCCAATCCAGTAAGACTCCCGTTGACCTTATCTGTCCCTTCTTTCGTCCGGAACTTTCTTTGTTCTTCCGCCTTTTTTCTTCATTTCCATCTTTGCTCCGGAAATGCTCTAAGAAATATCGAATCTGTCTATGAATGATCAGGCCTAGAGTAAGTCTCACAAGCTGCGATTCCCTCGGCTATTCGGGCATGGCATGTTGACACAGTTAGGCAGCCAGGTCTTAATAGGTTCCACAGATTCTCGATCGATCGCACCCCTCCCCAGTGACAGCGACTAGTTGATTGTCACGCTCGGTTCAATTTACTCATCGCGCGTTGATTCCTCGCCTTCATTTGCCGTGAGATCGCCACGCGCTGAAGTGACTGCCGCTTTTACCCTGGGTCATAAAATGAGATATTTATCCGAAGATCCACCGTGTGCCTCTAGGTCTAGGTGCGCTATCCAAGCAGTGACAACCCCGCGGGAGTGTGTTGGGCAATAAAGAAAGACAACGATGGCCGCGGTCATGACACAGACTGAATGCGCTCAAGCCATAAGATCGCCAGGGTCTTTGCTGAAACTGGGCTCCCCAGGAGATGGAACCGGGCCGACAGAGCCACAAATACAACCAGATGGTGTTGCACCGGTCTTTGAGATGTCTCCAGATACTGCAATGCAGCTGCTTTGCAACAACCTTGAAAACCTGCAAACCCACTTCGCGGCGATGTCCACAGAACCCAATTCGCTTAGCTCCACTCCGGCGGAAAACGAGACTCCAGCCGAGGGAGATTCCCTCCTGCAGGCGGTGGGCCTACATTGTGGGGATCCCGAACACGCGGCTGACAGGACCCGTGAAGAGGCTTTCCAACTGGCGATGCTATCCAGGAAGTTTCTTTCGAAAAAGGTGCCTCCGATCCCCATCAGGGATTACTTGGTTCGCCTTCACCAATACTGCCCTATGTCTACAGCGGTATTTCTGGCTACGAGCGTGTATATAACGAAGATGGCTCTGGTGGAGAAAGTTCTTCGGGTGACGCCGAAGAACATGCATCGTCTCGTTCTCGCCGGCCTCCTGGTGGCGACCAAGGCGCTTGAAGATCTCAGCTTTCCCCATAGTCGAGTTGCCAAAGTTGGCGGGGTTACTGAGCAAGAGCTGTCCAAGCTAGAGATTAGCTTTTGCTTTCTGGCCAATTTTGAGCTGCGCGTAGATGCGCAGATGTTGATGGATGAAATCCAGCTGCGGTGCAACCGGGACTCGTCCAATGACGACACAGGTGCTTCATGATGCCTTTGAATATTTTCATATACAACTGTACAAGCCTCATGTGTAAATTAATTGCTTCCATAGCGTGAAATTCTGCTTATTGCTTGACAAATCCCCCAAACCCCCCAAATCCCCAGATTCCGCAAGAATCCGGCTGCCTTAAATGAGGCTGAGTAAGCTATAATCGTATTCGCGGCAAAAAACAAATGCGCTGGTCTTTTCCAAGATTGTGTCGCTTGTGGTTTGCTTCCCTCCTTCTCATTGACAGATCGTCTTGAGTTAAAGCAACAGAAAAAAAGGAAGAAGAAGAAGAAGAAGGGAAAAAAAAAAAAAAAAAGACGTGAGTACAGAAAGGTGTATATATTGCGGCATTGGGGTTACCGCAAAGAGAACAACAGTTGACGATCAATCTTAGCGTCGCTTCAAGGTTTCCCCGACCCCCAAAAAAAGACCAATTCCACCCTTTCCAGTCTACAGCGAACCCTTCACGTGGAGGTTTTTCTTGCTCTACGGCTTCCAGTTTATTTCGAGTGCTTTGTGTCAGAATACACGATGTCCCCTTAGAGAGATCACCGATAACGAAACAAAAGCGCCATCGACTCCTTGAACCTCGACGGCTTCCCTGAACACCCTTCCCCCGTTTGTACAAACAGAGACCTACCATGTCTTCCAAGACCTCTCCATCGGAGACTCTGGACACTAGTCCTTCGGGCCAGACCTCTGGCTCCACCCCCACTGGGAATGGCTCAACCCCTCCGAATGCCGACGTTGAGCTCACGAGCATGCAACCCAATGCGCCCAAGCCTTCAATCCCCTTGGGGGAGGATATCATGCAGTTGGCGCGGATCGGAGAGATTGGCGCGATGCAAAATTTGTTTGCGACCAAGAAATTGACCGCAAACCACAAGGATGCCGAGGGCATTACACCGCTACACGTTTGTTTTCTCCTCCCGCGAATGCCATGACTGGCCCGCTGCATGTATGATAGAGGCCGTTTTTCTGACTGTCAGATCTCAAATAGTGGGCCGCGATTAACAACCAGTATGCGATGTGCAAGTTTCTCATGGACTCCGGCGCCGACGTGAATGCCAAGGGTGGAGAGTCAGTGGCCACACCCGCCATGTGGGCAGCGCAGCGGTGTCATTACTATATTGTCAACCTCCTCCTTTCATATGGCGCGGATCCACTCTTGACCGACGTGCAAGGCTACAACATTCTTCATCTCGCGACCATTGACGGCAATGCTTTCCTTCTCGTGCTCCTTCTCCACCAAGAGATACCCGTGGATGTGGTCGACCAGCAAGGCCACACCGGGCTGATGTGGGCGGCCTACAAAGGATATCCAGCTTGTGTGGACCTGTTTCTGCGATGGGGTGCCAATGCCAACGCGGTGGACGAAGGTGGGTTGACCCCGCTTCACTGGGCGTTGGTAAAGGGCTCCTTGCCGTCCGTGTTGAAGCTGTTAGAATATGGCGCGGATCGGTTTGCTAAGACCAGAGATGGGAAGTCACCCATGACGGTGGCGCAAGAAATGAACACGCTGCGAATCTGGAATCGCGCCCTGGCGGAGCGTGGCTATGAACCTGATGGCACCCAGAAGCCGGTCCCCATGGGCCTAGCCACGTTTGTTCGGAACAAGAGCCTCATGGCCAAGTTTTTCTTCCTCTGGCCGTTCTTGACTCTTCTCATTGGGATCTGGATGTTGAGCAATCTGCCAATCCTTCTTGGCTTGCCACTCACCTTAGTCACCCTATTCGGTATGCAATGGACTGCACAACAAGTTGCCAATCGCGGACCCTCTGAGTATCGTATCTTGCAGAAGACGGTGTGTCTAATAATACCTGGGCCGATCTGTCGTAATGAAAGCTGACGTCTTATCAGCCATATCTGGCGGGTGTTTTTGCCGCAACTTTGTTCTGGGTGGGCTTCCGTTATGTCTTCCAGATTTTACCTGGTGAGTATAAGTCCCCGTGTGGATCGTTGCATAAAGGTGCACAGCTGACAGAACAAAGCGACCTACTCTTCACATCCGATCCTGAACATCTTGTTTGCCGTCTTCTACTCTTTAACTGCCTTTTTCTATACCATGGCCATGATTGGAGATCCAGGATACGTTCCGAAGATCAGTAGCCGTAACCAACAGAGAGAAATGGTTAAGCAGCTATTCGAGTTGTGGAAATTCGATGAGGAGAACTTCTGCGTTCCCTGCATGTCGAGAAAGCCACTTCGAAGCAAGCATTGTCGACGCTGCGGCCGTTGCGTTGCCAAGCATGACCAGTATGTGACATATACCCTCCCCCCAAGTTCACACATCAAATAACCGTCTTAGCCACTGCCCATGGATTGACAACTGCGTTGGAGCGAACAATCTCCGTCACTTTGTTTTGTACATTGTCTGTCTCGAAATTGGCATCATCCTGTTCGTGCAGCTTACCATCGACTGTGAGTCCTTTTCTTATGCAAGACGCAATTGAGTGAACTCGTGAGCTAAGACCAGATAGATATTACCGGCTTGCCAACTCCTGCAGATTTCAAATGCAGCATCATTAATGACACACTATGTGATTATGTTTCTCGAGACACTTTTACCCTGGTCCTCAGCATCTGGACTATTCTCCAGTTGGTGTGGGTCACGATGCTGTGCGCTGTACAACTTGTCCAAGTCTCGCGCAACCAGACGACTTATGAAAACATGAGGGGCCACTCGATTGATCGGTCCCTTCCTAGTTCCCAGGCCTTTGCCTCGGCCATGACTGCCGGGACAACGTCCATGGAGGCGGCCGGCCTCTCCGCGACCGGTCAAGGCCCTAATCCAGCCTTGGCACACTCCCACCCATCCCGGCGAAAGACAGGCTGTATCTCCCAATGGTCAGCTCTTCTGGGCATTGATACCTTCTTTGCCACGGCCAAGGACGGTCTCCGGGATGGACCGCCCGCCGGCCGGTCTCGTAACCCTTTCTCTCGTGGCGTGACCACCAACTGCCGTGACTTTTGGTGTGACCCCGCTCCGATCTTTGGCAAGCGAGAAAGTGGTGCTGCGATGCTGGGAGGTGAAGTAATCAACTATAACGACCTGTACGAAACCCCCCTCCGCATGCATGCCGGTGGTCGATCCGGTGACGGCTATCGCAGTGTAGCGGTTGAAGACCCCGAACGCATGGTATAAGATCCTTTCCCCGCCCCACGACCTTGATTTCACTTCTGGACCCGATGTTTGGAGAGCTGTCTTGGTGACCAAGGCTACCCTTCCGATTCACGGGTCTCATGTATGACTGCAGAGACGGTGTTGCATTTACGTGGCATATTATTTCCCGGTCCCTTTCCATTGCCCTCTTCCTTTTCTGTGTTGATCAGTATTTCTCATGTCTCATTTGCATTTAGAACCTTTGTACAGTGGACGCTAGATAATGAAACCCCTCCTTGTGACAATCCCTGCTCTGATCCTCCGCTAGCGCCCAAATATTGCTCCCCGCAGGCAGGGTCAGACGGCGTGATAAGATAGAGGATCCTGCAGCTAAATATCTAGGTACAATGCAGGCCTCGACGATCCATGCATCTGCAGGGCTTCTGGAACGTTACCTATATCTGCACTCAGCTCCGAGCCGAACGACCCAACGTTACCCACCCAAGTCCACCAGAGTCCACCTCGGTAGCGCAAGCGATGGGTCACAGGTGTCGGCAACGTTCATGACAGACACATTTCCTGGGTGACAGATTCTGAAGAACCTCACATACGGGAAACGGGAAAGACATTCGTTATTTCTCGAAGATCCGACTGATACTGATTGTAGGATTGATATTATCACCAGTTGACCTTGAGGGCCAATATACTTTCGGCTCCATGCAGAGTAGGTATCTTCGAGGTATATGATACATCCGATATCGCCGTAATACGGACCTTTTGGCCTCCGCTCACCGTCAAAACCTAGTCCACTGCTGACATGAATCCGCATGGTAATCCAACCGACGATCGCGTCTCGGTTGCAACCGGACAATTCTAGGCTTGTCTGCACGTTCCAAGGCATGGTAGTGGAGAAGGTATTCCTACCCCATTACGGTGTATCAGCCCCAATCAATCAAATCAATCAAATCAATATTGGGACGAGGTGGGTCCTTCGGGCACCCGGAACCAGGTCGGAAAGATGCGCCAGCTGCCAGGGATGTGGAAGTCAATTCGCCTCGTGTCAAATTACGGAAACAGGGCCAGAAGTGGGCATCTCATCTCTCGCTAGGATCCGGTTGGGTAGGTGATTGGCGGTGATATCCACTCAAGGTGGGCAGTGGTTCCAGGACAAGTCCATGAGCTACCGTAGGCTAAGCTAGTTACTGTCGATGTAGGGTTAAGGTACACGAATTATGCACCCGAGGATGAACACGCCATGTCGGAAGGATGCAAGTTACCACCCCGGGATCGGAACTGATCAGATAAAACGCGAAATTTTAATTTTTTATCTGATGGCGCCACAGACCCACTGGCCGGTCATCCAATCAGAGACCGTCCGGTTCTTGTTTTCTTACTCAACGTGTTTTTTTGTGGTCATTTTCTCTTTCTTTGCTGTTCTTTGGCAATCCGACACCGTTCGGGTTGGTCCGAGTCTACTCCGTCCAAGATCAGCACGATCAACATAGGAGAGGATCCGATCAGATTAGAAATACATATGGTGAAGCCAAGTGGCTTGGCTTCAATCCCGTGTTTCGCGCGGTTTCCGAGGCCGTGTCCGTCTTGGCTTCGGCAATGTTCTGTTTTGACCCTGAAACGAAGTCTTCGGTACGTATTGCTCGTACACGTAGAATTCAAGACAAGGTAGATAGAGATGGAGGACGGGGTCTGGTCAATTGGAGTACATCATTATCAAGTCAACAATCTAAACATCTAATATAGCCAAATGAACACATCATGTCATCCGTGAAGGAAATTAAACGGTAAGAAAAGAAAAACAACCAAGGAACTAGTAACAATGTGGCGTGTTTTTGTATAATTTTTAGTTTGGCACCGCCCCGCCTACAGCATCGCGCGCAACCGAGTGTCCTGCACCGCCGCGCCCGACAGCTGTTCCCCAAACACCGAGTTGACAATCTCACCGCCACGCACCGCCAGGATGGATAGCAAACTGTCACTGAGGCCGTGGGTCTTCTCATTGCAGCCCTGCAGCCAGATGCCCGCATGACGGCTAACCTTGCTGTCATCCAGCTGGACCCGGTAGTCGCGGCCGGGGGTCCACACGGCCTGACCGGCAGGTCGCAACCCACGCACCTGCTCCAGCAGCTGCTCGTGTGCATCACGAAGGTATCCAGTAGCCACCATTAGGGCATCCACCTCCAGCACCTCCTTGTCCTCGGTGTTGCCATCCTTGATCGACTTCACATGCACGCGCATGCGGGAGGCCGGGTTGTGATGCTCGATGCGGCCAATGGCACGCTCTGAGAGAATGCGGTGCTGCCACTGCTTCTCGTCGGGGTTCTGCATGCGCTGCAGGTACATGGTGTTGTAAATCTCCTCAATCAGCTCCAGGCGCACCACCGAGTAGTTGGTGGCCTTCTCAATTGCAATGCGCTTGGCGCGTTCCTCCGCGGGCAGCTGGAAGAACTTGTCCACGCGCTCTGGGTTGAAAATCTCGTTGACGCTAGGAAAAGGACTGAGTTAGTTGCGGTCCAGAAAAGTGGAGAAAAATAAGACCAAGGAGGAAAAATGTGCTGTCGGGTACATACAAGGGAGAGTCGTCACTGGGACGCAGTGCGGTATCGCGGAGGATCAGGGTAGTGTTGGAGTTGGGATACCGCCGTTGCAAGTCGTGGAAGATCTCAGCGGCACTCTGGCCGCTGCCCACAACGGCAATCTTGTAGTTGGCACTGTCGTTCTTGAGCACCGCGGGCAGAGTGGTGCAGTATTTAGACGAATGCATGATACGGGGGTCCTGGGGGAAACCCGGAGGCATCTTGGCCTTACCACCGAGGGCCACGACGACCTTTCGAGCTCTCCGAGAGGAGATCTCACCAGTCTCAGTGTTGCGCGAGCGAACCACAAAGTATTCCACCACGCCATCAGTGGTCTTGCCGGGGACGACCTCCACCACCTCCTCGCCGTAGTTCACAACGTTATCAAATCGTTGCGCACACCAACGCATGTAGTCTTCAAACTCCATACGAGCGGGCAGGAAAGTTCCCAGGTTGGTGAAGTGGATGAGACGGTTTTTGTTGTGCAGGTAGTTCAAGAAGGTGAAGCTGCTGCGGGGATCACGGAGGGTGGCCAGGTCCTTGATGAAGGAAATTTGCATGCGGGATCCCGGGACCAGCATCCCCGAGTGCCATGCGAATTCCTTCTGACGCTCCAGGAAGCACACCTTCGGCTTGAAGGAGTTGGGAGTGGTGCGGTTCAAGGTCGGATCCATAGCATCGTGCAAGGCAATGCCAATGGCGAGGGAAGCCGGGCCAAAGCCCACACAGAGCAGGTCATGCAGCTCATCAGCACCACTGGGACGCAGCAATGAGCGTGCCGGGGATGACTGCGTGCGTGATTCGACCTTGTTGACGAGAGGTAACTCGGCTTTCCGTGTGATAGGCTCCATTGTTGTTCGATGCGTTTGCTGTTCTTCTTCTTCTTTCTCTGTGAAAGAATTGTCCAGGTGCTTCTCCAAAGTCGAGCCCGGAGCTAAGGAATGGAGCTTAGGAGCTGTGCAGAAAGTAAAATTCAGTGCAGATTGGAGGAGCCGCGGCAGGTTATGTACAGAACCCAGGTAGCGGGATCTTGGAAGCTCCACTCGGAGATTTCTGCTTCCAGGTAGCAAGAGTCGGATCGAGGCGAACGGAGAGTTGACGTGCCGTACGATACGTTGCGTGTGGTTCCACAAAAAAGAGTGTTTTCTCGAAGAAAAAAACCAAATATCTACCTCGGAAGCGGATCAGATAAAAAAAAAAATCGCAAAGTGGAGTAATGAGCCACGAGCGGTCTGAGACGTGAGTAATTGGGGGGCGTATTATTCCCAAGGTTCCATTTATCAATCAGTATCCACTGAGAAATACACCATCTCGCTTGGTGATTCCTAGCTTTATATATTTCCATGTATTTTAATTTACCGGTTTTTTTTTAAAAACTTTACGTTTTTTTTTTTTTTCTTTTCTTCGGACCTATACCTTTTAGATCGACTCCACTTGCGCAAGGTTCCTTGCACATGGGCCATGCAATGCATGCATGACGAAAAATTAAAAAAATCCAAATATAATACAATATGTAAGTTCAGAAACTTTAAGAAAATCACAATCCATATAATTTCGTCTCTGCCCGATGTCGGGAGATGGGTCACAGGTACAGAACGGACGTTACCCGCGCGGTGCGCCTGTTGGTACCAGCGACCTCTTGGCAAACGCACTGATCCCGGGTGGAGCAGGTGGTGTGGTTGCAGGAAAAGATCCCCGGGGACGGAGAGCTTAGGCAATCATCCAAGGCGGAACATTGCTTCTTTCTCGTCTATTTTGCCTGAAACGTGGGGTTTTCCTAATAGGGAAACTAGGACAAGAAATCAAAAGCAATATGGCGCTTTGACACCTGCAAGAAACCTAGAGAATCTATAAACTCATATCTGCATCTGATGAAAATCCAATATATCTGGAATACTATAGGCCTAGAGCTCAAATCGCGACCGCTCGGGTGAAACATGACTTGCAAATCACTGCGAGAATACAATCCATACGAGCAACGTACGTCATCGTATCCACGAACCGGTCATTTAGTCTCTGCAGGCCCACTTAAGTCCGAGCCCGTTGAAATCAGTTAGACGAGGGGTTGATTAATGAAAGCACAGTTATGTCAATAGCACATTGGGAATAGTCCTATAGAGCTATTGAGCAAATTCTGTAGATAGATCAAGAGATCTATCATGGCGATGCTACCTGAGTACTTTGAAGGACTAGATTATAAGCATCATTCCCCATTCCTTCGAAACGCTGTTTAGCGTGCAAACCTCATACTTTTTGGCGCTTGTCTCGGTCATTTGGCATCACCCCATCTGCTACCCGACTACAAGACACAGAAAGGTAATTGCTGCCCATGAGTGGAAATCCACTTAACTCCCTCAAGGCTTCCCCCCTCACACTTGCTTCCCTTTTTTTGCCCTTTTTTTTTTTCTTTTTTCTATTCTTTTCCTGTTTTCTTGGACTGCGGGTTTTTCCATTGCCCCTCCATCCCTCCCCCCTCACTCTTTCCCGATCGTCACGGACCTCTTGCTGTCGCGAGCAACGCTTTCCACTTCAGGCGGCTCCCTCCTGCATAAGACCCTCGGGCCCGATCAGCCACTCACAGTCCTTCTAATAAGCAATCTATAAGCAACATTCCACCATGCTCCATTGACCCCCGAGAAATGATGGATGCATCTGCGCGTTTTCCGGACGTGGATCATCACGGCGCTGTGCGCGCCATTGTCGCTTGGCCTGTGGAGACCGTTGATCATTCATTAGAGTTGGCTGCCTGGTCTTGGGCACGGGTGTTGAGCTCCATCACAACGGACCAATCTCCAGTCTTTTTACTGAATGGATCTCTAATCAAAGTAGATTTATTCGCTGAAGCCATCCGGCCGGTGAACTTAGACGCATTATCGAATCTATCTGAACTTTCTACAAAGCTCACCGCGGTGGTCGTTGGCAACGATCCATCAACCCTTCGTTCTTCTGTTCAGCTTTCTCCCTCGTTAACGTGGTTCGTGGACCCGACTACTCAAACGAGCACGGTGCATTCTACAAATATGGATGTTGCAGCCGTGAATCAGTTGGGCACTCGGCTCTCCCATATTGTGCAAGAGCAGGTCAAGTCAGGCACACAGGTAGAACTGTCTGTTTCGGAACTGCCTCCCATGTCTATCGTCAACCCATCTCCCTGCACACTACCCGGCCCACAGCTACTCCATAAACTAGCCCTGGGTGGTTCGGATGATTCAAGTTCCGCCAATCATGCTATCGAATTCCTGACCGCAGATGGAAACATTCGCTACCTGTCATACCATGCTCTGGATCGGCTGTCTTCAAAGCTGGCCGTCGAAATTGCCCATGCTGCAGCTTCCCGATCCGATGGATCGCGCCGAATGGTAGTTCCCGTGCTCTTACCGCAATCCCTGGAGCTGTACATTTCTTGGCTGGCCATCCTCAAGGCAGGCGGTGCCTTTTGCCCGTTGAACACTGATGCGCCACCAGAACGGATAGAATTCATTCTGCAGGACGTAGCAGCATCGGTGGTGGTCACAAACGGTGCGCTGGTCGCCCGAGTGCCCCAAACTGCATCGGTGGCGGTGTTGAATACGGATAGGATTGAAGCTGATAAGACCAATCTCGCACCACCAGTCGTCGAGGTGTCACCGTCAGATCTGGCGTACGTCATGTACACATCTGGCTCAACTGGGCGCCCCAAAGGCGTTGGAATTTCCCATCTAGCTGCCACTCAATCTTTGCTGGCCCATAATGACTTGATACCCTCATTCAATCGATTCTTACAATTTGCATCCCCCACATTTGATGTCTCTGTGTTCGAAGTGTTTTTTCCCTTCATGCGAGGCGTGACCCTCATCGGTTCGGAGAGAGAAAACATGCTTCTCGACATCTCCCATGTGATGACGGTGATGCAGGTCGATGCCGCTGAGCTGACTCCCACCGTAGCGGGAGAGCTGCTGCGCACCCGCTCCGCTGCACCCTCCCTAAAAGTTCTGCTCACGATTGGTGAAATGCTCACTAAGCATGTGGTGGAAGAGTTTGGGCAGTCAGAATCTTCGGACGGAATTCTGCATGGGATGTACGGTCCAACTGAAGCTGCAATCCACTGTACCGCAGCGACAAGATTCCAGTCCAATGCGCGAGTGAACCTGATTGGTAAACCTTTCAAAACCGTGTCTGCTTTGATTACGTCCTTGGAATCCGAAGACAAGTCCACCCCAGAGGAGCTACGAATTCTCCCAATGGGCGAAATTGGTGAGCTTGTTGTGGGCGGCCCGCAACTGGCAGACGGATACATTAATCGACCCGAAGAAAACGCCAAGGCATTTATTGACAGTCCGTGGTATGGTAGGCTCTATCGTACGGGTGATAAAGCTCGAATGTTGCCCTCGGGTGAGATTGAGTGCTTTGGTCGCATCTCTAGCGGCCAGGTCAAGCTACGTGGTCAGCGAATCGAGCTAGGCGAGATTGAACATGTCATCCTCAGAGCTCCTGAGGTAAGAAGTGCTGTAGCTATCGTGGGTGGCGGCAGCTTGGCCGCATTTGTTCTGGTCAATGACAAAGGCCTCACCGATCACAAACTCCGCGACATCTGTCGCCAGCAGCTACCTCGCTTTATGGTGCCGGGCGAGTTTATCCTGGTTGATCAATTCCCCCAGCTACCGTCGGGCAAGATTGATCGTAAGGCACTGGAGGCCGATTTCGCTCGACACCGCACTGCTGTCCAGTCTATTGATCAAGGGCCCTTTCGAAACGAGCTCGAGGAGACTATTGCATCATGTGTTAGCGATGTTCTTGGCAGACAATTTCCGCCGACTGAAAGTCTGGTAGCAGGCGGCCTTGACTCGCTAGCAGCGATTCGATTGGCGTCACATCTCCTGGGTGCGGGTATCCGCCTCGATGTGACCCATTTGCTGGATGTGGATTGCATCGATGGGATCTGGCAGCTTGCTCAAGAAATTGAAACTACAAAACCAACCGAAGATACGCAGAACGGTCTTTTCAGGATTCGTGAATTAGTTGCGAGTGCCGGAGCAGCCAGGTTAGAATCTCTAGGGTTAGGTTCACAGGCGATCGACATTCAACCGAGCACCCATATTCAGCAGGCAATGATACTGGAAACGGTTCGACATGCCAAAGCGTACTGCAACTGGGTTGAATTGGAATTTCAACCCGCAGCCAAATTGACCTCTGTTCAAAATGCATTCGTCCAGTTGCTGGAGCAAAATCCACTCTTGAGGTCTGGGTTTGTAGAAATCGGTCTAAAGGACCACTCATTTGCCCGCTTCACTTGGAAAACTTTTGCTGAACAGCTCATTCAAAAGCGGGATGTCTTCGAGTACGACCTCTCCTTGGTTACAGAACATGATATTCTCCATCCCCTTCGGCTTCAGTTCAAAGAAACCCAGGACAGCCTTCGGGTCCTAATTCATATTCATCATGCACTGTACGATGGATGGTCCTGGCAATTAATGTTGAATGATCTCCGTCGTATTTTACTCGGAGAGGAAATCCCTTCTCGGCCTGCGTACGATCTGGTGTCAGATTATTTCATTGAGCACAAACTCAGCGAGAAAGCCAACGAATCCTCTCTCTTCTGGCGGGATCAGTTACAAGGGCTCTCTGCTATCACTTTCCCCAGTTTCCATGGGAAAATGGATGTCACATCAGGTACAAGGGAGGCCATTCGTGTGCTCGACGTCTCCGTGCCGAAACTTAACGAAGTATCGCAACGTCTACTGGTGGGCCGGCAGACCATTTTCCAGGCCGCATTTGCCTCCATTCTTTCCTCGTATCTTGGATCCTATGATGTTGTGTTTGGTACTGTTTTCTCGGGTCGCACCTTGCCAGTCAAGGGTATCGAGGCAATCATTGGGCCATGTATTCGTACATTGCCAACACGCATGCACCTCAACAAGATGCAAAATGTATCCGACCTTCTTCTCGCAATTCAGAATATGAACCGCAGATCTCTTGAGCATGGCAGTCTTCCTCTACAAGAAATCAAAAAAGCTTCCGGGGTTGACTTCCATCAGAACCTCTTTGATACTGCCCTGGTGTGGCAAGAAAATGTTTGGACAAATGACATGCAATGTGAGCTGTTCCAGGAAGTTGACACAGCAGAGTTCCTGGAGTTTGTACTCTTATTAGAGTTTGAGCCTAGGGGCGACAAAATCCATGCCAAGGCAACTTACCAAAATTCTATCTTCCCGCCTGAACAGGCACAAATTCTTCTGGAACAGATTGACCTGGTGGTATCAATCCTCATCGATTCTCCTGCGCTTCCAATTAATGAAGTGGTTGGCTATCTTCCCCCGTCAAGCTTGTCAATTTGCAACCCAAATCCCGTGACCCAGAGAAATCGCTCAAGCCTGGTCACTGGGGTTGAGACGATTGCCATCATTGAACCTTCTCGAACGGCAATTGAGACTTTGCTTTCGACAGATGAAGATTTCAGGTCGCCAAAAATCCAAAGCATCACATTTGGCCAATTGAACTCTCGAGCTAATAAGCTTGCACATTACCTAGTCCAGCAGGGGCTCACAAGGGACAACTTGGCTGCAATTTACCTCGACGAATCAATTGATTTCTATGTTTCCATGCTAGCAGTCGCTAAGATTGGAGCTGGATTGTTGCCTCTTATCGATCAAACGTCTTCACAGACAATAGAATCAATTCGGGCAACTTCGAACGTGCAGCCATGGATCATTCGATCATCTACACCCCCCAATGATGTATCATTCTCGTTGCATTCGTTTCCCCAGATCTTTCTCCCTACCTCTTTGAGCGAATACTCAGAAGATAATCTTCTTACGACTCACGACTCATTCTATATTGTTTGTGCTGGCGAACGGCCCACGGATAACGACTTGACAAACCTTGCGTATCTTTCTCACAATAACCTGCAAAGCCATATCAATGTGCTGGCGGAGAATTACCCCACCACAATTGGATCAAAACTCCTTCAAGCTTCTTCACAGCTCAGTGGTATGTATTCTTTCTCTATTGCCGTGCTTATTTGCTAATATGATATAGCCTTGATCACTGGACCATTCTTTGCATGGCACATGGGAATTACCTTGTGTGTAGCATCAAGCGAAGACCTATCAAGAATGCCCTGCTCTATCATTAAGAAGATGAATATCACCCATCTTCATTTGACTCCTGCATTGGCCCGTCGCTTAGCTCCCAAGGATGTTCCAAGTGTTCGATTCTTGCTTACAACGGGGGAATCATTGACAGCTAAGGTGCGCCGGGACTGGGCTAGCAATGGACTCCACCACGGTATGTATATACTCTGCGAAACTAGACTGCAATTATTTGGGGACTAAAAAACCATTCAAGGCTACGATTCTCTCGGCTTGGCTGGTGTCTGCACCTTATATCGCGACTTCCAAAGCTCAACTTCTCTTGCAAACATCGGCACACCATTAAGTAACACATCTGTGATTATTGTGTCCGACAAACCCTCGGGAACGATGGTTCCACGTGGTGCGGTTGGAGAATTATGCTTTGGAGGAGATCAAGTTGTGAGTTTTGTAAATATTCTGTCGCTCTTCAATTGCTGATTATCTGGAAAAGGGACGCGTATTCCCTAAATTCCACGAAGCGCTCGGTGGATGTTTCATTGAGCACCCGCAATTTGGCCGGTTTTACAGAAGTGGTGATTATGGCAGGCTTCTTCCAGATGGATCTATTCTGGCGGTTCCCCAGCATGACCAGTCTGCTGCCTTTGGAGAAACTGACAATATCATCACCTCCTCAAACTTCGTCGAAGATGCCGTGAGCATGATTTTGAACAACCCTCTCACTAATCAGCAGCAATTGGTAACTGTCTGGGTTCCTTCGGAGTGTCCCAAAGATCTATCTAACTCTGAGAAACTTGCTCTGATAACTAAGGATCTTTTCGAGGAACTGAACAAAAAGCTCCCAGCGTCTGCAGTTCCTTCTCTTCTTGTTCCAATGGACAAATTGCCTATGACAAGGCAGTACGAGTTTGATCATACAAGGATTCGGAAACATATTGAAGAGATGGGCCTAGAAAGACTTGCGACGTTCTCCCGCAGTGGTGTTGATGACTCGGATGCTGATTTTACTGATATTGAGAAGACCATTGCAGTAGCCCTTTCAGCAGTGATTGAAATTGACCTGCAGAATGTTGGCAGGAACACATCCTTTTATAAGCTGGGATTGGATTCCCTAACGGCCATTTCCTTCTCGCGAAAATTACAGGATTCAGGATGTGGAAGACTTGCAGTTTCTACAATTCTGCGGCATAGCTCTGTTGCTCAGCTGGCCACTGTTATTCCTGGGGTGATCAATAGCCACAAGCCTACGCAGCCCAGCCTGCAAAGCGGTTCCACATTCACATTTGATGAGAGTTTCATTGCTAAAATCAAAAATGATGTCCAGCATGAAAACACTTCTATCCAACGCGTTTACCCATGCACGCCACTACAAGAGGCGATGCTAGCAGCCGAGTCTGATACAAACCCGGCGTACTTCAATCATATCCTGCTTCGTGTGAACACGGATATCGGTGCCTTGAAAAGCGCATGGGATCAGATGTTGCATCGGCACGACATTCTTAGAACTTGCTTCAGGCCGACCAATGACAAGCAATTCGCATTTGCACAAATCGTCCTAGAAAATGCAGTACTGCCTTGGGTCTTCGTCGAAACTTCTTCACACGGGCTCGCCGAGGACGTTGCGAAAAGAAAATTGGAGTTTGAGCGCCAGTCATTAGTCGATGGCAAGCTTCCCTACTCATTAACTATTCTCACGGAGGTTCCCGCACAAAACGCCTATCTTCTGTTGTCAATCCATCACGCCTTGTATGATGGAGAAGGGATAGCGACTTTATTACAGGAGCTTCAGCTTGCGATTACGGGTCAGACACTGCCAAAGACTACGCCCTTTCACAGATTCATTGATTATATGGCTTCCACTAGCTCTGATGGATCTGACGAATTTTGGGATCGCTATCTAGCTGGGGTGACACCGACCCTGTTACCCATACCCAAAGGAAACAGGGCCTCGATAGATTCATCTGCTTCAGAGCAAGTCCATATGAATCTCAGCATCTCTCTCGCCTCCGTCAAACAACAGTGCAAAGAACTTTCTGTGACACTTTTGAATGTTTTCCATGCCGCTTGGGCAAGACTACTAGCTTTGCATTCCAACTCTTCGGATGTCTGCTTTGGCAATGTATTTGGATGTCGAACTATTCCCCTGGATGGTGTGGATAGCATAGTTGGGCCTTGCTTTAATACACTTCCCATGCGAGTCAAGCTATCTCCAACTTCAACAAATGCGGATATCATGAAGCTATCCCAGAAACACAACAGTGATATCTTACCTCACCAGCTTACCTCTTTGCGTCGCATCCAAAGGCGTGCCTTGCATGGGGGCTCCCAACTCTTTGACACTTTGGTCATTCTTCAGCAGAGCAAAAATGACTTAGACACGCGTTATTGGGAACTTCTTCAAGATGAAGGAAACATGGGATTCCCACTTATCTGTGAAATCATTCCCGATGAGAAACAGGACGAAATCTCGATATGTCTCCATTTCCATACGTCTCTCTTAACGCAAAAGGTGGCGGAAAGCCTCGCACAAAGTTTTTTGGCTCTCGTTGAGCACACGATGCGATACCCATCGGCACAGGCTTCCGAAAGGGGGTCAGCCGGCATTACCCAAATATTCGAGACGAGACAGGTTCAACAAGACGTTTCCACTCAACAATCTCTGGATAAGCTACAGGCAACTCGCTCGTGGTCTGATCAGGAAAAGACACTCCGAGACATTGTCTCCGATTTTGCAGGTATTAATAAGGAGGCTGTTTCGCTGCATACCACCATCTTCCAACTAGGGCTCGACAGCATTCATGCGGTTCAAATTTCGGGAAGACTTCGCAAGTTGGGATACAAAATCTCAGCAGGTGACATTCTCGAGGTAATTCTCATGCTTTTAACTCTGGTGTAGCTTTTTATAACTGACGTCCAAAAATAGGCAGCTTCAATCGATAAGATTGCAACTCTTTTCGAAACTGGCGAGAAAGAAGTTCAGAAAAAAGAGTTCGACTTCGGAGCTTTTGAAAACCAACATCTTCAATCCGTTTGCGAGCAATTTGGCATATTCTCCCACACCGTGCAGGCTTTGCGACCTTGCACGCCTGTTCAAAATGGCATGTTGGCCCTTTTCACCCATTCGCATGGCAGAACATACTTCAATCGCATGTCCTTGAATTTTCCGAAATTGTTGAACACTGCATTGCTGAAGGACGCTTGGACCAAGGTTATGGCACAGCACGAGATGCTCCGAACTGGTTTCGTTCAACTGCGTGATCCGCAATATCCATTCGCCATGGTCACCTACAAAGAAGGCATCGAACTCCCATGGAATGAGTCAGCAAAACTTACTACAGATAAGGCCGATAATCAAGAGCAGCAGACTCTCGACAAGCTTCACCGGCCCCCATGGCAGATCACCATTGAGTCCGCTGAAGAAGTGACCACCATGTATTTCTCTGCGCTTCATGCTCTTTATGATGCACAATCTCTCGAATCAATCTTTTCCGACGTGATGATGGCATATGAAGGGAAAAAACTAGCCGAGGCTTCTCCAATCGAGAGCACCCTTGGTCCCATTTTAATCGAGAGCCAAGCCCAAACTCAATCTGCGCAAAAGTTCTGGCAGGAATTGGCTACAGAGATGCATCCATTCAAATTCCCGGACTTGAATCCTAAGCGCATGGGAAAACAAGAGCTTCTAAGCAGCTCTATTCGCTCCTCACGGACGATCGAGACTCTCGAGGCTCGCTGCCGTGATATTGGTGTCACATTGCAGGCAGCTGGGCAAGCAGCATGGGCCCGGCTTCTCGCTGCGTACACAGGTGAAAAGAGTATCACTTTCGGTACAGTCCTTTCTGGCCGCAATTTGTCGACAGAAGCACAGAATGCAGTTTTCCCATGCTTGGTGACCGTTCCATCGTCTCAGCGCATCGAAGGGAGCAATCAGGATCTGCTGAGTCACATCTTGAAGAGAAATGCGTCCTTGACCAAGAATCAATTTACGCCACTTGCACAAGTTCAGCGCTGGCTTCAAAGTGATGAACCTCTATTTGACACACTTTTTGCCTACCAGAAGTTCAGTTCGCATTCAAATGTCTCCAAATCCTGGAATGTCATTGACGAGGAGACAAGAATCGATGTATGTTTGCCTTTTGATTGACAATATTACCTGATGGAAAATATGCTAACGTGGTCAGTACCCCATCTCTATTGAACTGTTACCACTTTCAGCCGACCTTGAGATCCGAATCAGCTACAGAACCGACATCGTTCCCCCGGGTCAGGCCGTGCTTCTTTTGAAGCAGTATGACAAGCTATTGGAGCAGACTCTTTTCTCTCCAGAGTTCAACTCGGACGATTATATGTTCCTCGAGAGCGAGTTCCTCTCCATAACTCCTGCCAAAGAGAAAATCTTGCCCACGTCGGTTTCTCTGTTGCATCATTTTGTTGAGGACAACGCCGCCAAGGTCCCGGGGAAAATTGCATTCGAGTTTGCATCCGGTGTTGATTTGGACAATCTTCAATTGAAGACTTGGTCCTATCAGCAATTGAATGAAGACGGTAACCGGATTGCCCATTTTCTTCAGAGCAAGGGTGTTAATCCAGGTAAAATGGTTGCGATTTGCTTCGATAAATGCCCGGAGGCATCCATCGCTATACTAGGCATTCTCAAAGCTGGCTGTGCATACTTGGCCATCGATCCCTCCGCCCCTATTTCTCGCAAGCAGTTCATCTTGGAAGATTCGAATTCCAAAATTCTGCTTTGCAGTCTATCGAAAAAGCTGGAGCTACAGAACCTATCTGGTGTGGAAATTCATGCATTAGATGAGCCTGGTGTATACCAAGGTTTCCACAGCGGTCCCCCTGTGCTTTCAAGCGAAATACGGTCAAATGACACATGTTATTGCCTTTACACCTCAGGGACAACCGGCACGCCAAAGGGCTGTGAGATCACTCATGATAATGCCGTACAGGCCATGCTAGCGTTTCAAAGGCTGTTTTCACCGCACTGGGATGAAGACTCTCGCTGGCTACAATTTGCTTCTTTCCATTTTGACGTTAGTGTTCTTGAACAGTACTGGAGCTGGAGTGTCGGAATTTGTGTCACCTCTTGCCCACGTGATCTTCTCTTCGAGGATTTGCCAGGGACAATTCAAAAGCTCCAAATCACACACATTGATCTGACGCCCAGTTTGGCAAGATTGGTGCACCCTGATGAAGTTCCTTCCCTCTGTCGAGGAGTATTTATCACTGGCGGAGAAGCCCTGAAGCAAGAGATCCTCGACGCCTGGGGCCACCATGGCGTTATTTACAATGGATACGGTCCAACCGAAGTCACCATCGGATGTACCATGCTTCCCCGAATGCAGGCTAATGATAAGCCCTCAAACATTGGTCCCCAATTTGACAATGTTGGGTCCTATGTTTTCCGTCCAGGAACATCGACACCCGTTTTGCGCGGTGGTATTGGCGAGCTTTGCGTGTCTGGTCCACTTGTTGGAAAGGGGTACTTAAACAGAGCTGAGCTGACGAAGGAGCGATTCCAGGACTTGCATGAGCACCAAGATCGCATCTACCGAACAGGCGATTTGGTCAGGATTCTGTGTGATGGCAGTTTCCAATTTCTTGGTCGAATTGATGATCAAGTCAAGCTGCGCGGACAACGACTCGAGATTGGGGAGATCAACGAAGTCATGAAACAAGCAACGCCCGAATTGAATGAAATCGCTACCCTAGTTGTCAAGCATCCCAAGCAGTCCAAAGACCAGCTCGTCTCTTTCGTCACCAAGGTAGGCGCCGGTAAGAATACTCGTTCAGTGGAAATTCACACCTCCGATGGCATTGGATCTTTCCTGTCAACCATCAAGGCGGCCTGTCATACACACCTCCCTGGATATATGGTGCCAACCCATATTGTTCCACTGACTCGTTTCCCTCTATCTGCTAATAACAAGGTCGATATGAAAGTCTTAAAGAGCCTTTACCAAGAGCTTTCTTTGGATGATATTCAAAAATTGACTGCGATGGTTGTCAATCAAGCACCAAAAAGTGCATGTGAAGAGGATATAATTGCTGTGCTATCAGACTTCATTGGATCTACAGACTTGGTCATCTCGTCGTGGTCAAGCATTTACGAGTTGGGGCTTGATTCCATCTCAGTGATCTCCTTTTCTAGGAATCTCAGAGAGGCCGGCTTCCCCAATGCTCAGCCATCATTGATAATGCAGTGTAAGTTCTTATTTCCTAAACATTCGATATCTATCTGACCCCTCTGGAGATCCCACAATCGCTGCTATGGCCTCGGCTCTACAGGAATCTACCGGCGAATCTCCTTCAATGAACAATCTTCACCGAAATGCAAAGCAATCCATTCAAGCCTTTGCTCATAAGCATTCCCATTCCATAATGGCAAAAATTGGCGTGACCGAAAACGATGTCGAACAGATTGCACCTTGCACACCGCTTCAGGAAGGAATAATTTATCATTTCCTGTCGAATGCAACACCCATGTATTGCTCTTCTTTCAGCTTCGAATTACACTCTTCTATCGATTTGGATAGACTGAAGGTAAGTTGGCAGCAGGCGCAAAGTCAAGTACAAATGTTGCGAGCTCGATTTTTACCCTCCTCGGATGGTTATGCTCAAGTCATTCTCAAAAGAGATGCGATTCCTTGGTTCCACACGAAGGTCGCCTTTGACGGTACATTTGAGGATGCCCGGATGCAGCAAGTTCATCGATGGTCTTCTAATCTTGACGGTCTTCCTACAAGACTTTGGGAGGTGGGAGTATTTACCTCTCCGGCAAAGTCGATCATGTGCCTCAATATGTTCCATGCTTTGTATGATGGAATCAGTTTGGGTCTTCTTCTTGACCTTGTCGCTGATATCTACCACGGTCATTCGAGAGCCTTTGATAAATCCCCAGAGTTCCTTGACGTGTTGCATCTTGGACCTCTTTGCAAAGATCCTGCAGCAGAATCTTTCTGGAAAGAGCATTTTGCAACCTGTCAGACCCGCCCTCTATCGAGCTCGAAAGAAGGCCAAGAAACCTCTTTCGTGGAAACGCTCCGGGTTGATACCACAAATCATCTGGACCTTTTAAGAAAGTCTCTCAACACCACCGATCAAGCCATTCTTCATGCCTGCTGGTTATTGACGCTCCACCGGCAGTTTGCCTTTGTTCCGCCACTTGGTATTGTTGCCTCGGGTCGCACAATTGACATTCCTGGGATTGAAAGTGTCATTGGTCCTTTATTCAACACAATTCCAAGCAATGTACAGCTCCGTGGGCTCAAGTCCTGGGCAGAGGCGGCTCAGCGGTGTCACGAATACCACGTTTCTACGATGACATTCCAATCCACCGCCCTTCGTGACATAGTGAAATGGCTCGGAAGAATTCCCGATGAGCCACTCTTTGACTCACTCTTTGTTTTCCAGCGAGAGAATTCTGAAGAAGAGTCATCCGCGAGCAGTCTATGGACTCCGATCGACTCGGAGGCCGAGCATGAGTATCCGTTGGCATTTGAGATCGTGCGCCATGGCAACAAATATCTCACCTTGACTCTTGCTGCAAAGGATCATGCTGTGTCTTTGGAGACGGCTCAAGAACTGCTCGTGAACTTTGAGCAAATCTTGTCCGAATTTGCACAAAACCCTAACAATGAAATACCCTATCTCAATGGAGTTGCGGAAACCTCCGAAACAACTCGGAACGACGGAGAATCACAGGTTCAAGAAACCTCTGATCATCATGACAGTGAAGTCTCATTTCAGTGGACTCCAGAAGCTTGCAAAATTCGGGATGTCATTGCGAGTCTTTCCGGGGTCGATGCATCTTCAATCCGAGGAGTAACATCTATTTTCGAAGTAGGCTTGGACAGTATTGATGCCATAAAGCTGTCATCTAGGTTGAATAAGGTGGGAATCAAGCTTCCTGTGAGCACCATTATGCGCGGCCGCACAGTCAAAGCTTTGGTCAGTCAGCTGGCTGTCTCAACCCATGAGGAGCAAACTGGCACATACCCATTGTTGAATCAGATTGAACGATCTCTGACAAAATTCCTCAAAAAGGAAAGTCTTTTGCCTCAACATGCTTGTCGAGTTCTCCCAGCTACTCCAATTCAAGAAGCTATGGTCGCAGAAATGGCTGCATCGGGATATCAGCATTACTACAATCATGAAGTTCTCAAGCTAGAGCCGCAGGTCGATCACACAAAACTACAGCAGGCGTGGGCAACTGTTGTCAAAACTCACCCTATTCTACGCACGTCCTTCGTTGAGGTCTGGGATCCCGAGATACCCACTTCTTATGCTCAGATTGTTCATAGTGAGGATACTTTTGATTTCCAAACTACGGTTCTGCATGGATCAACAGTGGAGTCTATTATTGGATTACAGCGCAAGAGAGCCTCTACTGAACTCGCAAATTCCCCGCTTCTGACAGTCACACTCACCATCGATGGAGATGACCATTACCTCATTCTGTCTATTGCACATGCTCTCTATGATGGCTGGTCAATCAACCTGCTACATGAGGATGTGGCAAGATCCTACCTTGGAGAGGATTGCGCTCGTCCAGCTGCCGACTCGATCCTTGAACAAGTCCTTGCATCCTCTGGAGAACAGGCTCTCAAATTCTGGAGAGCAGCCCTATCCAACTGTATGCCAGTCACCTTCCCAGAGGGCAAACATTCGGAGATTGGTTCAACTGTGGTTCACCGTGCAGAGAAGCCCCTATCTGTATCATCCGAGAAGGCCGACGCCTTTTGCAGGCGCAATGGCATTACCATGCAAGCGCTTTTGGTAAGCTGCTGGTCTCTTGTTCTAGCTACGCATGTCAAGAGGCTGGATGTTGTCTTTGGGCTTGTTTTCTCTGGTCGTAACGTCGCAGAATCCGAGTGTGTGATGTTCCCAACCATGAATACTGTGGCCATGCGCGTCATTCTGCATGGTTCTCGTCTGGATCTGGTGAAGTATGTTCAAGAGACATTGTTGGAAATCTCCGAGTATCAACATTTCCCGTTGCGACGAGCTAGACCTGACACCAAGTCATGTCAACTATTCGATACGCTTTTCATCTACCAGAAGAGACCGTCCGAAGGCGAACACGCCGGGCAAACTCTTTACAGGTCCACTGGGGTTGGTGCATCGGATGTTGAGTATCCGGTCTGCGCCGAGGTTGAGAGTGTTGGAGAGAGCCTGGTGGGTCGAGTGGCTTGCCGCGGTAGTGTGCTTGGAGAACAAGATACCCTGGACTTGCTAGGACATATGGCACATGTCTTATTATCAATTGTGGATGAGCCAGCTCAACAGACCGTTGATTTCAGTGGAGGGGCGATGAACATTTGTGGTTACCTGGTCTCCCAGGAACCCTCTGTTCACGAAGGTGAATCTGGAACCCTGCATCGAGAGTCTGGCCCACGGGAGTGGTCACTAGTCGGGTCAAAGATTCGCAATGTCCTTTCCATTGTCTCTGGAGTACCCGAGGACGCAGTTGATCCGAAAGCCAATATCTTCCAGCTTGGCTTGGATAGTATCAGTGCCATCAAGGTCGTTGCCCTTCTGAAGAAGCAATCCGTGAATTTGACTGTCAGCGATATGCTCAAAGCAGGAACGATTGAGAAGATAGCGGCAGCAGTCAACACCAATCACTCAGATCTCACTCCAGCGCAGATTGCTAAAGCACTTGATGAGTCGCTTGGGGATATTCAAACTACAACACTGCTCCAGTCCTACGGTATTGATCTGGATCACGTTCAACAAACAATTCCTGCTACCGCTGGACAGATTTATTTCCTGGCAATGCATTCTTTGAACCCCAGTGCGTTCTATCCCGAATTCTTCTACTTGTCATCAAGGCAACTGGGTCCGGAGATTGTCGAAAACGCCTGGTCTCGTCTTATAGAGCAAACTCAGATTCTCCGAACAGCATTCGTTCCGACCAGCGATCCACGGGTGCCGTATGTCCAAGTTGTATTCAAATCGACACAAATCCCTGTGAACTGGCATGATGCTCTTGACGATCAGCTTGCCGCTGCAAGTACTAATCGGGAGTTTGGTTCGGTGCCGGTCGCACTTCATGCTTGTCAAACCAGTAAAGGCACGGCATTTACCCTGAAGATTCATCACGCTCTCTACGATGCAATCAGTCTGCCATGCATGATGGATGATTTTGCCCAGCTCTGCGACAACATGCAGACCCACTTGAAATCCGAGTCTCACGACATTTCCCATCTCGTGGCCGTTCAGCACGTTCATTCGCCTGTTGGTGTTCGGCGCCTATTCTGGGAAAATTACCTGGACCAAATCGCAATCCGAGGGACTGAACATCAACGATTGGGTGATTTTGGCGCTATTCAGCAGCACTACCGACCGGGACTCGTTTCGAACATGTCTCTGATTGAGAAGGCCGCGAAACTTCGGGGCCTTGGTATTCAATCAATCTTCCTGGCAATTTATGCTCGATTGCATGCCCAGACTTTTGGTAATTCCGATGATCTTGTGGTTGGATTGTATCTCGCCAATCGATCATTCGTCGCGGAGGGCCTGTCTGAACTTGTCGCTCCTACAATCAATATCGTTCCACTGCGCCTAGACAACAAAATTCACAGTGGTGACAACTCAATTTTCTCTGCGGCCGGGAAAATCCAGGATGATATCAGCCTGATCAGTATGATTGAGCATTCTTGCGTGTCTCTGGTTGAGATTGCTGAATGGACCGGGGTCCGCATCAACACTTGTATCAATTTCCTGCGTCTGCCTGAGGTTAAAGACTCGACCGACACTAGCGCCAACCAGGTCATCTTCAAGTCCGTCTCATACGAAGAGATTGGCAATTCCGATGGGGCCAAGCTTAATAACGCCACACCGTCTCTGACCAACGGTAACACTGCAGCGCCCGCTTTCACGCAAGTGATGCGGGCAGCTACTTCAACGGCGGCTATGAGAGATGTATTCTGGGTAAGTGATCTGTCCTTCTCTATAAGGATTTACAAGTGGGCACTAATGCAATTGCGTACAGCCTACGATCGACGTGGAAGCAGCCATCCGAGAAGACCAATTGGACTTTGGACTCTTCGCCCCAGATTCTCGACTGGACCATACTACCGCAAACCAGATGATTGAGAAAATGCAGCAGGGCATGAATGCCCTAGTTGAGGGCGCTCAATGATTCCCTGGAAACCGCGATCAATATCCTGAAGAGCGAGGGGCTTCGTCGCCCCGACAATTGTTTATTTTGGTTTCATCTTTCTCATTCTCCTTTTCCTTCTTTTTCTCCTTCAGTTTCAGTTCTCTCCTTTCTTATGCATATATTGCTTTTGTGGAGTTTTTGGATGTATTCGCTTTCAATAAATCATAAATCGGTTGCATAGGAACCCGCGGGGGCCGTACAAACGGGACCCACGGGACGGGACGAGCGGATCCCAACATATGGCCCCCACTAAACATAGAGCATTGTTGATATCATCTTACTGTATAGATACTCCGTACCCAATTCTTGACTTCAGATGATGACACCGAATTGTTGGGGGCTCAGCACACCATGTTGTGATTCGTAGGTGTTACAAGTCCAGAAACGATGAGACCTTTGCGGAATGGCCGAATTCTCGCCTTTTCCTATAGATCATATGAATGGGACTGATGGATCAGATGAGCCATGGCGAGACATGACCATAAGTGGACTAGGTAACTTTTGATGGACTCACGGGTGCCACTTTAAGCAAGGGAGATTTTCGCGTGGTTCACCAAGTGGAAGATGGTAAGTGGGGGCTTCTGCCCTTTGGGCACATAGAGTTTTGCTGCCTTTTACTATGGGGTTGTGATCATTGATTTGAGGGGCTTTGGAGGGGGGGTTGGGGGGGCTTTGGGGGCTTTGATTATCGTGTCTATTTTACTTTATTTATTTTGCTTGGATGATTGTCTGGTTTAGGAATTTGCCCTAGCACTGGCGAATCGGGGGATCGCATGGACCACAATGAGTTCCTGAGGTGGCGTTGTACAGTTGGGCGCAGGGGCGGGATTCGGTTAACATGCATGAACAAAAACCCACGGACTCGCCCAAGTTCTCGAGTAATGACACTTCACAGATTCACAGATTCACCGACTCACATTGTCACTATATCATATCAGTGATACCCTTGTCCCACAAAGACGTGAACCCCATACACTTACATAATCTCTTGTTTATGTCACGACGCGTCGCTCCCCGCCGCTAAACCACTTTAGGTATCGGGGATCAACAACGCGGCGCGTTGGACACTTGCTTCATCCCATTTATCCTCCAACCCAGTCGATACATTCCTCGGTCTCATCCCACTCCTTTGGTATCGTCCTTAATTCACCTATTTAATCTCGAAGCTTCTCCTCGATCATTCAACCACATTCTTCGCGCCCCCCTCTTCAACCACACGCGTGGGCTAATCGGATCACCACGAATATCTAAACGAGGGGGATCTACCCCTTACGCTTCCGTTCTTCCTTGAAACACTAGGCGAAGAATCCTGCCTTTGAAATTCGCCCTACCAGTATTCCCTCGAGCCTATCGACATCATCTGCGCGGCCCAAAACCCGGATGTCTGTGTGTTCGACCTGAAACATTCCTGCGCGTCTTTCCTGTTGGATAAAAAGTGAACGCCTAGGGACCACACCTTCGGCGCGTGTTTGTTGCGATTCCTCCACGCGTGATCGGAGGTACAAGCTGGTGGAATTCCTTGAACCTAGCAATGCGTGGGTGAATGGCCAGCTGCCTTTCCCACTCTCCTCGGTTCCAAACTTCGCCACTTTTTTTTTTTTGTTGCGGCCGCGCCCTTCCAGCATTCCAAAGGTCAGAAGAGGGCTGTGTGCCTTATTCAACTGGGTACCCTTTTCTCTGACTCAATACCCCCCCCTCGAAAGGACTCGCAGTATTTTCCCTCCCGTCGCGTCACAAGCGCCGTGGAGGGTTGGGGTTCTCTCACTCATCAATTGATTCCTTGAAATATCAAACGCGCTGGACGGAAACAAGTTTAGTCACTCATTTAGAGTGAAGGTGAAGAAGGCAAGAACAGAGATTGCCATTTCCTGAGTTGGATCGACTCTCATTCTGGGATTGTTGTGCCGCACGTCCAGCACAACATTCCCCAATTATGGTTGCGACCTTTTCGCCGCACCGGGACTCGGGCGGCACCCTTCACCTTTCATCGCACTCGGGGATTCATCACGTCGATGCCAGTTCTGCAATTCGCCAGCTTCGACGCTCATTATCGCGCTCACCTTCGAAGAGTTCCAACTTCTTCCTCAACACCCGCTCTCACTCGCCTGCAAAAACCACCTCACCATACGTCTCTTCTCCGCTGTCGCCCTCGAGGCGATCGCAGCACAACTTCTTTCTTTTGCCATCTCATCAACAATCTCCTCTCGCCGTGCCGTATCCCCCTAGCGCGAAAGTAACGCGGCCGGCCATGCGACGGCGAACTTCGCCCCGTAGCCCCGCCAAACGCGCTTTGACCGTGTCAACAGACGGCGGAAACGCGTCTCCATCTCAACCAGTCGCGATGCACTCCGGAGAAGAAAACGACTTAACGCTTGATGATCTAGCCGGGCCGATGGAAAGTACAACACCCGAAGGTCCGTGTCATCTCAACATGCCGCCGTCGACGCAGGGGGAAACAACTTTTGCGCCTCGCTCCACTCTATCTCGCATTGAAAAGCGACGCAGTGGCACCTTTGGTTCGTTTGCGACTGTGAGTCCCCTAAAACGAAGCGACGGTATCATGAATCTGGATCAAGCATCGCGAGGAAGTCCCTCTGCAAAGCGTCGCAGTGTTCACACGCCGAACTTTTCAGCCGACTTTAACATATTCGACACCGACCATGGCAGTGCGCCTGCAAGTCCTACTACCAACGAGGCTTCGCCTCTCCTGACTCCAATTCAGCCTTTCAGTCCTTTCGCGACCATCCCAAAACGGTCGTCATCTCTCAGACGATCGACATTGCAGCAGCGACAAAGCGACAGACCCCTCTTCGGACGTTCCAAGGGGACTGGTGAGGCCGAGGCGTTACCCGGTACCCCTTTGGCAGTGCGTCCCCGGATGTCATTTGATAGCGGACTATTTGAGGCTGGTCAAGAAAACCTATTCTCGCCCCGTCCTCCGGCAAGTCCTCTCTTCTCCGCAAACCCTACAACTACTACCACTACTCAACCTACTCGCCCTACTGCTCATCCTCTCTCCCGGACCATCACTCAGTCATCCTCTGGCTCAAGTCTCGATGACTCGCCCACCCATGAGGCCGTCCAGAAGTCCGAGCGGCCACGACCGCTCTTCAACTTCTCCAAGTCCCTTCCTGCTGGTGCTACTCGGCCTGCCCCGGTACGCCGTATAACGCGAGAAGACTCAAGTGGATCCGGGGAATCATTCGCGACTCCTGAGAACTACAAATTGGTCAAACCTCTACCAGCCGCGTTCATGTCAACGGGACTAATCTCAAAGAAGAACCGCAACGCAGAGGAGCCGTCGGGCTTCAACAAGAACATGCCAGACACTCCGTGCAAACGACCTGTGAACCTGTTCGCTTCTGGGTTGAACGGGTCTTTTAACATGGCTCCGCCTTTCCAGGAATCAGAGGCTGTGACCCAATCCCCCTTTAATCCTCCGGCCTCAACTGTGCGGCCTAAACCAGGTCCTTTTGCCCGTGGTATGGGCATCTTTGGTAACACTTTCAACCGACCAGAGGCCTCGCGCAGAGGAAGCTTCGTGAGTGTGGACGGTGATGATCTTCAGGCTCAATCTCCATCTTCGCGTCATGACAGCCAGCCATTGACTGATTCCGATTTCCCTCCAACTCCTACTAAACAAACTTTCCTACCCTCTCGTACCTATCCTCCTGCTACGTCCCAAATTGGGCCTCTGGAGCGTCTTTCAGAAACAAGGTCTTCTGCCAACTCGACACCCTTGCGTGATAGATTTCTCCAGGCTTCACCTCACACACCTCGCGACCAATTCTTCCCCCCCCGACCCAAGTGGCTTATCGATCTCCGTGCCGAATGATGCACAGCCACTTCCATTTGACTTTGGTAATAGTCTGAATCTACCTGCCACACCGACCGGTCCCCGAGATTCTTTGCTTGCTAGCAAACGCCCCAGCCTCCAGCTCAGTGGATTCCACACGCCAGACGTGGACCCTAGTCTGACCATGCGGTTCGATAAAGTCGAGCTTGTCGGTACAGGTGAATTTTCTCAGGTCTACCGAGTCGCTCAGCCTCACGACGCTTCATTCCCTTCGATGTTCTCTCTGCCCTCAAGCGGCCCCAAGTCCCCGAGTGCTCTCCCTCAACACCAAGTTTGGGCTGTGAAGAAGAGCAAGCAGCCTTACTTGGGGCTGAAAGATCGCGAACGCCGTATTCGGGAGGTCGATGTGCTGAAGACGTTGGTCAACTGTGACCATATTGTTTCCTTCATGGATAGCTGGGAAGACAATGGTCATCTTTACATCCAAACTGAGTTCTGCGAAGAGGGAAGCTTGGATGTTTTCCTGGCTCAGGCTGGCCTCAAGGCTCGACTCGATGATTTCCGTATCTGGAAAATTCTCCTTGAGTTGACCCTCGGATTGAAGCAAATCCACGATGAAGGTTTTATTCACCTCGACTTGAAGCCTGCCAATATTCTCGTGACGTTTGAAGGAGTCCTCAAGATCGGAGACTTTGGCATGGCCACACGCTGGCCTGCAGAGGATGGGATTGAAGGCGAGGGCGATCGAGAGTATATTGGCCCTGAAATCCTCATGGGCCGCTTTGACAAACCCGCGGATATCTTCTCGCTGGGGTTGGTCATCTTTGAAATTGCTGGCAATGTAGAGCTTCCCGACAACGGAGCATCCTGGCAGAAGCTCCGAAATGGAGACATGAGTGATGTCCCCAGTCTGACCTGGAGTTCAGAGACCACCATTTTCCGCGATGCGTCCGGAAACCCTGTCTCCGATGGAACTTCTTTCGAAGAGCTCTGCGCGTCCGATTTGGGTGATGATGACTTTGGTGACAACTTCCTCACCAACCGGAAGCTGACTACGCCTAAGCCCACCCACCTCGCTCGCAGTGGAGAGCTTGTGGACCCGCCTAGCTTCATGGTGGATGCCAACCATGCACAGGCCTTGGATAAGATTGTCCGTTGGATGATATCTCCTGAGCCACTTGATCGACCTACAGCCGACGAAGTTCTAGCCACTTACGGGCTCCAGTTTGTGAACCAGCGTCGCCGTGCCGGAGCCACGGTATTCGAGGGCAACTGGGGGCCCGCCGATGAGATCTTGGCCGAAGATGCCGAGATGATCGATGTGTAACCTATTTCTCCTTTTCATCCGATGTGCATATGGAGGAGGGTGAGGGGGGTGTTCTGTGTTTTCACGACCTATTTCCTTTGTTTCTCTTATTCCCGGGTCATGACTTCGACTCTTTCGCCATTCATTTTTCATGCCACACGCCCATCACGACGATTCCCTTGCTTTATATTTTGCTATCTGTCGAGTTCTGGATTCTAGGATCTGCTTTTGTTTTTCGTGCCCCTCAGCCCTCATGACCCCGTGGAGTTAGCAAAGGGTTCAATACCCTGGAGTTTCAGCGTGGTGTTCTCCCTCGTTTCTGCGGCGTTTTCCTGTTCTTTGGTTTTCCTTTGTATTCATCCATTGCCTAGCATTATCAGGTGCCACAAAATGTACCATCATCCCAACGAAACTGGGTGTTCTCGCGACATGGCCTTGGGTCGTATCCTCATGGCTGCTCTTCTGGCGTATTTGTGATTTCGATGGATCTCTTGCATTGAGTTTTGGGGTGTTCGCCGGTTGGCGGGGACACGGTTGATTTAGCCTTAGGACGTTCAGCTCCTGGCTTGATCTTGGGCGTTTTGCTCTATTTTTTTTTTCCTTTGACATCTTCTTTCATGATGAATGATTGCCCGCCATGGTTCTGTTGGATTAGCGAGAATTTCCTGTACTTTTTGACCAATTTGGTTCCATGTGTGAATAGCAGAAATTGAGATGATGATATCCTCATATTCCAACCTATATTCCAATTCAAACTTGTAATGATGGAGCCTGGAAGCCTTGATAATTGACCTATATATCAAAGAATTCGGGTCCCTATGACCCAGGGGTCACTGGCGGTCAGTGAGAATTCTAGTCGTAATTCACCTCGTGGATGTGCTACATATTTGTGTCGATGACTTGGATATATATTTATACCTGCAGTGCACTACCTAATTTGCCACCGCCTTGGCTTTCAGCCTCCGAAGCTCCGCAACCTTCACCTCCAACAGCATCGTCCGCTCGAAACGGTTCGCTATCCTCTCTCCTCTAAATTTGTCATAAATCCTGCGCACGATGCGCCGTGACATCTGAAAACCTACTGTTCCTCCCCACCGACCGTGCGATCATCCATCGACTACACACCCTCTGCGTGCACTATGGATAACAAAACCTTCGTTTCAGATTCTCTGATCCGCCTGACGGGCGCGTCAGACCCGATTTCTGTGGACTTTGTGCTTGCTGAAGCTGGCTCAGCCAAATCAGCGTCCTCCCTCCAAGATAAATTGCTTTCCTTCCTCGATGGCAGCCCCGATGAGATTGGCGCATTCTGCAAACAGCTGTTTTCACGCGCGGGGAAAGCACCACCTCCCACTACCTCGACCGCCCATGGTACAGCAAGCAAGGCATCTACAAAGAAGAAATACAGCATGGTGGATATGGGCGAAGACCTTGAACCCGAGCCGGGCCTGGGTCCTGTCAATGTCGAAGCTGAGCGCGACCGACGAAGACGCCGAGAGAAAGAGAGCGATAGAGATCGAGGGAGAAGCAAGAGGGAATCTGAGTCCCACAGTCGACGGGAGATAGATGACACTCGGAAACGAGACCGCAGCCGCGATGCCGAGAGTCGCGACCGCCCTCGATCGAAGAAGGTGCGGAGGAAGGATTCGGACTTTGACGACAGATGGGGCGACGAGGAGATTCCAGAGGATGAAATCCACTCTGATGCAGGTCCAGACGAGTTTGCAGAGTCGCCCTCAAAACGTACAAGGCTCGCTGATGGATCCGCTTCCCCACGCTCTGCATCACCAGCCGACGACATTGATCCGCAGACCAAAGAAGAGATTGATCGCCAGCGCGATCTCCGCGAAAGAGACGAATTCGCCAAGCGATTAGCCGAGAAAGACAATAGCAAGTCAAAGAAGATCGTGGAGGACCGGACTCGGGATGGCGAAGCTGCACGGCGTCGTGCACTAGCCGACGACGCTGATGCTCGGGCGGCTGTGATGCCTGACTTGCGCCTTCGTTCCCGCCAAGAATACCTGAAAAAGCGCGAAACGGAGCGACTGGCACTGCTGCGACGTCAGGTTGCTGAAGAGGCTGCTGAACTGCGCGAGAACCCCAATCTTACTCGTCGCGAGAAGGAAGAGTTTGCGCGCAACAGGGAGGTTTTACGTATTGCTGAAGAACGGCTACGGATTGATGACCACCGCGATGGCTACATGATGCCGGATGATTATATCACGGAGAAAGGAAAGATTGATCGCAAGAAGAAAGAGGATGCACTCTATAAGCGATACGTCGAGCGCGATGAGACAGGCCAAGAGAAATTCGTTACGGAGCACGAAGAATGGGAGCTTGAACAATCGGCCAAGGCCAAGGCCCAGATCAACAAGGCCGAATTCGTCGACGAAGGAGACTATGAGTATGTCTTTGATGATTCACAGCAGATCAATTTTGTCATGGATGCCAAGCTCGAGGGGTCAGAGAAGCCATTGACCCAGGAACAACGTCGATTTAAGGAGGAAATCGATGCGGCAGAGAAGAAGGCTCTAACTATGGAGGAGACACGGAAGAGTTTGCCCATCTACCAGTTCCGCGACCAGATCATTCAAGCCGTGCATGACCACCAAGTTTTGATCATTGTCGGTGAAACTGGTTCTGGAAAGACAACACAAATTCCACAGTATCTTCACGAGGCCGGGTACACGAAAGGTGGCTTGAAGATTGGTTGTACCCAACCTCGTCGCGTGGCAGCCATGAGCGTTGCTGCTCGTGTAGCGGAGGAAATGGGATCGAAGATTGGAAATGAGGTCGGTTACGCCATCCGTTTTGAGGACAACACTAGCGACAAGACCATTCTCAAGTACATGACCGATGGAATGCTTTTGCGAGAACTGTTGACGGAGCCGGATCTGAGTCAGTATTCCGCATTGATGATTGATGAGGCCCACGAGCGGACCGTGCCAACGGATATCGCCTGCGGTCTTCTCAAGGATATTGCTAAAGCTCGACCCGACTTGAAACTTCTTATCTCTTCTGCGACAATGGACGCACAAAAATTCCAAAAGTACTTTGATGATGCTCCTATTTTCAACATTCCTGGCCGCCGATACCCCGTTGATGTGCATTACACCTCGCAGCCAGAGGCCAACTATTTAGCGGCCGCTATCACCACGGTCTTCCAGATCCACGTTACGCAAGGGGCCGGTGATATCTTGGTATTCTTGACTGGTCAGGAGGAGATTGACGCCGCTGAACAGAGTCTCACGGAGACAGCTCGAAAATTGGGCAGTAAAATCCCAGAAATGATTATCTGTCCCATTTACGCCAATTTGCCGTCCGAGCTGCAGAGTAAAATCTTCGAGCCCACGCCGCCCAAGGCGCGCAAGGTGGTTCTGGCAACGAACATTGCAGAGACTAGTTTGACCATCGATGGTATCGTTTACGTGATCGACCCTGGCTTTGTCAAGGAGAATGTGTTCAATCCGCGAACCGGCATGGAGAGTTTGGTAGTAACACCGTGCTCTCGGGCTTCAGCAAACCAGCGAGCTGGTCGAGCTGGTCGAGTTGGTCCTGGTAAATGCTTCCGACTTTACACCAAGTGGGCATACTACAATGAGTTGGAAGAAAACACCACGCCGGAGATCCAGCGCACAAACCTCAATGGAGTAATTTTGATGCTAAAATCATTGGGTATTGATCAACTTCTTGACTTCGACTTTATGGATCCTCCACCCGCGGAGACCATTATTCGAGCCTTGGAGCAATTATATGCCCTCGGAGCCCTCAACGACCGTGGAGACCTGACCAAGGTTGGCCGGCAGATGGCCGAATTCCCGACGGACCCTATGCTGGCAAAGGCGATCCTCGCGGCAGGCCAGTATGGTTGCGTGGAAGAGGTGCTCTCGATTGTGTCAATGCTGAGCGAGGCCAGCGCCCTGTTCTTCCGTCCGAAAGACAAGAAGATCCATGCCGACAGTGCGCGCAACAGATTCACTATCAAGGACGGTGGTGACCACCTCACGCTGCTCAACATCTGGAACCAATGGGTGGACTCGGACTTCAGTCAGGTATGGGCCAAGGAGAACTTCCTCCAGCAGCGCAGTCTCACCCGGGCACGCGACGTTCGTGATCAGCTCGCCAAGTTGTGTGATCGAGTGGAAGTGACGGTCAGCACCTGCGGTTCCGCCAACATATTGCCGATCCAAAAGGCTATTACGTCCGGTTTCTTCCCCAATGCCGCACGCTTACAGCGTGGAGGTGACAGCTACCGCACGATCAAGAACGGACAATCCGTATACCTACATCCATCCAGCACGCTGTTCGAGGTCAACCCACGGTGGGTGATCTACTTTGAACTGGTGCTTACCAGCAAGGAGTACATGCGCAGCAACATGCCCCTACAGGCAGAGTGGCTGGTGGAAGTGGCACCACATTACTACAAAAAGAAGGATTTGGAGTCACTAGGATTAGATCGCAAAGTACCCAAAGGAACTGGAGCGGCTGGAGAGAAGAGCAGGACATGAGTCTATCTAGCCCTATACTATTTATCCCATTATGTCAATGAACGGAATATTCCATTCGGAAATATAGAATGACCTAACATCCAATCACATCGATGACAATTGTGATTTCCGACCGCGGCAAAATCCAGGTTAACCTCGGCCCCGCTTTACTCCAGACTTTCTCTTAAATAACGTCACCTCTTTCCCCCTTGAACTCCACACCTACACAACACATACACATACCATGTCGCAATCATTTACCCCGGCCGACGTGGCCGCTCACAACACCGCTGACAAGGGCCTGTACATCATCGTCGACAACAGCGTTTACGATGTTTCCAAGTTCGTCGACGAGCACCCCGGAGGCGCAAAGATCTTGAAGCGCGTGGCTGGCAAGGACGCATCCAAGCAGTTCTGGAAGGTATATATGTCATCTAGCTGATTTTTACGCATCTATGTCTTGTTAATTGAGGAGATGAGGCTAATATCATTCTCTTCATAGTACCACAACGAGTCCGTGTTGAAGAAGTACTCGCCAAAGCTGAAGATTGGAGAAGTCAAGGAGGCCGCCAAGTTGTAATTTGATCTCCAATCTTCAACTATCACTTCCAGCCATTGCGAAGAAATACTGGTTGGAAAGGGGAAAGGGCAGGATACTGGATCCTCCATGATCGGGGCATCTGCGGGAATCAGCCCACGCGGAGAACGCCGTCCCTGGTCATGTGCGAGGAATGTCCGTTTATACCCGCGATTTCGATGTTTATACTAGATTCACATACAAAGAGACAATGCGATCTAAACTATAAATACTAATTTCCCAATTATTTCTGTGGTGAAGAAACTTGATTCTAACGCCCCGGTTTTCCACCGCTTCGAAACTCGGCATCCTTCCGCACAATGGTATCAACATAGTCCAACACAATTCAAATAGACGAATAAAAACAGATATGTTATGAAAAGAGGATTCAAAGGATGCAGGTCAGGCCAGAGGACCATATAGAGCTGTACATGTGAAAAGAAAGAGGATATCGAGAAGAATGGAGAATGGTAGTCCAGACCGACGCTCAAAGAAAAATAAAAAAAAAAAAAAAAAAAAAGAGGGAATCAGGAGAGATTAGAAACCGCGGAAGGGGTCATCGGGTCGGAAAGAGAGTTCGCTACCGTCAACGGAGGGAGCGTCGTAGTCATAGCGGCTTTGACTCCACTGACTGGAGGCCTTACGCACATGTCGTGAGCGAGGCGGCGCACCACGGGGCCGATTGATCTGTTCCGCATGGTTATCGATGAAAGCCTCCATGCGAACAGTGCCCATGTCAAACATGTTGCTCGCTGTCGTGTGAGTAGTGCGACCACTAGCCTCAGAAGTACGACGACTGATGCTACCAGGGCCGCTTCCAAGGCCGGGAGGAAGACTCGGCGGCGGGACAGGCGAGAAGTATGGCTCGGAGGAAGTACCACTGTGGGGCGAGGGCATGGTTCCCTGGCTGGAAAAGCTGCGGATAGCGTGAAGCGCAGGAGGACGAGGGGCCGTGTTGCTGCGCTTGCGGTTGTGATTATGATTAGAGAAGCGTGGGACATGAGGTGCGTCTGCGGCCATGGAGTTAAGACTTTCTAGGTCCGCGCTAGGTATTTCTGGTACTGGGTCTGCGCTACCTGGGAAGGAGCGCTTTCCCTTGGGCATGGGCCGTGGGCGACCCTTGGCCACGCGAATTGAGTCGCGGATTGGGTTGCGTCGCAGGCTTGCCTGTGAAGGTATAGAAGATCCGGTCTCCTCTTGCGGTGCCGGTGGGAGCGCAGCTAGATCGTGCAGGCCCATTGAAGAGTGGCTGAGGAATGATAATGCGGTTAGCCAGACATAGTGGCGTTCAACGGTAAGTGCGGTGAATTTCAGAGCTCGTTGTGGTGTGAGGACTAGAATCGAGCGGTTGAATGGAGTGGGGTTTCCAGGGCTCTTGGGCATTGGGTTGTCATCCTTGACATCCAACACGGATTGGATAGTGACTAGCATGCAGGAGTTAGTAATCAATCAAATCATGGGTACAAGGGAATCAAGCTTACACTTCCGGCCAGTCTTGCCCAGCAAGGCAGGTCCACTTGTCGGTTGTTTGCTGCTCCACATGATGGAGCCTTCATACGGGGCAAGCCAGACCCATCGCTTATGACGCACTCCACTATTGGTGATATTGGCTGACACCTCATCCGGGTTCCGGCCCTCCCAGGCATCCTTGGATTCACCCATGCCGAAAGACTTGCGGCGGCGGACGTACTTGAACATCCACTCGCCCACCATGGTTTGAGCAATTGCATCGACGACACTCGTTGGTTGCACACCGCCAGTCGAGTCCCGCCGGTCCTGGTCCCAATTCATAGAGGGCACCGCTGGGCGATGAGAAGGCCGTTTCACAGGCGCACGATGCTCACGGGGAACAGTGATATCATCAACTGGGAGAGGCGGCGGACGGTAGGAAGGACTATCGAGCGTGAAGGGAGACTCAGAGCGAGTTGGAGAGGAAAGCGTTTCTGGGCGCTCTGCGAGGCTGCTCTGCGAGGTCGCGGCCGCCGAGCGAACTCGACGCAGCGTGGGTCGTCGCCCAACTGTTGTACGGGCACCACGATCGGAGAATTGTCGACCAGAAGAACGAGTCGGGCTTGGGGGCCCGTCACTGCCTGTCAATGGAACGTTGCGCGAGCTGAGACGGATTGGAACTGGGAACGGAGGCGCGATGCTTGAGCCTGCACTGCCGCTGTCGAGGCTTGGCTCGCTGGGGCTGCGGGCGCGAGCTTTTTGATGCGCTGCTGCGCCATTAGAGATCATGGCCAATTTTCGCATGCCGGGTTGACGGCCACTGGAGGTTGTAGTACCGGATCGTTGAGTGGCGCGAGACGAGGAACGCCCAATATCAGCAGGTCTAGACTCGGGGTCAGATAGATGCTCGTCGATTTCAGGAAGGAACATTTCATCCAAGCTGGGCCTTGCTTTCGCATTGACCAACTTGCCGCGACGGATGGTGTATGAAGCAAATGGTCGGTTGAGAAGCTCGTCGTCGGTAAAGATGTCACGTTCCTCTGCGTCGGGGCCTTCGTCATCGCTTAGCTGTTCAAAGCCCGCGAAGAGGCTGCTAGACCGGAAGGGCCGTCTCAATCCAGACGCAACCTCGCCCGATAACGGTCCATTGTCATTGTTGCCAGGGTATGCCTGGTAGGCTTGCAAGGACTCCGAACCTGGGGCGCGTGGGGGCTTCACCGGGCGCTCGTATGGTAAAGGCCGCTGGGCCCTCTTGGCTGAGCGGGGAGGAGGCATAGGCGCGCGGTAGGACTCAGCATTGGTCTCTTGAATTTCGGAGGTGGTTGGCAGATCAGGAATGGCGGAGGGTAATAGACTGGCGGGAAGTTTGACCGGTCGTTGATCGATTCGGATTTCTTCAGTCTGAATGGCAATAGACCGACCCTCAACGACCGGCCTGAAATTGGCTTGAACAGACACATTCTTAGTTTGCGGAGGAAGAACGACACTGCTCCGAGGCGATGACGGTTCCGATCCAGGTGGGTGAATGGCGATCATGGGAACATCAATTTGCGCTGAGATATCACTGGGAGACAAGGTAGCTTCTTCGCTCTCCACGGGCTCCGCAGCTGGAGGTGAATCGGTTTGAGTAGACGCTGATGCCATCGGGACTGGCTCCAAAGCCTCTTCGGCAGACAAGATCGGTGACTCCGAGATTTTGGGTGTCCATGGAGGACTGGGAAGTTCACCGACTGTTTGACAAGAGGAAGAGACCATACCAACTGCGATTGTAAGTGTGGCAGAGTCCTTCATCTCAGGTGCGTCCTCGTCTTCACCAACCTCGCGGCCTGCATTGGATTCCTCACCCGCAACAGGGTCAGTATTCTCTGCGGTTGGGGTAAGGGTTTCGGGTGACGGTGGAGGTGTGTATTGAGTACCCATATCACAGTACTCTACAGGTTGATGGTGGTCTGGCAACTTTGTAGGGCTATTCAGATCCAGAGCACGGTACTCTGCCGCTGTGACCGAGCCAGCGCTTTGCATGGAAAGACCCAGAATTTTCCGGGCTTTTGATGCGATAGAATGAGACGCCTGTGAATTGACCGACATCGGTCGTTCCTCCGGGAGGGCTTCAGGTGATTCTGGAGTCTCATTTTCAGACCCAGCAAACTCATCTTCCTCATCAAAGGCCAATTCCTGAGCCAGGTTCAGGCCCGAATCGCCCTTTCCAGGAGCCATACTCAAGACCGAGTATCGGACATTGTGATAATCTATTTCATTCTCGCCCTCCTCCGAGGTCATGCTAGTCATGCTTGTGCGCCGACGATCCTGGCTGCTGGAAGCCACACTGGCAGTGTCGCTTCCCTTAATTTTGGACTTGGTCGAAAGATCATTTTCACTGTGCTGAGAATGGAGAGTTTCCGCTTCTTGAGCCGCTGCAACCTCATTGAGCACCGTCTTCAAGCGGCCTTCCACCACATGGATTTTGCGTTCCATGTTTCGTCGCTCATTTTCCCATGCTTCGCGATCACGATCCCAAAGCATCTGTGTCCGTTCGACTTCCTCTTCACGATGGCGGGCCTTTTTTTGTGCATGCTCCAGTTTCCTACGAACATCATTGATGTTCTCGACTGCATTATCCCGCTCCCGAGCCAGTTCTGTCATCGCAGATGATGTCCCACCCTCCAAAAGCTGAATTTGATGTTGCAGAGACCGTGTCTCACGGGACGACTGGGCGACATTCTCGTTAAGCGTCTCACATTCCGTTCGAGATTCATCCAGACTTTGTTCTAACGTATCAATTGCCTTTGTTTTATTTTCCACATCCCGTCGCAAGGAAAGAATCTCCGATACGAGGGATGCATGAAGGGTAGGTGTAATTCTGCGAGGATCGAACGGCGATAGGGTGGACTCTTCGATGATATCGTCGACATCGCTTTGACCATCCGGAGAAAATGCCGGTGTTGGTAGGCCTGGTGGGGAAGAGGATGGCGGGGGAGATGAATCTCGCCGACGCCGTGCTGGTCGAGATCTTGATCTCGACTTAGACTGAGCTCGGGATGAATTCGATGGAGCGGGAGATGGTTGAGCCCTCGAGGCGGGGAGTTGTAGGTCCGTGGCCATCTCGCTGCTCATATAATGGAAACCCCCTTTTAAAGCATCACCTGGGTTGGTTCGTTTCCTTGTGCTAGCCAGAGCACGACACGCCCGGGTCCCATCAATCGTCTACCGTAATTGAATCATTCGCGTGTCCCAGTGTGTTTCGGTGGAAATGTATGTCAAAGGTCGTCGATTTGCCCGTTGATAGGCGCTTGGAGGAGAACAGAAGAGCGTAAATAGTTTGAACACTGTGCAACGACCAGTCAGTCGTTGGGTACAACGCGGAGGCGGGACACACGCCTGAGCGCGAGGGGAGCCAATGTGGCCGGGTTTAGTATGCACGGAGGCCTCTACTTACCGATGCAGGTGTCAGGTATCAGAGTTGAAACTAGGGAAAAGAGAGGAGACAGATCAGATGCCATCCCCTAGAACAAAACTTTGCAAAGAGGGTCGATTGCGATCGCTCGAGAACGTACTTTGTGACAGTGGGCACGAGTTGGGACTTGGGATTGGAACACGATCTGCCCACCGGCTTTTCTACAAACGAGGCAACGATCTGAGACGGCCAAGTCAAAGCGTTTACGTTGAAGATTACCTCAAAACTTTTAGATCAGCCTTGCCATCGGAACTGTGCCGGATGCCAGTGTAATCATAGCGAGAAAAAAAAAACACATAGGCCCAGGGGTGTTCGTTAGGGGGCATGGGGAAGCTAGAAACCCACCCGATTAGCCAGAACGCAGGTTGCTCCACCTGTAAAGCTGCCACCCAAGACACTAAAAACGTATGGCTGAACACGGTTAGATCCTTTCCGAAACATCAATCTATGACTTCGTACCCTTGTCCGGGGTACGTATAGCAATATCCGACGGTGGAGAGCACAAGAGGTGTTGTCAGAGTTCAGCCAATCTTCTCTGGCAAGCTTTGGAGAAAAGAAAAAAAAAAAAAAGAAATAAAAAAAAGATAAGAGAGGCTTTGGATGCCACGGGCAATTGAAATTTCTAGAAATGAAAAAGGCAAAGTTAAAGTGATTAAACCCGGAGGCAATGCAGTCTCGGAGAGCATTCGAGGACTGTGATCGCCCGAGTCCACACCAGCTGGGAGGTGTTCGTCGGGGATGGAAGCCAGATCAAGGGTTCCACCACGCATAAGGATGGGTCCAAACAACGCGTTCAGCTTCATGGCTGTGCGCAAACAAAGAACGATCAGGTTTGGGGGTGATTGAAGCATCCTTAGTGGATTAAAAAAATCGACTTGGGCCCATTGTGCTATAGAAGATAATTATCACGAAGGCCAATCATGATAATGCCGGAGCACTAATGCAGCAGGCGAGTCGAATTAATTGGACTGAAAACTTGATAAGGAATAGGAGGGCTAGTTAGCGTGTTTTAGAATGGACATTCCCCCTTTCTGGCGCAGACCCCACTCTGGCGTGAGGCCGGGCTCACGATGATCGTCGAAGGTAATTTCGTGAGCTTGGTGGTTGGTGTTTCAGGATGTGTAGGCTGCATCTAATCTGGTGGTTCGGAGGCAATTGAGCTTTTGCATTCGACGTGGCAATGCGTACTTAAATCTGTTTGCTGAATTGGATGTCTGCCTGGAAGAAACGCAAGTTGCGATGGTGCATGCAGAAAAAAAAAGGGGCAATTGGACTCCATTTCCGCAAGATCCATCCGAGGTCTCCACTGAGCTTGAAGGACCTTTGTTTTGATTTTTCGACTTTTTGTGGGCCACGAATTGTCTGGTACGCGATGGCGATGCGGAGGTCGTCCAAATACAGGGAAGAGAACCCTTCTATGCGGACAAAGGCTAGATGCACTGTATCTTTGTTGTTGTCACCTTCTCAACCTTGATTCAATTTCCGGACGTTGAGCGCGGCTAAATGGAAAACCTAAAAAAAAACAAAGGACATTAGCCAATCAGACACGAACTGGCTCGTATGGGACCATAATTCATTGGCAATAATGCTTGGAGGCGTCCGGTCCAGACTAGTTCGCTGCATGACACGAGGTTATATCACGCTTAGTCCCATTGAGAAGTGGGCTGGGACCAACGCGAAAGCTGCTCAATGAAGCAACAATCTCCGTGAATCATCATTTGACTCCACCCGGGGGAGGGGAAACAGAGACATGGGCCCGATTGACAGGTCTACTTTGTGTCGCGATTCATCATTCGATGCAAGGCCAGTAAACATCTTTGACAGAAACGCTATTGCAGAGTTTTGAGGCGCAGAAAGGTGGAGATGAGCTGGGGAAGGGGTAAGATAGAGAGGGAGAAGGACAAGGGAGCGTGCAAACATTCCCCCATGCATTCTCTCACTTCACCTGAGAGCTTTTTTTTCTTTTTTTCCAGTAGAAAATACCCAAACCAATCTTTAGGTCCACATCTATCAAATACGAATCCCATCTGATCTCATTGCGATCACATTCTCGGGAAGAACAATCCGGCTAATCTATTCGCCATGGATCCTGACCTCGGTCCATGACTCAGCCATGATCACTTGCAAGTCTGCATTTTAAGATGCCTCAACCTGCAGGGAAACGGAGAAAGTGAGATCTAAAAGTATCTCTGATTTCACTGCATAAATCCAAATCGCGACTAGAGCGGAGACCCCGCGTGGATGCTCACGTCCTCACAATGCTGGACCAGCCCCACGTTGTATTCTTCGATACATTTGGCACCGTCGTCGAGTGGCGGTCAAGTGTCACAAAGGCATTGAGCGACGCGGCTCGGCAGGCACTTGATGATCCGAACAGGCATATTCCCGCTGATTTACGCCAGCGTGCAGCTGCACTGGACCAGTCAGATTGGCTTGCTTTCGCGGAGGAGTGGCGTTTATCCTACGGCAACTTTACCAGCACATTTGATCCTTCGAAGGGGTTTGTGTCGGTAGACCAACACCATTACCACGCACTACAGGACCTTCTCAAGAAACGAGGCATTCAAGAGCTATTTGACAACAGTCAACTACTGGAGCTCACTTTGTGCTGGCACCGACTTACCCCATGGCCCGATAGTGTTGCCGGATTGGACCTGCTGAACACCAAATTCATCACGTCGACGTTATCAAATGGGAATGAGTCTCTGCTTAAGGATCTAAAGCAGTATGGCTCACTGCCTTTCACTCAGCTCGTCGGCGCAGAGAATTTTGGAGCATATAAGCCGTCGCCAATTGTATACCACGGTGCAGCGAACCTCCTAGGGCGTGATTCAACCCAATGTACCATGGTAGCGGCGCATTTGAGTGACTTGAAAGCAGCAAAAGGCTGTGGCTTCCGGACCGTTTATGTGGAGCGTGAGTCCGAGGAGGCTTGGTCCACAGATCGTGTAGCGCAAGCTAAAGAAGAGGGCTTTGTCGACATTTGGGTCGGGTTGAATGAGAGTGGAGTTTTGGAGGTCGCTCGAAGATTGGGAATCAAGGGGGACAATGGATCTCAGCCTATCTCAGAGTAATAATCCATCATGTCTTGAATTTGATCATATAATCATACATAGAGACCTTATGTGAGACTTGATGATGACGTGATGACGGATCAAAGCCGATGGATTGATAAGCCCCGCATCTTTGGACCATTAAATGATATAAGACCAGGTCTTTGTGGGGATTTCAGTTTCAATTGCTTGTGAGATATCCACGAATGTGATAATTGAGAAACGTTCCATCATCTCTACGAACATACTGACTCATTGAGAAATCGTTGCGTCATGACTGACAGCGTGAGTCCCGAACGAAGAAATAACATAAGTCCACAAGTAACTTTTACAGGATCCCAAGATTTACCAGCATGCCGACTCAGATGGTCACTACCGGCGAAAAGATTCGGCTTTTCGCTCCTGGGTGTCTCGGGACGCATCGGCTGAGTTCCCCGCCGAAAAAGGCCGCTACGTGCTTTACGTCAACTACGGCTGTCCTTGGGCACATCGCGCTAATTTAGTTTGGACCTTGAAGGGGCTACAGGATATCATTCAGAGGGTAGTTCTGGATCCTGAGCTGAGCCCAGATGGCTGGTTTTTCTCAGGTCGATGGGGATCTGCCGAAACAGATCCCTTATATGGGTTTAAGTTCTTAAAGGAACTTTACCTCAAAGCAGATCCGCAATATGAAGGACGGTATACAGTTCCAGCTTTGTGGGACAAAAAGAAGGAGACAATAGTCAACAATGAAAGCAGCGAGATCATCCGCATGCTATATTCCGAGTTTGAAGACTTTCTACCCGAGACCTTGCGTGAAGTCAATCGTCCAGGTGGTGGATTCTATCCTGAATATCTGAGGAGCGAGATCGACGCGATGAATGCATGGGTATATCCTCAGATCAATAACGGAGTCTATAAGACAGGGTTTGCCAAGAGCCAGGAGTCGTATCTCGAGAATATCTACCCGCTTTTCGAGGCTTTGGATCGCATTGAGGCACTTTTGGGCCAAGCGGGACATCAACCATTCCTTTTCGGAGATCATATTACGGAGGCTGACATTCGTCTATACACGACGATTGCCCGATTCGATGTGGCCTACTATCTGATCTTCAAATGCAATTTGAAAATGATTCGACACGATTACCCGCTTCTTGACCGCTGGTATCGAAGGCTTTACTATGATGAGTCTGAGTTGACCCGGGGAGCATTCAAGCAAACGACCTTCTTTGATGCTGTAAGTAGACTGTGAGGCACATGGTGTAAAATTTCATTCTAATAGTTCTTAGTACAAGTTTGGGTACTGCGTTGCTATTGGACAGAAGACTGGCAATGCTCAGTTAGTTATTCCTGCTGGGCCTATCCCTGATATTCTTCCTCCAGATCAGAGTACTTGAGTAGTAGTTGTACTTCATCATTGGTCTCAATTTCTATTGATATATACAGAACTTCTTTTCAAGGAACCCTCCTAACCCATACAACGACCAGGCTTGTCAAATCAGATGGTCACTGAGTGAACAATCAGAAAAGAGTTCCCTTGGTCTGTTTGATGTTTTTAATATTGATGTCCTTGATAATCACCATGAAAAACAAAGCCAGTGTCATGATAGCAGTGCCAGCAATCAACATGCGCTTCTGCGTAGCAGCATAGGCATACATGATAGCCGTTCGTGTCTCAGAGCCCATGGGGTAGCTCAGCTGCAAAGGAAGACTATCATAGATTTCCTGCCACTGACCAGCACTGCTCTCGGGAAGCATAATCTGGAGCATGCCAGGCAGCGTATTGGTCCAGATAGCCCCGGAGATACTGCCTCCCACAGAACCTCCAATGTATCCGAACAGACCCAGCAAAGCCAATAGAGCGGCAACATCATTATGATCAGAAGCCGCCAACAGAGCAATCTGCTGGCCGATAATCATGACACCGCCACCGAGGGCAATGAAGATCTGGCACATGATAATATACCCCAAGCTGTGGCCCGGGCTGCGAAAATAGATCATCAACCCGACACCAAGCATATACAGCGGGACGCCCCACATCAGAACCCATTTGAACCGGCCAGTGTAGCTGATCAGGGCTCCCACGATAAAGAGCTCAACTCCAGAGGTAATGTCGAAGATACTGGAGATATAACCAGCAGAGGCCACTGAGGTGTTGTAAACCACCTGGAGATAAGAGGTGAAGTAGTAATTCCAACAGTAGTAGGCAACCTGGTAGGTAAAATCCAATAGACAAGCACCGACTACGGTTCGGTTTCTCAATAGATGCCAAGGAACAAAGGGTTGACGGGCACCGAATCTCTCCCAGAAGCCAAAAATAATCAAGAGGACAAACCCAACGACAAGCATCGCAATGATATAGTCGGTCGCCCAAGCCTGGCTAGAGGAGGAAGCGATAGTGAACGGCAGTAGAAAGAGAACAAACCCTGCGCATAGAAGGACCACACCCACGACTAGCGTCACGTTAATTTAGGAAATTCGTGAAGAATAGAACGCGGTACTTACTGTCAAACTCAACCAAGTAATGCCAAGTACTTTGGCTCCAGGTACGGCCACTTGGTTTTCTCAACACAAGTCCGTTTTTCTTTGCCTTCCGTTTACCCAGTTGCATCATGACCACCATAGGAATAGCAACAAAAGGCAGGATGATAGCCCAGACACCATATCCCCAGCGCCAGTTTTTATCATGAATTGTGTCAGCAGCAGCAGGGCCGCCAAATGCCGTGATCATATAGGGTGAAGACGTGAAAGCGAAAGCGAGACCGCGATTCCGCAGCGAGGAAGTATCAGACGTAACCACATCTATACAGAAGATCATGCCAGTGAATCCAACGGAATAGAAGATCTGAGCAGATTGTTGTTAGTCGCGGTATTCGATTGGGGGAACGAAGTCTGGGTGCCAGGCCTACATTTGCTGCGGCATAAAGCTCAAAACTATTACAAGCTGCCATGAGGATCATACCCAAGGTCGCAATCATGAGCATCAGCAGGAATCCAACCGTGCGATCCCACAAGTTGAGAATCTTTGCAACGGGTAGGTAGGTGGCGCCTGCCATGACGCTGGATACGACACTGATGACTGGCAACAAGGAGTGGTCTTGGAATACACTGGACACGTAGGGATCCAGGTTTGCTGAAAGGGAAGACTCAAAGGCATTGCTGAAGTACAGGAGCCACATACTGTATATGCTGTCAATTAGTAAATTGTTCGTCCTTGAAACCTTGCCCAGAAGGTTCTTGGGATGGCTCTAGAGGACACTCGAACAACTTGCCTTATATAGACCACGATCAAGGAAGACCTTGACCACGACAGTGTCATGGCTTCGGCAATTTTCACTCCATCCTGCGCATTCTCATCTGGTACATCATCAGGGTTTTCAAATTCGGGCGCCTGCTTTTCATTCCCTGGCTCAACATGTATATTGGTCTCGCATTTGGAGGCGTTCGCCTCTTCCATAGAAGACTGCGCCATGACAACCAGACGGTATCAATCAAAGCGAGATAATTATCATTTATGAAAGCGAGTAGGACTTTGAAAACGACCGCGGGCGAAAGGAAGCCCACGAAGAGAGATACTAGAAAGGCATTTTAAATGGACCCCAGAAGACAGAAAATTTCTCATATAGGACATTTCTTTTCCACATTAATCCCAAGCGATTCATTGCCAAGGGTTGGCAAAAACCTAACCAGTGTATCTAGAGTCTCTTGAAGTTCCACTGAGAACGCAAAGCTATGCGCCTAGTGGTCAAAAGAAACTCGAGCAGAAAATGGAAACCTTGAAAGCCATGATCTAATCTGATCCGAGACGTTCGCGTCTTAGCAAAGAAATGCTCAGCATTGGCAACCTCTGGGCATGACCCATGTCTTGGAAAGATGGCCCCAAAAATCCAAGTAGAAAGACTCGCCAAGGGAGGCCGAAGCGCAAGGGCAAGTATTAGAATGCAACCACAGAGCCCGGGGGTAGTGCTGATTTGACCCAAGATCTGGGCGCCTAGTAATAGAATCTCCACCAGAGCATGGCGCCAAGCGGAGTTTGTTCCTGAATTTTCCGACACGATGGCTGATGATCAGATAAGTTCGATGCTGAATAATGTGGCCCACTCGACTGCATGGACCTCGAGTCGAGAGCAAGCGGTTTCGGGGAAAACCCCTAGTTGAGCGTGTATTTCTCACCTGATCATGCCAAGAACCTCCATTGGAAAGTCCCGTGCATGATTTGTGGATGAGTGTGGTTCCTCGTGCAGATCGTCAGGTTGAACAGAGTTGGTGTAAGCTTTTTTGCTCAATACCCTGTGTATCTAAGTTTTGGTAATACCTATCTTACACACGAATTGATCGCACGTCATCAGTCAACCTGAAGGCGACCAGACCTGCTTGAAACCCTAAATGCTCTTTCAAGCACGATAACTTCTCATTGCAATCATTACAACATGCAATTGACAACAGATGTGGCATTTCTCTAAGCCGCATATCGCGATCACGGCAATTTAGGCGAGTAAGATTGGCAATCCGGCATGTGTGTTTTTTTCAAGTCTGCCAAGTCTATTTCTTGGCGCCAACGTCGCTGAAACGGAAGTACAGTATGCTTATCCTTCGGCGCCGATCACTGGGCTGGATTCACCGGTGTCGGCATTGACACGGCTGACGATCATTACAAAACGGGATGTCCGATTTTACAGCAAAAGATCCGAACCATCCGTGGACAGACACAGGTAGGAATGGAATGAAGACAGGTATTGAACAAGGGAGACTGGATCAAAACTCATATCTTGTGTCTTGGTGGATATTATAGGTTGGAGCACATCTATAATTTACTATCTACCCACCGCGGTGCCCTTTTCTCAGCAAAGGCTCTAACCCCTTCATGGAGATTCGTGCCCTCATTCAATGAAGGTTCCCAATTTTCACTCAACAAGCGACTCGCGTTCTCTGCACTCCCATCTTCCCAGCCAGCGACAATTCCCGCGCGACTAATAATGACACTATCCGGACTATTGTCGACAATGCGAGCCGCATAATCCAATGCCGCCTTCACAACCGGCCGGTCCAGCACCTCGCAATCAGTTGCCCCATCCTCCGTCACGGCATTTATCAATCCCCATTCCTTCGCCTCGGTAGCAGTGATCGTTTTGCCGGTCAGCGCCAGTTCCATCGCTCTTGGGCGGCCAATGGTTCGAGCCAGTCTCGGTAAAGAGCCCGCCATGGCGACAACACCTCTCTTTGCTTCAGGGAGTGCAAAGCGTGCCCCTTGAGCTGCGATCACAAGATCCAAATTGGCAATCATTTCCATCCCTCCACCAAACGCTAATCCATTCACCGCAGCAATAACAGGTTTCTTGCCGTGGCGCCGGGACAAGGCTCCAAACCCGGACCGTGGCATCGGATGCTGGCCAGTATGGTCTCCGCTGGCACGACGAGCATTTGTTTGATTCCATTCTTTCAAGTCCATTCCAGCACAAAAGGCTCGTCCGGCGCCTGTGACGATAGCACAGCGAAGCGATGGCTCACTGTCATACCACGCGAACAGTGTTTCGAGATCATATTGCGCTGCGCTGGTCATGGCATTGAGCGCTTGGGGTCGGTTGAACACTACCAACATCACATGTGGAGCTGGAAAAGAGATGATTGCATGGCTTTGTAGGGGCGGTTGCCTTTTGAGGCTGGGATAAGAGCTCATGATGGCTTCACAAAAGTAGAGTATCTGCTGTTGGGGTTCCCTGTGACGGTGGCTACTCAAACAATCAAAGACACAGAAGACGAAGATGAAGCTGCTGGCCTCGGGTATTAAGATCTACTTCACAAGCCTGGTCCATGCCCCGGCAATAGGGGAATTGGGTAAGGTCTTTCTGGTAAAATGAGTAATACTGGACTTCCTTTTACCGATACAGGGAAACGGTATTACATTTCCACGGGTTGATCTCGGGGAAACAGAAATGCAAAAAAGCCTAGACGATCTGATAAAAATTAGCCTTTGAGGAAACTTCGCGGTCACTTCCAAGACTCGTCCTCCCATCCTATTCTTGAAAGTGTAACATAGTCAAAGGTAACATGTGCGAGACTTGACAAGAATTTGACTACCAAAAGTCAAGTTTGATATTTTCATTCCGTTGCAAACGAACCCGCAGTACGAGGCACTTTCCCGCCAGAGCCTCTGATTGAGTTTGGATCGTCGGGCCGTGGGGCACACTACGTAGCCTGGTGGACCATCGTAACAAGCGTCAACCCTGATATGAGTACCGGTATTTGGACCAAAATAAGACATGCAGAAATACCTGTGACAACTAAATTGACCTCGGTAATTGAAAGACAAGTGCCCCCAGGTCCATTGCCAAGCCGACATGTGGCTACAGACTTGGCCATGATTCTCTCCACTGCCGGCATAGGATGCGTCATTTATGTAAAGTATTTGCTGCCAAGCCACTATTCTTGTACTGTAGCGTAGCATTATGAGCGACTTCCCCACGAGCATGTCTCAGACGCTTGGTAATATGTGAACTCTATTTGGTTTTATTCTGTCTAATCAAGTTGAGAGCTGCATACCATACTTCGTGATACTTGGAATAAGTAGAAACCTCATTTCAATGGAAAATCAAGCTATACGCTTCAAATTTCACAGTCGAGGCTTAAAAGCCAAGCCAGTGCCCGCAATGTGAGGACTTCCTTGGTTGAATGGACAAATTTGGAAGAATCGCTCCCTGGTGCACTTCACAAGACTAGCCCGCTTATGGGGCAAATCGATGATCTGATCCTGATGCAAACCAAAGGTGTAATCATAGGTCAAGACCTTGTCATTGTTCGAGAGAGGCTCTCCAATAACGTTTTCTGTACGGTGGTCATCGAGAAAACAGTAATGAATCATGCTGGGCCACCATGCCATCACACGATGAGGGCCGCGGAATGCATCATTCCCAACAAGAGTATGCCGACCGCGATCAAAATCTTGAGACGCGTAGTGTGCACCGATGTTATCTTCCTTTGCCCAGAAAATCTCGTAGTAAGAAAATGGGGTATCATTGAAGCGACCGAGAACGGTGAGAGTGTGAGGATCTTCATTCTGGCGGCGTAAGTAGTCGCGGTGTTGGTCCAAGGTACCAGTTTCCTTCCAGCCCTTAGCGACACGAGGGTCATTTTGCCAAGTATGGAAGAGGTTCAAATGTTCAGGATTTTGATAGTCTAGCGCGACGAGCGAGAAATGTTCATCCAGGAAGGGTATGTAGCGACTGTAAACAACGGAGCCGGGGGTGGGCTTGGGGTGTCGGCGAGGGTGTCGGCGGTGCGAAGTTTCGGTAGAGGTCATGGTGAAGTCGAGGTGAGGAACCGCTTTAGCTGGGTTCCAGTTCGGGAGCCAGATGGGCTGAGAGCCGAGAGGAGACGCACATCCCTGCCAGAAGGCGTTGCGCAATACCAAAAGCTCATTCGTAGACTGCCACTGAGCAGCATTGCTGACAGGCTGTGGGTGGTCAATGGCTACCATGGAGAGTCGGATAGACTGTGCCAAAGCTTCGGCATTTTGGCCTTGGAGCTGGAGACGGAAGGTCTCTATCTCTTCATGGACTGTAAATGTCGTGTAGAGAAATAACCAGACTTGGCCAACTGTTGGTACAGAGTTGCCTTTCCAGCTCAAGAGGCATGACGGGCTGCGCTGTGCTCGTGCCCAAGCAGTGTTGTCGGCGGATGAGATCACTTCTGGGTTGGCCGGACGCGGTGCCCCAAAGTAAAGTTTGTCATTGTCTAAAGCCTCGGGGAATGGTTGTGACTCTTTTTTAGCCTTCTGAAGCTGTAGCAGCTGCGTCCCATTGTGAAGCTCGTCCGATGGCTTCAGATAGTAGGTAGTCAAGTAGGGATGAGGTAACCGAATCTTGATGGGCGCCATTTTTTGCAATTTTTGGCTCATATGCAAGCAAACAGAGCGATGAATCAAAGTTCAGTAGGTAGCAGCAAAGAAAAAGATTGGTCTGCAGAAAATCAGAGGGGAAGATCAAAAAGCACCGCCCCAGCCTGCCATGACCATGACTTCCCAGAAATTTGCGTGGGGCAACACGATCCGATTTCGCACGGCTCGCACGCTTCAGACTTCTCCTGATACTCTCTGTGCATTGTATTCACCAACACCCCGGTGGAACTCAAGTTTTACATCATTTCTTACCCAGCGGCTGCTGGAAGCATAGAGTAGGAAGTGGAAACGTTGATCTGCTTCCCCAAAGGCCATGATGCTTCGGGCAGAGTGCCTATTTGGGCGGGCTGTGGACCGCTTTGTATGGAGACAGCCTGTATCAGATTAGAGTAATGTGGTTCCCACAGGAAGAGCTGAAAAATGGAACAAGTGCTCCATGCAGGGAATTGAGTTTACCATACGCCAAGACTAATCCCTTGTGTACTAGTGCCCGACGATCACTACAGTATCGCAATACATCATGCACCATGCAAAGCTTAGGCCCTAGGAACTGACCAATACTTGAAACCATACGAGACATTGGGATAAGTAGCTATTGCTTCCATTTATATTTTTGCTCCGGACCGTGCAAGCAGTGCCCGAATGATTTGAGGCATAATGTGGGTGGAGCCTCTACGCAATGTGAGCGTGGGGAGGAGCCACGGCACATAAAATTAAGAATTGGTAGCCGTCCCGGGTATTAGATTGACGAGGTTATTTTACGCGCGTGTGCGGTGTTTTATTACGTCCCATGGATGCAGGTTGATTTTTTTGATAAAATCAGATACACCGATCTCTCAACCCGCTAGCGGCGTCTTATCTGATTCTTTCAAGGTCTTCTGATTATCTGATCCGTCGTGTTCCCTACTCATTTTTGAATCACTGCAAGTTTCAAGGCCTTGTTTCCCGAGGTTTTAATCGATTTCAAAAATCTCCCATGCTCTCCAGCGATCCGTAGTAAGCACTCTGACTATTTGACCCCAGGTGCAGGTGGACATCACCTAACTCTTGGGCTTCCTCAGCCCTGGAATGCGTAGACACTGCGTACTAGGTATGGGATAAAAAATCTTTCCGGGAAATTCGAAACGTATCGGAAAGCACGACAGAGGAGGGAAATCAGGGGTGGACCAACAAGAGCCTGTTTTAAATGCCGGAGCCGGTGATAGCTAAGGATAATGATCGACTAGATCAGCGTGGTTATATCCACTGCGTAATATAATGTCGTTATTCTACTCGATAGTCGCATACGCTCTCCACTATACGAGATATACGAAATATGACCGGGAGATCGAATAGCAGTCAAGGTCTCCGCACATTTACGTATAAGCAAATAACTTACTGTACAGGAGATGCAAGTGTCAACAATTCGATCAGCATTGGAATTGTTGCTTGGCAGATCATCACTCCGGTACCTGCTCTGATCCCGGGAAGAAAGTTCCGCACGCATGGTACATAAAGCCAAGCGTTCGCCAACCTTCTCCGGAGGCATTGCCGATTTTAGTCTCCTCAGTGGTGATCAACATGTCTAAGATGTGGTCTGCAAACACCAAAATCCGTCTTCCTTATCCTTTCTTGACAACGTTCTGTCTTGTCCCATCACATGACGCCCAAAACAATGAGGTGTTTCAGCTGAGCAAGGAAGAAGGCTTTGCGGGCGAAGCTTCTCTGCCCGTAGAACTCCATGATGACAACATTCAATTCACGAGACCGAGCGTTGTAACCTCAACTGGTCTTCCTGCGATCACTGCTTTGCGCCAACAACGACCCCAACAGGGTCCATTAAGCATATGTTCATGGGATAGTACCGGAGTCATCACCGTCAACCATATTTGGTTGATACTCTACACGATATTTACCATCGAGCCCGAGTTGGAGACATTTCGACTACAACTATATGGACCCGGTAGCGATGCCATAAGTGAGGACTTGCGTCTCTCGATGGTGGCCCTCAACTCAGACGGGTGTTCTGTGGTTTTCCGCAGCAGTTTTTGGCAGGGATGCGCCTCACCGCTGAGCTCTCGTTCGATTTGGACATCCTCCGCAAACAATACCGTGCCACATTTACACTACGTCACCACATCTACAGCAACAATACGTCGCAGCCACCCACTTCGTCCTCCAAAATCTACATCAGGCTCGATCGCTTACAGTCGATACATCCCCAGTTTGGACAAAGTCTTTTCCCTGGTTATCATTGATCATCAGGACCCGACCCATGTCGAATTCTTCCACCAGTCAAGGAGAACGTCTTCTCCAGCCAGTGACTTAGGTATGCAGGGAGACTCCCTCGAGGAGGACTACGAATATCTTCGCAGAAAAAATGAAGACGCACATACAATTGGTCTACTAGGCCAGTTTGATGGGACATTATTTGGATACTTTGAGGTATTCTGGGCCAAGGAGGATCCTCTAGGTGTGGCCAGCGACGCTAGTGATTTTGATCGTGGACTGAATGCTTCAATTGGATACTCTTCCTTTAAGTCACGGCGCTGGCTGCAAGCCTGCTGGTCGAGCTTACTCCATTACATTTTCCTTGATGAGCATCGAACGGAGAATATCATCGGTAATGGAGTGTGGGGGCATGAGCTACTGGGTGATGCTTCATTTGAGTTGCTGGAGGATGAGATGGTGCAATTGCCGCATCAGCGGATACATCTTACAAGATATTCACGTGAATTGTTCTTCTCTCTCTGTCCATTTGATGGGGCTCTGGAGGACGTTAACCTGCAGCTACCCTCTCGCTTATAGAATAGTATAGAAATGCACTGGGTGGCATCCACGGATGCGAGTGAAGCTTCTAAGATTATTTCATCTGTCACAATGCTAAATACTTTCATTGTCTAAATCCTTGACAGGCCTTATATTAAATCGTATCCGTGTAATCCAATCATTGGCTTTGTGCTCGACCAATTTGTCATTCCCGCTGTAAAGGAAGAATCAAGGCCAATCACAAGGAAAACCTCTACCTCGTGTAGGTGATTCTCAGTATGTGTTGTATCCCTTTCAGGTTTGCGATGCTTTTGATGAATATTGAAGCAGCATTTAACCACTGTATGGTTTTTGAAGCAGTCTATTCTTACTATATTCTTATTTTTTCTTCTAGTATCCCGTCTAGTAGTATAAAACGCCTTTAGAAACGGGCTTTTGTGAATACGTTCAGAAACCGAGGTGTATCAAAGTCCCAAAAAATGGGCCCATGAATCTGTGAGTGAATCCTAATTTTCTGGTCATTGTCTGAGGCACATAGACTGGAACTCTGAAATCCCACGAGCGCGTTACGTGTTGCTCACACATACCTTATATCGAGTTTTTTATGGGGCATAGTTCATTCAATGGACAGCTAGATCATAATGACTCATGATGGCTCCGCTCCTAGTGAGGTAAAATCGTGAGTTCTCTTCTCTGAATCCCAAATTATAGGGGAAGAATGACATTGAAATGATGAACATGAAGACCAACGAATCTATCAGGTTTTATCTGCTTTGTCATCTTCGCAAGCTTTTCTTTATTCATCAGGTCTTTCTCCTCCTTTCTCCTCCTTTCTCCTCATCTCATCCTGAGTCAAGCGGGCCAAAATGAAGTGACCTAATGGTTTTCTCGTGGGTTTAGATACGCCCTGGAGTCCAGTTTTCTCATCTCTTCAGTTGCCATTGTTGCAACCTTGTCACGATTCAAGCGATCCTGCTCTTGTTTCTGCCGCTTGGGTTCCTGAGCCAATTTCTCTATATTTTCGGATTTTCCTTGGTTCTTTCAAGCGATATTGGCTGATTCTTGCCTGGGCTTTCCCTGCTATCCGATTAATATGTTGGGCGATGGGCACTGGAGGTCGTATATGGCATCGTAGAACCCGCGTACTTCAGGATTATAGAGGGTCGGAGTAGCTTCTTTGGGCTTATCGAGATTCCTAAGGTTGGCCAAGCTGCGCAGGGGGGTCAAGAAGGCAAACCGAGGAGATTGATGAGAGCAAACAAAAGGCATCATCTAATATGAGTTTCGGATGGGTCATATATAGTAAAATCAGAAAGGGGGAATGAAGCTAGAAAATATGAACACGCTGATCCAAAGGGTAGTGTGGTAAAGTTGAAGAGTAAAGTGAACGAATTTAGGTGAGGTCAGATCTGTCATCTAGTTAAAGTCCTACTCATTTGGACATATGACTTTCCTAGGTATCCCAGTATTGGCTGGAAAATGGCGAAGTGCGGATGATAAATGCAATATTTTCTGATCTCTTCTTATACCCTTGCTACCGTCTAGATCCAGCCAGGCTGTCTTATAAAGGTATGCCGCATTAATACGGCAAATCCCCTAATGTGAACTTTGCAAGAGGTATGTAGTGACTAAATTGGAAATTTGTCACGAGACATTAGCAGAGCACCGCTTCAATATTAAGTGGCTGTGCCCCGATCTCCCTTAACCTTATCCAATAGACAAATCATAGCGACTTGAAACGAAAGACCTCACACAGCCGTGATTGTTGACATTCAATATAAGCTGCGCCGTGTTCTAGTTCTCAAGAACCAGATACTTCTTTGCCTTGAGAAATGGCCAGGGTGACCGTATATCATTGAACGTGGTATGCCTAGTCAGCAGCTGCTAGCGTCTGCCGTCACCATGGTGATGATAACACCAGTGGTAGTGAAGAATAGGGGGAAGTAAGCTAATATTCCCGCCTATAGCCTAATAATTTACGGCTCTATTTTGCGCCTAGCGTCCTACGCAATCTAAATTTGATGTTTGTTATTTCCTTAAATAAAGTATTCAGGTCATATGCATGTTGACGCCACAGTGGCTACATCAGTTGATATGATTGGGATCATAGCTGTGGTCCTATTTCATGCAGCCTTACTTCAAGCTCGCTGCTTGCCACGCTAGCTAGTTACACGCTAAGAGGAGCTCTCTCCGTGAAGAATGAGACAAAGGAAGAGTCAACGTATCATTGAACGTAGATCGAAGAGCCAACCAGGACAGAAAGCGCTGAGCTAGACTCATATACAGGGGGTGGCATAGCAGGGCGAGACCATAGCGGACCGTTGAATGCCATATGGCGACTCCATCTAACGGCGGAGAAGGACGGGAGGATCCGTTACTGCCCTGGCTCCTTCGGAAATAGGACTAAGAGGATGGAATTGTGCTCCTTTTGGCCCCTTTTCTTCCCGCATCAGGCCTTGGCCATCACGGGACAACCAAAGCATTGGAACATGCAACGGTCACAGGAAGAGAGAAAGGGGGCGAACGTGATGAAGAGAGAGTAGTGCGTGTAAATCGCTACGATATCGGGGTCCCAGACTAGTTGAGATGACCCAGACGGATGGAATAGGTGGAAGGATTCATATCGGCCAAGCAATGACTATTAAAGCCAACGAGGCTGGGTTCAATTCTAATACCATATAGGGAGTAGGGGCGTAGGAAATATCCTAGAAGAAAAGTGGACTACGCAGGAACAGGAAAAGAAGACCCATTCCGGGACCTTGAATGTGGTGCAGGATGGGTCACATCGTCATCAAGCGGGTCCGGACCACGACCGAAAAGCCCAGAGCTTGACAAAAGGATCCGATTACCCAAGCGGTTCCCCATCGTGCGATAGCGTATCCCAGGCCTGTAGCCGCGGGACACGGGAGCAGCGTGCCGGACGCTAAGGAAGGCGGACACATTGGCCCCATTGGCAGGCCAAGCGGCTCGGAAGGGAAATTAAACTGGTGGCTCTCTAAACATAAAATGAGGGACTCCACCGAGCACCATCAAGGCAGGCCTGAGAGACGATCTATCAAGCGGGAATCCACGCGCCGTTCCGCGGGTGGATGCTTTTCCTACGAAGTGCTGCTCTCCACGGGATCAGATCATCCGTTCAGGAATGAGAACGAGAGAGGGAAGTAGGTTAAGATCAAGAATATACACAATCCTTAAATGGGGGGAAAGGGGGGAAATAATGGCCCCAAGAGTCCTCAGGGACAAGAGAACTGTGGATCTAAACCAGTTCGAGTTTGGCTTGAACCTTTCAGTGGGATAGCCATCACCCCCGCCCAGACTAGATTCTCTGGAATTTTCTGTCGCCCGCGCAAGGACCCTAGAATATACTCCTGTAGGGGCAACATGAAACGGGGTGGATCCGTAGAGGAATTCTATGGAGTCGTCACGTCTATGCTTAGGGCCGGCAATTCTCATTCCACGTGCTACAAGCCCTTTTAATCAAGAAGCTCCCGGGCCGGATGGTGCCCTAAGAAGAGAAAAGGCACGGACTCGCTTAGCTGGAAGCTCCCGAGGCTCCACCGGGGAACAAGCAGCTTCCTGTCATGGTTTGGTGAGGGTTTGGCCCAATCTCCTCTTTCTGGGCCGTTAGCTTCTGGGCCCGGAATCTTTTTACCCACTTGACTTGCCCTGTGCGAGGTTTCTCATCTGGTTGCCCCCCTTTTTTTTTCTGGTTGTTATTCCCCGGTTGGGGGGGGAAAGTAGAGCAAGAGCGAAAGAGGGCAACCTATCTTCCAAATTTTGGGCGATATTTGCTTTTTTTTAATCAAAAAAAGAAAGCATGTTGCTTTTGATCAATCCTGAAGATCTGCCACTCTTTCTAGCACGTGAATGAGTTGTAAAGACAGATTTGGACAATGGTGTGTCACAGCGGGGAACCTTAGAGAACATGATCTTACTATATCATCGATCGGACATTTTAGGAGAGAATCCCAGGTCCTATACAATAATGGCGCATACACCACATTCTTTTCCTCCGTTTATATTTGAGGAGTTTAGTCAGGGATCCTTTCCTGTATGTTCTTTTCGCCCCTTGAAAGAACCCAATCGAATCCAATGATCTCATGAAACTGTCAGAACCGCCATGCTCATGAAACGTTGTTTGCATGAGCAGATAGATCATTTTCTTTAGAAGACAAGTCTCTTGCCGAGACGGTCTCAGAAGGGTTATGACAGATGACCCAAGAGCTAGGGAACCCGGCCGGCTGGGTATACATAATCTATTTTATTAAATAAGGATCGATTTGACGTCTTGGGATTTATTTTAGTCTGTGGTTCTGATTCTGATTTTGATTTTGATTTCATATTTGATAAATCTTATTTTCCCTTTTCCATTGGGAAATTGATTTTTGCCTATTTTCCTGGATTTATTGAATTGATTTAGGAATTGATGAATTGTCCCAGCTTTAAACATTAGGTTCCAGAGGTTTAACCCCTCCCACTCCCAGTTCTCTCTCTCTCTTCCCTCTTCCTCCACTTAGTTCCAGCCACTTTCTGCCCGGACCAGACTTCGCACAACTTGGGCCCCCTCTTTTTCCTTTTCCCCCTCCCCCTTCACTCTTCTCTTTCTTTGCGTCATTTGGGAACAATTGGGGTTCTTTCTGCTTTGACACCGCCTGCACCCCCTCTTGGGAATCTCGATACCCCTCTTAGCCTCCCGAACCCCTGCTTGAACCGCCCGAAAACCACTCGCCATGTCGGGGAAAATGACATTGTATAAGTTGGTGGTGCTGGGCGATGGAGGTGTGGGAAAAACTGCTCTCACCATTCAGGTTGGTCTCAACCGCTCCCGACCGTGATCTAGGGGAGGACTCCGAAGGGCATCCCGAGAAACTGACATTTGAGGTCCACAGCTATGTCTCAACCACTTTGTCGAAACCTACGATCCCACCATCGAAGACTCTTATCGCAAACAAGTCGTCATTGACCAACAGTCGTGTATGCTCGAGGTGCTGGACACGGCGGGCCAGGAGGAGTACACTGCACTGCGGGATCAGTGGATTCGAGATGGAGAGGGCTTCGTACTGGTCTACAGCATCACATCGCGCGCCTCCTTTTCGCGTATCACCAAGTTCTACAATCAGATCAAGATGGTCAAGGAGTCATCCAGTTCCGGCTCGCCCTCCGGCCCCAGCTACTTGAGCTCCCCCATGCAAGCGTCCGGAGGTCCGTCGCGGCCCGTGCCCGTTATGCTAGTCGGCAACAAGAGCGATAAGGCCGTGGAGCGTGCAGTTTCCGCACAGGAAGGACAAGCACTCGCCAAGGAGCTGGGATGTGAATTCGTTGAGGCCTCCGCGAAGAACTGCATCAACGTTGAGAAGGCCTTCTACGACGTCGTTCGCATGCTGCGCCAGCAACGGCTACAGCAGCCGGGTCGGAATCAGGACCGTCGCCAGCCTGGAGGTCGCGACCGCGATGCTGGCCCTGAATATCCCAAGTCTTTCCGTCCGGATCGGACGAGACATCGCAGCCGGCTCCAGTGCAACATCCTGTGATCGGCCGGGTCCGTCCGGGGGAAAGGAGAGCATTGAATATCCTGTGATAGTGATGTCGATACTCTCGTTTGCTTCTTTTATTTTCCTATTTCTTTTTCCTATTGGTCTTGGGTGCATCTGGAAGGGTGGTTCTGTCTTTTGGTTACGACCTTTGTTCGGCGTCAGGCCTCTTCTCTCGCTTTCTCTCCTCACATACACACAAACACACACTCACAACCCCACTCCTCGTCTCTCTCGCTTTGCTCGCCATTCCAGAGTCCCTGAAGGTGGAGACTATTGTCTCTTTCAGCTCCCACGCACACTTCTCTGCCGATCACTCTTGATTTGGGCCATTGAGGGGGGGGCACCCCGCCACTCAAGCTGCGGGATCCACCGCACCATGCTGGTTTGCACATCTTGGCCAGCTCCCCCCACCAAATTGTGGGAGGCAACCAGCCATAAGGGTTTAGAGCGAAGGACGGATGGGGGTTGTCTTGCATTCCATTGGAGCACCCGACGCCACAAACAACCAAAAAAATATCCTTGGCGACGAAGCCAGAAGATCGCAGTCGCGCATTAGCAGGCATTTCGATATGATACCCTACGACTGAGCTTGTTTATCTTTCTTTTGAATTTTTGTCGGCCATTTAAGCAAGTATATAGACAATACAGATCTTTCTATCTAATGGTCAATCTCATGGCGAAATGAAGATCTTGGGCCGACTATATTTAGAGCGAGTAGGAATAGCTTCTCGCACTAGTTAAAATCCAAAAGTAAGATCTTGTTTCAGCCGCTCAATTGCCTCAACTAGTCCCCACTTCATGTCTCGTGTGATTTTTGAAATGGGACCTATACAAAGCGGGTACTTAGTCCCACCGCATAGCTTTCTTAGCTGCACATGTACCACTCGGGTACCGTCGTGCGGGGAAAGCAATAGGCCCTCGGGCCAACTGTCCCCCGCATTTTCGGCTTTCGCTTTAAATGTCCTCTGCTTCAAGGGCGAAACAGATGGCATCTCTCCGAACGGGTCAAATCGCACCGGAGCTTGCACCCTAATTCTGGAGAGGCACGTACAGGGGCATGTACATGCGATCACAATCCGGTCCAATCAATCACTAGTTGACCCTCGCAACATGACGCCACACCCACAACAGATAGCGCTGGAACACTCGCTTCGTGACCCGGATGGATTTTGGTCTGGTCCCGCAGAGCGGCTCCACTGGCACCGCAAGCCATCCAAAGCTCTGACGCTTCAATCCAAGACTCTCCCTAGCGGGGTCAAGCATGACCACTGGTCCTGGTTCGCCGATGGCGAGATCTCCACAACCTACAACTGCGTAGATCGTCATGTGCACAATGGCCTCGGAGACCAGGTCGCTATCATTTGGGAGTCCCCGGTCACGCGGACAGTGGAGAAATTTACCTACAAGCAGTTACTGGATGAAGTCGAGGTTCTTGCAGGGGTGTTGCGCGAGGAGGGGGTCCGTAAAGGCGACGTGGTGATCATCTACAGTACGTGGCACAAGCTCATCCTAGCTTCTCCCAATTGGTGTACGCCTTGTTTCATCCGCTAAACCATTCAGTGCCCATGATACCCGCGGCGCTCATCGCCGCGCTTGCAATTGTCCGGCTGGGCGCCATCCATGCAGCCGTGTTTGGCGGGTTCGCCGCCCAGTCGCTAGCGCAACGCATTGAGGCTGCACGTCCCCGCGCCATCATGACCGCATCGTGCGGAGTCGAGGGTTCCAAGGGCCCCATTTCATATCGGCCACTAGTGGAAGGGGCGGTTGCGGCGAGCAAGTTCAAGCCCAGCAAGGTGATTGTGTGGCAGCGAGATCAACTACGCTGGAATAACCCCGATAAGCTCGGTGGCCAGCGAAATTGGCAGCGACTGGTTAAAAGCGCTCGCATGCGTGGTATCCGGGCCGGCCCGGTACCTGTCAAGAGCACAGATGGACTCTATATCATTTACACGAGTGGTACCACCGGATTGCCCAAGGGAGTGCTTCGGGAGGCTGGCGGTCATGCCGTTGGGCTTGAGCTATCGATTCGATCTTTATTTGGAATTAAAGGGCCGGGTGATGTGATGTTCTGTGCCTCCGATATTGGCTGGGTGGTTGGACACTCGTACATTCTCTATGCACCGCTGCTAGTCGGTGCAACCACGGTTCTCTTCGAGGGCAAGCCTGTCGGTACGCCTGATGCTGGAACTTTCTGGCGCATTATTGAGAAGCATGCGGTCAATACGCTGTTTACAGCACCAACGGCCATGCGAGCCATCCGCAAAGATGATCCGAATGACAAGCTCTTCAAGGAAGTAGGACAGCGCGGCGGGCTAAAGTCTCTTCGAGCGTTGTTCCTCGCAGGCGAGCGAAGTGAGCCAAGTATTGTGAACGCATATCAGGATCTTCTGGCACAATTTGCGGCACCCGGTGCTCTCGTCGTTGATAATTGGTGGTCTTCTGAATCCGGATCACCTATCACTGGATTAGCACTGAACAGCAGCGCTGCTATTCCTAGCACAGTAGCTACAGGAGCCGACCAACCGCTTGCCATTCGGCCCGGGTCAGCAGGTCTTCCGATGCCCGGATTCGATGTACGCATCGTCGACGACGTGGGTAATGAGGTCCCTCGTGGGACTATGGGCAATATCGTCATGGCTCTGCCACTAGCACCCTCGGCATTCACAGGCCTGTTCCAAGATGAAGAGAGATTCTACCACGGATATTTAAAGCGGTTCAATGGACGGTGGGTGGATACCGGGGATGCAGGACTAATCGACGAAGATGGATATGTGCACATCATGTCCCGATCAGACGATATTATCAATGTAGCTGCGCATCGTTTGAGCACAGGTAAGAATTTGGAGTTCCCTATACCCTTCAGTCAAATGTCAAAAGCTCACCCTTGCCTTGAAAAGGCGCTATTGAACAAGCAATCCTGTCCCACCCATCCATCAGCGAAGCCAGCATCGTCGGCATCCCAGACCCACTCAAGGGCCAACTCCCCTTCGCATTCATTCAACCTCGGCCTGGTACTGAGTACCCGGATCCGTTGTCCGTAACACCAACCTCGCAGCTCTTCGATGAGGTTAATGCGCTGGTGCGTGAGCAAATCGGTGCCATCGCCTCGCTGGGCGGCATGATCCAGGGTCGGGGGATGATTCCCAAGACTCGTAGCGGAAAGACGCTCCGGCGAGTGCTACGGCAGTTAATTGAGCATGGTGTCGAGGGGCGATATGATGCGGCAGTGAGTGTGCCGCCGACTGTCGAGGATGCAGAGGTTGTCGAGGTTGCGAGGGGGAGGGTCAAAGAGTATTTTGAAAGGAAGATAAAGGCGAAGCTTTAGATTAATCTTAATTATAAGACGACGCAGTCCACGTGCTATGGAAACTAAACAATCTCGGATTGCATCTTATCTGATCGGAATGTAAGCAAAACTACAAGAACGTGAGCCTTATACAAACTACCAGTAAATAAGTAAATTGTTCAAGGTAGTCAAAAAACATTATATCCAGGAAAAAGTGCTAAGAGATAAAGCGCAGCATCGGCAAACATAAAAACCCGAAGGTCCATTATGCATTATCTTAATAGACAAGACATATACACCCAAGAAATTAAAAAAAATCCCATACCCAAGGCCATCAAACGCCTGGTATCCAGCGCGCGACACGACCTCCCATCCCACCCTCACAACCCCACACTCAGCAGATGCGTCGATCAAGCGAGCGAGACAAGTAACGCGAACACACACAGATCGAGTACTATCACAATTCCGTAAGCTCACGCTTACAGGAGGAGAGCGACGGCACCGAAGACGGCAGCGAGACCGGCACCAGCGCCAGCGACATTAGCGGCACCAGCGTTGTAGGCGGGCTGGGAGGTGGTGGCGGGGGAAGCACCGCTGCTGCCGGCAGAGGTACCGGGGACACCAGTGGCGGCGGCACCGCTGGGGACGTAGGGAGTCGAAGCCAGGGTAGCGGAGGCGGAGGCGCTGGGAGAGACGGAGACGACCGGGGTGGAGGGCAGAGGGGTAGAAGAAGAGCTAAAGAGGATGTTAGATTGCGCTTCCAATATCCAATTTCCTTGGCGTCGATCGGTGTTCGATCAGTGTTCCAGATTGATTGGGGGATGCTTACCACTTCTTGCACTCAACCACGGTGGAGGTGAGGAGAGGGCGAGTGACAGTGTAGTGACCACCGGTCATGGTGAGGTGTCCAGGCTAAGAGAACGTTAGATGGGATTTTCATTGAGTCGCGATCTAGTATAGACCGATGCGATCCACATATACGATCTTTCGGGCGCGATCACTGTGAAATGATGATCCGGGTGGAACTTACGGTGGAGATGCTGTAGGTGGTACCGCTGTGGACAATGGAGGTAGCCTCGGGGCAGTAGGTGGTGTACATGGTGACAGTCTCGGTGACAGCCTCAATAGCGGTGGCACCAGCGGCCAGGGCCAGAAGAGAAGTGATGGAGAAACGCATGTTGGAATGTGGAGTAGATTCGAGGAATGTTCCTGAAGTATTATGGTCTTGATAAAGAGTGTGAAAAAAGAATGTAATCGGCCAAGAAGGTCCGGGAGTGAATCAAGAGAGTGTGAATACTTGCAAAAGGAGAGGAGCAGGGGCGCGGGATCGTTTAATATAAGACCATGGTCGACTCAGGTACCCGTGCACTAGCGCCAAATCCACGAAAATTCGGACCCAAACTCTGTTCAGGACCAGCGAAAAGAACGAAAAAGGGGGGCGGCCTTGGGTCGTGGCAATTATGGGGAAATTAGGTCGACCAGGCAATGCTGCGTCAGAACCGGATGGAAATTAAGACTCCAATGGGCCCTGCAGGGGATGCACGCCTATCAGGGGCCAGGACGTGCTCCGAACACAACCCACAACAACTCACGGCATTCAAACCTGATGAGCACTAGTGGACTGGAGGATCATTGCTGTTTTAGTGGCTTTGAAGGCTTGGAAGATGATCTGGTCCGGTCGAAAAACAGTCTAGGCCAATGATTGACGGTTTATTGAAGACCAGAATAGATGTGCACTTACCAGCAGGAAACAGATTGGAGAACTGATACCCCTTAGTAACATACTCCTATACTCCGTAGATCTGACACGCCTTTCGCGTCATTTTGGGCCCTTTTTGGGGGGGGCCCGTTTGTGCCGAGTCTGGGAAATCATCTTACGCAAGCCCATTAAGTGGGGCTTGGATCGTTTTTCCCCAAATGAAAACGCATTTCAATTGGTTCCGGACCTGAGTCAATAGAACCAGCTAAACACATCGGGATCAAGGACGGTGTTCACGGGATTCTATGCGGGGGGTCATGAAACACCGAGGCAAGGGCCTACATCTGCATAACGTCGTCATAGCCGCATAGCCTTACATTGTAGCTCATGGCTTTATATACTACTGTGCACTGGAGATTTGAATTTTGGAATCATCCAAACAGAACACTTTCTTTGTTTTCCAAGGTTCCCCCATTTAATCTCTCTTATGATCCACTTTGATCCAAGCTTACGAGGCATTCGGCCTGGTTCAGGGAGAATTGCCGGCAACAGTGCTTTTTGCTATGAGGCAAAGAAACATAGATGTAGCCCTGGGCTAAGAGTTTAATTGTTTAGCTACTAGTCGAATAATTCTCATAAACAATATCTAGGAGCCGAGTCTGGGAGTGCCTCGGGATTGCGCATGTATAGGCTTTTCGTCTCAACGCTAGACTAGACAGCTGAGGCCATCTGAAATGACTCCAGAATGGTCCGACAATCGGGAACAATGGATTGGTTCATTAGGAAAACTTTTATGGCTAACACTCAATACCTCGACGTCATGTTTAGTATCATCTTTGGAGCACTTCGGTGGTGGTTTCTATTTCGTAGTCTGTTGGTATGGTCAAGTCCTGCCCTAAAGATATATATAACTAGGCACGCGTTCTAAATTATCAACCATGTGCTTAATTAGCCATGGCCTGGGGCGACCAATGACATAATGTACATAATTACAGTGCATTGGTTTTTGTTGTTAAATAGTCCAAAATGGCAATCTAAAAGAATGTCTTCCAAAATTATTGGATCATCGATTTGTATCTACTTAGATGATCTTAGGGTCACAATTCATCTGAAGTGCCTACAACCTTGGAGCTGCGAACAGATTCCGATCTGCCGACCGTAGAGATAGCCAAATCAGAGCACGTTGGAATAATAACAGAACCATGATACGTAGATAAGTAGATAAGAATGTAAGAATCAATCAACATGTATTCATCTATTCATTACTTGGCTAAATCAAAATACGAGCTATTCAGCAATAGCTCTACACAACAATGCCAATCGGATAGTATGATCCCTCATGGATGGTGATGGGGCGCGGGATCTCTCAGCAGCGCCCGTCCAGCACCGGCCCAGAAGGCCAACACCGACGAGTGCTGACACAGATAGAACGCCATCTCTTCATTTTGGTTTTAGTTGTGTGAAGAAGAAAAGAAGGGAGGATTCGATTCGGCAAAATAAAAAGGGACCCGCGGTGCACGGACCAGGCGGTGAGCTACAACGGGTCTAGTGTGGTTTTCCGCTTTCCGCGGGCAACGGGGAAGGTGCGACCGGCACTCCGCAGTATTAAAGGCTGCGGCTTCCCTATCACAACAATTGTGTCTACTTTTCCCATCGTCGCCATGTCTCTTGCTCGTTGTGGGCGTCTTGCTCGCCTTTCCCTCGGGAGCGTTCGTACCACCGCCGTCTCCCCTCGCGCCTTCGTCCCTAGAACCACCCCTCTCGTGCGGGGAGTATCCTCATTCAACCGAGATGCCCAGCAAAAGGTATAATCGAGTCCAATGGGTATTCATGCCATTGGGACAGCAAGGCTAACGCTCTATACAGCTTCTCTCGTCCTCCCTGCAGGACTCGGACCCCGCTATCTACAACATTCTGGAGAAGGTACGTCATTGCCTCGAGCTTTATACGAGCATTCACTGACACTGCATTTTAGGAAAAAAACCGCCAGAAGCACTTTATCAACTTGATTCCCTCTGAAAACTTCACATCACAAGCTGTTCTCGATGCCCTAGGCAGTGTGATGCAGAGTATGTAGAGACCGTACCCGGCCTCCGGATGAAGACAATCTCTAATTGCATATCAGACAAGTACTCCGAGGGATATCCAGGTGCCCGGTACTATGGTGGAAATGAGCACATTGATGCTTCCGAGCGTCTGTGCCAGCAGCGCGCGCTGGAAACCTTCCGTCTTAACCCGGAAGAGTGGGGTGTGAACGTGCAGCGTATGGTGCCACCCTGACTGTTATTGAACATGGACTGAGCAGCGCTAACATTATCACAGCCTTGTCCGGCTCGCCCGCTAACCTGTACGCATACTCGGCTTTGCTGAACACCCACGACCGCCTCATGGGTCTGGACCTGCCCCACGGCGGCCACCTGTCCCACGGTTACCAGACCCCGACCAAGAAGATTTCTGCCATCTCCAAATACTTCGAGACCCTGCCCTACCGCCTGGATGAGTCTACCGGCCTGATTGATTACGATGCACTGGAGAAGCAGGCTCAGCTGTACCGTCCCAAGCTGATTGTGGCCGGTGCCTCCGCGTACAGCCGTCTCGTCGACTACCCCCGCATGCGTGCGATCGCTGACTCCGTAGGCGCATACCTGTTGACTGACATGGCCCACATCTCCGGTCTTGTTGCGGCCGACGTGATGCCATCTCCATTCCCCTATTCCGACGTGGTGACCACCACCACCCACAAGTCTCTGCGCGGTCCCCGTGGTGCTATGATCTTCTACCGCAAGGGCCTGCGTCGTACTGACAAGAAGGGCAACAAGGAGATGTACGACCTGGAGAACCCTATCAATGCCTCCGTCTTCCCCGGCCACCAGGGTGGTCCTCACAACCACACTATCACCGCGCTGGCCGTGGCACTGAAGCAGGCTCAGTCTGCTGACTTCCAGGAGTACCAGAAGGCTGTGCTCGCCAACGCAAAGGCGCTGGCTGAGCGACTTGGCGAGTCTACCAGCAATGGTGGTCTTGGATACAACATTGTTTCCGGTGGTACCGACAACCATCTGATCCTGGTCGACCTGAAGAACCGTGGTGTCGATGGTGCCCGTGTCGAGCGGGTTCTGGAGTTGTGCGGTGTGGCCAGCAACAAGAACACCGTGCCCGGCGATAAGTCAGCCCTCAAGCCCGGTGGTCTGCGTATCGGTACTCCAGCCATGACCTCCCGTGGCTTCCAGCCTGAGGACTTCCGCCGGGTCGCTGACATTGTTGACCGCGTTGTCACCTTGACCCAGAAGCTGGACAAGGCTGCCCGTGAGCAAGCACAGTCTCGTGGAGCTAAGAACCCTGGTACTCTCAAGGCATTCTTTGAGTTCTTGGGCGAGGGCGAGGAGGTCTCAGAGATTGTATTGCTACGACAGGAGGTGGAGGATTGGGTTGGCACATTCAGCCTGCCTTGGGCCAAGGACCAGTAGATTTTTTTTTTTTTATCCCTTTTCCTTTTCATCATCTATGTATATTCCCCTATGACTCAACACGAATATGACTGATAAGACCATATAACTTTCAAATGAAACTGTAAACATGGCGGGATGTTGTTTGTCTCTATGCGACAAACTTCATCGCTGACGTAGTTGGGGAAGATAACCGATAAGCGCGGACCTTCTCCGACAAGGCTGCGGAGAGATAACGGAGTCTTGCCCGTGATTGTGTCCTTCACTTTCAAATCAATTCGGCCACTACAACCGTGACCATGAAGATCAGTCAGGTATGCCCAAGTGATCGTGCCAAAAAAAAAAAAAGAAAGTACAGGCTCTTAGTGAACCCTCCAGCTCTATCTTTATCCGATTAAATCCCTCCGACCAGCCTCTCTCGATGCGGCCGTCCTTACTTCCGTAGGTCTACAATTCGATCGTCGATTTATGCTTCTGAAGGTTGAAGCAGGCAAAGATGGCCCTGAAGCGACACTGAAGAACATGCACATTCCACATTTCCCGGAAATGGGACTTTTCCAGACTGCGGTAGAATTCCCCACTACCAAACATGACACCGGGAAAGTCATTGTGACATACAATCCTCCAACGCCTCAAGAAGTCTCAGATCCAAAGCCACGCGAGCCCAAGTACCTAGAGATTCCACTGCGCCCGATGTCGGTTAAGGGTAAAAAGAAACTCCAGGTCATGATGCACAAGAGCCCAACGACTGGATATGATATGGGTGCCGAATATAACGATTGGTTCAGCGAATGCTTCGGATTTCCAGTCATCCTAGCGTACCTGGGAAGTAACTCGAGAAAAGTCCTGGGTACAATGGCGCCGGAAAAACGAAATAAAACGCCCTGGCGGACGATCTGGTACGAAGCCGTGGCGCACATTTGGCGCAAAATTGTCCCATTGCTCCTTATCTGGCTCTTCATCCTCATCTGGGCGATCAATATTCCCATCGGCATGATGGCGAATGATGATTTGACTCCTCAAGTGGCTTTACCGGCTGCCGCCCTCATTATCACCAGCTGGGTATGGGGCACACATTGCCTGCTCGTTAGAATCCGCCAAACACGTATCAGCTTTGCCGACTGCGCCCCGTTTCTAGTTATCTCCCAGGCTTCGATCGATGATGTCTCTGCCCGACTCCCGGAGGGAGAGGAAATGGATCATACTAAGTTCCGGCCCAACATTGTTGTGTCAGGTGCTGATTCAGCTTTTGAAGAAGACTTTTGGACTGAGCTTGTCGTAGGGCCTACAAAGGCTCGTCTATTGCTGACGGGGAACTGTGTAAGATGTCAGAGTCTGAATGTCGATTATGAGACCGGAAGCATGGCTGAGGGTGAAACCGGCATGGTGCTGAAGAAGTTGATGAAAGATCGGCGGGTGGATCGAGGGGCTAAGTTCAGCCCTGTTTTTGGCCGGTATTCGTTCCTGCATTGGACGGGTCACGGGGATATAATTCGGGTAGGCGATGAGGTTGGGGTGGTGGCGCGTAGTAATGAGCGGACTGTTACCGGTATGGAGTCTGACTTCTTTGCTGTTTGGGTTTAGTTTGCTGACTTTCTTCAGATTGGCCTGGTCTCACCAATTAGTACTGAAACTTTACGAATACGCAAGTCAACCTTCAAGATTGGTCCTATATACAATCAAACTTAATTCTAGGGCTGAGAATAATACGGTCTTATTTCGTATTGTTGATGTGATGATTACGATAGAGAGCTATGGTGAGCAAGTACACACTACGTACTCAATAGTATTACTTCAAATTGCAAATAGTGCACCTTACTTATCTACCCAATATCCAATACTTGAAGTCTTCATGGCATCTCCACTGGAACCAATAGTGCAGCGCTTATCGGTACTTCCGGACATACACAGCCACAATTACGTCAGTTCAAAAACTCGCGAATACACCGCCACACGGTCACCTGATTTCTAAATTGCGGACTTGATCCATGGGTTAATGAGTTGCAAGTGGATTCAATTTCCAATAATAACCTATTGTTCATTTCCGACTTGAATTTATTCTGTTGGGTATTTGCTGTCGTCTTACAACTCTGCAAGACCAGGAACTTTGATCCGCATACTGTGGCTTGACTGGACTAAGCCCCCCAATCAATCGAACACCGCTGCCTGTTCGGAACCTGCTGGATCTTTCCTCATCCTGTCACATCTCAACTGAGAGCTGCACTAGATTACTCGTGTAACCAGTGTCACACTTTCCCTCCCACGCTCTGCACCCGACCGGTCAGGCGTCAGCTGTCCCGCGGCTTCGGTGCATAAGGCGCTACTAGACCCCGCCGGGGGTAAGTTGCCGCTGCAGGGCGAGAAAAAAAAAGCGATCTTTATCGCTTCACACAACAGTCGCAGTCGCCATGGATTCGGCCAATCTGCGTCGCAAAGATACCACGAAGGGTCCGCCGTTGCGGATTCTATCTCTGGGTAAGTGTGACGAAATTACCCCACGTACCCAAGCCCGAGGCTGACTGGATAACAGATGGAGGTGGTGTTCGCGGCTACTCCATGCTCATCTTACTACAGGAACTTATGTACCGCACCTACGTCGAATGTGAAGGCAAACCTCCTCGTCGCGACCAAATTCCCAAGCCCTGCGAGCATTTTGACTTGATTGTGGGAACCGGCACTGGTGGTTTGATTGCTCTCATGCTCGGACGTCTCCGCCTTGACCTCGAGACATGCAAGGAAGTCTACGTTCGCATGACCCGCAAAGTGTTTGAAACAGACAAGACCATTGCCGGTATTCCTTATCGATCAACATTATTCAAGGCGTCTAAATTGGAGGAGGCCATCCGAGAATGCGTACGGGAACACACCGTCTTTGAAACCGAGGGCAATGACTTGCCCAACAATTCCAACGCTCGCGCATCCATTGCGAGTCTCCCATATAGCCCGAACTCAGCGCCTCAGCGCTCTCTGAGTAGGGGAAGCTTCAGCACATCTGGCGCTTCATATTCCCAGACACAAACTTCAAGAGGGTCAACCTTCCTTAATGGGATGCGCTGGGGTAACCCGGAAGCCACACTCTACGATAACCGGGAACACCGGACCAAGACGTAAGGCTCCCCGTTACACCGTTTGAATCTCAATGCTAATCTAATCTACAGTGCGGTTACCGCGCTCTTCAAGGGCACCCCGCGCAACGGACCAGTAGTGTTCTTACGCTCCTACGATTCTCGCCGAGAACCCCCGCCGGAGTTTGACTGCACAATTTGGCAAGCCGGCCGTGCCACTTCAGCCACCGGGCTCGCCTTCAAGCCTATTCAGATCGGCCAACACGTCTTCATTGACGAAGGACCCGGCACCTTCAACCCGGCACCACAAGTGCTCGATGAGGCAATTGTGAATGAGTGGCCTGGTCGGGAGGTCGGTGTTTTTGTCAGCGTGGGGACGGGACGTCGACCGTCAGGCACCAATAGCCAGCAGCATGAATGGTGGGAAGATTTCTTTGGCGACTCGATAGGCACATTCGCCGAGGCGCGACGCCGACTGATGACCAAGATCGAGGGTTGTGAAGATATCCACCAAGAAATGCTGCGGGACACGCTTGCCAAGCGACATGTCAGCAAGGATAACTACTACCGTCTCAATGTTGAGGTTGGAGTGGGTGAGTTTGGCATGAACGAGTGGAACCGCCTTGCAGACATCAGCACCAATACACGACGATACTTGGCCAAGCCCGAAGTCAAGAAGATGATTTTGGACGCAGGCGTCAAGTTCGCCAAGATTGACCGCATGAACAAGCGCTTGGCGGACCACGCGGCGGCCGGTGGTGACCGCGATGACCTGTCATTTGACCTGGAGCGAGAGGAGATTTCTGTCTCAACGCATGTACCCACCTTCTCGGTGCCGCCACCTTCGAACGCCTTTGCTGTGGAACTACCTGCCGAGCCTGTCGAGATGTATCGGCCGCATGGATCACCACCTCTCCCCGCGGCCGTGACGGTGACGGCACCTCCGGAAGACAACTCACTTCCAGCCCATCCCACTCCTCACGATAGTTATCCCATTTCTCCGATCCGCCACTCGAGCGCCGAGCTCCCCTACCCAAGCAATAATAACGAGTACGGCCGACCATCCTCACAACCCTCTCCCCGTCATAGTGGCGAACAAACATTCCATGCCGGCATGCCACCACCACCAGTTCCACCCAAGACACCCATTCCGTACCCATCGCAGGATGATTCGGGAGGAGTACCAATGCCAGCTCCGCTATTCACACATACTCAAGCTCCGATGTCCGGCATGGTGCGCCCGCCTTACCCCGTTGACGAGGCACCACCCGTGGTGAACCGGCAACGCAAGCCCAGTTATCATGTGCGATGATTCCGTTGCATTCATTTTAGGCTCGTTCGTCGTTTCAGTCATTTTCTGTTTGTTTTCATTTTCTTTATGTGTTTCTCTACTGGATACCCTTCATATGAGACGGAGAAAGGCATGGGCCCGAGGGTCGGAAACACGGTGTCTCGGCGCAATAATCGGGAGAGATTTCTTATCAGGAGCTCCATCCCCGTTTTCTAGACGGGGGCAATGATGAATGATGACACTTATGATCAGGTGCTCTATTTCCTACTGAAGGTGTATATTAGGTACCGAGGTAGTAATGCGAATCACAGTACATAGACCCTGAGTTTAAAACAAGGTTATCTCGACAAAGTAGTAATGATCGTCTACTTGACGACTCTTCTATTTGACGCACAGGACCCTTCATACGTCTGGATTAGATCATCGTCGTAGTGTGGCACAGTCCGTCCAATGGCAGATCAAGTCTCAAATATAGCAACGTGCAATCACCGCTACCATGTGTCTGCGTGGTACCTGGCAGGTACCGCTGATCGTGCGGCAGGTGCGCCCCACTTGATGTACTGTGCAGGTCGCTGACACGATTACGGTTTCCCCACAAGGCCCAGCCATCTTTGTTTTGGCTCTTCCCCTATCTTCTCTCTAGCCCTTTTATTTCTCGATTATTTTATCTTTCTCCCTACAACCCCTGTACTGACAATCTCTTCACCTTCCTCGTTCTAAAGTTTCACTTCGACACTCGATTCCGGCGTCAACATTCCAACGCCGATCGCCCCCGCCTGTGGCTTCCAGAAACATTCCACGATCGCCTTTCCGAACCCAGTTCTCACCAAATTCCAAACGAGTTCGTCTCAACTGTTTATTGAATTCGAATCTGTTTCCAGGTTTTGGGGAGTTTATTGGATCAAAAACAACCAACAATTAGGCGAGACGCCGACTGCGCAAAGTGGCCTGAATAAAGTGTCTCAGTAGTCGCCGAGTTACGTCTTCGGACGACTCCGTCCTTGCGACTTTCCCACTGCTGGCCAGTGCTGTTCCTAAAACCCTCAACTCATTCACCCCTCTCACCATGGATGCCCATATATCATCGCACGAATCCCTCCTCGCTCGTGCTGACTCGAGCGGGCGCCCATCCTATTACAAGGCCATCGGCGTTTCTCTTGCGGTCGCATCGGGCGTCTTTATTGGTGTATCGTTCGTTTTGAAGAAGATTGGCCTTCTCAGGGCAAATGTCAAGTACAATGAAGAAGCTGGAGAGGGATATGGCTATCTGAAGAATGTCCTTTGGTGGACTGGCATGACCCTGATGATTATTGGCGAAATCTGCAACTTTGTTGCCTACGCTTTCGTCGACGCTATCCTGGTCACACCTCTAGGTGCCTTGTCCGTGGTGATTACTACGATCTTGTCTGCAATTTTTCTCAAGGAACGACTGAGCTTTGTGGGCAAAGTCGGCTGCTTCTCATGCATTGTTGGGTCAGTGGTGATTGCGATGAATGCGCCCGAGCAGTCCTCAGTCAGCAACATTCAAGAAATGCAACACTATGTTATCGCGCCTGGATTCTTGACGTACGCAGGTGTCATCATTGTCGGATCTATATTTACTGCCTTCTGGGCAGGTCCCCGTTATGGCAAGAAGAGCATGTTCGTCTACATCAGCATTTGCAGCATGGTTGGTGGTTTAAGTGTGGTAGCGACCCAAGGTCTTGGATCGGCGATTATAGCCTGGATCGGGGGAGAGCCACAGTATAAACAGTGGTTTCTCTGGGTTTTACTTGTCTTCGTTGTTTGCACATTGCTGACGGAGATTATCTTCTTGAATGTAAGTTTTTTTGTCGAGTGTCTTGTTTTCAAATACCTATACTGACAGGCATGCAGAAAGCGCTGAACATTTTCAATGCAGCCCTCGTCACGCCGACCTACTATGTCATGTTTACCAGTGCCACGATTGTAACCTCTGCCATCCTGTTCCAAGGATTCAAGGGTACTGCCACGGAAATCGCAACTGTGATTATGGGATTCTTGCAGATTTGCACCGGTGTCGTCCTTCTCCAGATATCGAAATCAGCCAAGGATGTTCCCGACGCTGCCGTCTTCAAGGGTGACTTGGACCAAATTCGTGAGGTTGTCACCCAGGAGGAGCCAGAGTCGGAGCCCAGGGCAGACTCTATCCGCGGTGCAGCCTCTATCATTCGCCGCATCTCGACTGCTCGTCGCACCATGGAGTCCGATGAGGCTCGGCGCTTCTTCCACGATAAACATGAGGATACCCTCAAACCTCCGGGTGAAAACGAAATCATTGAATGGGACGGCCTCCGCCGGCGGAAAACTGTCCTCGGAGAAGGACCTACGATGTCTCGTACATCCACCCCTCGATCACCCTCAATCAAGCAACAATTCCCACCGCTCGGCATGTCCCACTTCCCTGATCCAGAGGATGAAGATGAAAGACCAACCACCAAGCAAAGCGGACATTCATTCCTCTCTGACACTCGGTCCCGAATGTCAAGTCTGCGTCACAATCAGCAGTGGATTCCATTGAAGGAACAGGACGAAAAGAATGCCGGGCTACAGGGTACTCCAGGGACTCGGGATGGCGACGTGATTGACACGGAATACCATGGTGCTGCGGCCACCCGCTTTGGCCGTGAGCGCAGCGACACCCCTCGATCCATTGCCTGGGCTGATGAGAAAGTCGATGAACCGAGTCTTGAGCCTCCAGTAAACACCGCGCGCCGTCAATTCTCCTTCAACAGCATGCTGAGCCGCATGAAACCACATCGTGATCCATCCCCCAAGCGCCCTGCCAGTCCACCCCGTGGTATTCTTCGTCGGACCACAAACTCAGGGACGGAAGAAGAACGACTGGGTCTTGTGAAGGGTGATTCTCGAACACAGCAGCCCGAGGAGAGTCTTGGTGAGAAGTTGGAGCGCTGGTCGAGCAGCGAGTCGGATGCCAATGAAGTCCAACCCCAACCATTACGCACCAGCCGCCCTCATGGAGACTCTGTGTCGTCCATGTCGACAGCAGCCTTCCCGCCGTACGAAGACCATCATCATGCACTTTACTCTTCACCAGGTGCTTCTGCGTCGAATCCTTACTATCTTCCGCCGGTCCGACAAGCAGCGTCGCCAGAGCATGTCGAGGAGTATGATGGCTGGCAGCTACCGCCCTCCAGCGCTCGCGACCGCAATCGCACACGGACAAATTCCTCATCTCATGGCCGCGCTCCACCACCATCTCAGTCCTCCTTCTCTACGCACCGCCGTCCCAACCCTCTTCCACCTTTGCCCGATGAGACTGCTATGGGTGTGAGATCTGTCTCGTCTGACTCGTCCGATATGGGGGTTGCTTCCATAACCTCGTCTACAGAAGCTCAAGACACCGAGAACACTCGCCCTATTCGCGTGTCTCGCCAAAACAGTGGCTGGCGTCGGCATATGTCTGAGCTGAGCAGTCATGACGGCGAGCCACCAGAGGACAGAACGGACGGTCGGGGTGGCGCATTTGTCTGATACTTGATTTAGGGCTGGATGCCATCTATATCTGTTCTTTGTACTGCATTTCAAGGCGTTTACTGGATTTTATGAACATGTGGTATCAATTGATACTAGGATTAGTCCCAACACACCATGTATGAATATGAATGTCATGATAGATGACGATAATGCATTATGATTGAAAATTATATTCGAAACTTCCACGTCTAATTTAGTGTGTAGTTTGGTCATGGATATAATCTTTTCAGTAAAACGAGCTTTCCGGCAACCATATGAATGAAAGGGTATCTTGAGCTTATCCAACGCCATCGGTACACTGCAGAAAGCCACCCAACGCTATGCCATGCAATGTCATATGCAACGCCGTGCCGAATGCAATGCACGAAAAAAAAAAAAAAAAAAAAACAAGCAAAACATAAGAATGTGTCACAGTAACTCTTGCAGCACGGTTAAGTACGGCCAAAAATCCCAGCAATACTCTGCTGTTTCTTCGGTGCAACATTCAAAACGGCAAACCGAGACTCAGCAAGCCGTTTTCCAGCATTAATGCTTTCGAGAACCCTAGTATAATTAGATCAGTAATAATCCCCAAAGTCATCCACAAATCGTATAGACCATAGGTCTGCTGATCTATCAACCCCATAAAATGCAAAGTAGGTATTGAGTACATACCATTCCACACCAACCACCCTAACTCCCTTCCACCCACCCCTCGCAATCTCCTGCTGAAGTTTCCTAGCCGCAAGGCCCCCTCCGGCACCAAAAGTAGTCTCGTTCAATGTCGCATTTGGCTGTCCGATAATCACATGCGAGACAGTCTTCCGCGCCATGTGAATGGAGATCTGAGCGCCGTGATCGACAAGCAGACGTTTCAATCTGTGGTCAGAAATTAACGGGAGGGTCGAGCCGTTGATAAAGACCGTCGTGCCGACGAATATATTGGACGGTTTGGTAGATGGATCTGCAGATGGACGCGTGGGTATGTTGATCACCGACTTCGAGACTGCACGATCACCCGGGCCCATGGATGGCGCATGGCTTATAACTTTCTGTTTTTTCTCAATTGTCCGTATCTCGTCACCGGAACTCCGTTTGCCCACTCCCATGAAACTGCGGATGTCTCTAACGCCTAACTGTGAGCGCTTGGCTTCTGCGTCGCTGACCCATCTCCACTCCCCAGCACCATTGATGGATGTATCCTTCTTATCTAGCTGATCGTGTTCTTGATCATGCGATCCACATGTCCCATCGAATGCGCGCGACCGCGACGAGGGAACATGATCTTCCTCGCGTAGACAATCTCCGCTCCGAAACTGTCGCTCTAGTTTTAAGGCCCGGGTATCGCGCCATGTAGCTGTTCCGGCGTAGCCGGCTCGGTGTCTCTGGTGACCGGTTGAGGAGGAGTTCCAGGAGTCGAATTTTTTGCAATTCTGCGGGGAAGGGGGTCGTTTGCGGGGGAATATTGTATCGGGCATGACGTGGTTGAGTCGCGAGGGGTTTGAAGGTGTACTTTCGTGTTTGGGGAAGTGAGGTTTCGTGGGGATGTGAGGGGCGGAAGGGATATTGTTGACATGAGATGAGGATTGTCGTTGGAGATCTTCCAAGGTTCATTGTTGGCCGTTGGCCCGGGCGGAGGTGATCCATGGTTCATCCAGTGTTTGGGTTTTGCTACTTTTGGATAGGGTATGCGGTGTCACGTGGGACGTGGATGCCGTGCACAGTTACTTGGTCAGTGCTTATCTGATTTATTGGTCTTAATGAGATTATCTGATTCTGCGTAAGCTACTATAGGTACTCAAGATTTATCCAAGGCGCAGTTGTGTTGGTGAAGTGGTTGCTGGTAATCGATCGACAGGCAATATATATTGTGAGAAATGCATATGCATATGTATGATCTGGGGAGCGGAGAATAGACAGGACGGAGACAGAATTTCAACATTAGAAGGCCCCGAAGCTTGAATTGAATTCGAAAAGATTAAAATCAACAAGCGTGAACAATTTTATGAAGAAGCCGAGGTATGTGGAAGTATTTGACACACTCGCTGAAACAGCTCTCAAATGCTTGATTGAGAGGTTCCCCATGAGATCCACGCCAATCAACTTGGAACAGCGTGACCAAACCTATCACTTGCGCATGGGGCAATGCACACCACTAATGTTTCAAGTACAGTGACAGCTATCTAATGGCAGGTGTCATATGCTACTCTAACCTCACCAACATAACCTCGGAACGATATACCACGTGCATGCATTCTGTACCACTGATCTCAGGTCACATGCCCCTGAGATACAGCATAAGGCTGGGATGCATTCCATAGATTGGCTTGTATATCCAAAGTAAACAGAGTGTAGTCCTTGAGCAATGGCCACATGCCACATGGCTTAAATAGGCAGATAGAGACTTGGACGTGTTCTACGGGCTACATTCCATGCCGGTCAGATCTATGCTAAGTGCAGCCTTCGATATTGGCGCCAACACAGGGACCATGCAAACCTTGCTACTATACGAGGACGGACTCATCTAACATCACCTTCCAGAAGCCTGCTGCAATCCGCGCGACTCCCACTGCATTCTGTCCGTACGTGACTGGCCCCGTGTGGCACTGGCACCTACCCGCTGTGCGTAGATAGATGCATTATCTTAAGAAGAAAAAAAAAGAAACTTAGCAGAAAAACGTGGGGATGACCGGACTACCCATCAGGAGCATATCGCATGTCCGAGCCCACCTACACCCAGCCCATCCCAGCCCATCCCAGCATATCCCAGCATCTACTTTCTACGGGGGCCTAGAAATCTCGAAATCGGTCCAGGCACCTGGGCACGCCCACATGAAAACTCAATGCGACGTGCTTTCAAGGGATGGGATGGCGGGGAAGCGAAACACGACCGCCAGTTCATCCAAGCCACGACATTATCCCTAGATAGCGAGATAGCGAGACATTCACCAGTTGAAAGTCAGATCGAAGCAGCGGTGAGTCTGCATCCCCAGCATCGCACCCCAGACTGCCAGAGACCTGCAGGATGGCATGCTTCGAGAATGTGACGATTCCCCCCCAAAGTCAGTGCAGAGTCGAGAGACATGCACATTCTTCAAGCGGTGTATGAAGAGGGGAGTTGACTTTGAACTAATTTATTTTTGTACTTGCAGTAATGTCGTACATACATCTTATCGTGCTGACGTCGTGCCGATCATTGCTCTTTCTCCCACCGAAGTACTCCGTACTCCGTAAAAAACCCCGGGATCCCACCAAACATGACGGGAACATGGCAATAACCACCGGCACCCGATGGGTATTTCCACGACGTTGATTTTCCTTCTCCTTCTGTTATGGTGGAAAAAGTGGGAAATTGGCATTTGATCCAGAGTCAACGGTGAGCTCCACACCAAAACAAGGACCTGTGCCACGTCTGCACGCAAGGGGGGAAAAGAGCAACTGGCGGTGAATCCACCATGATCTAGCCCGCTACGTGGTGATGTCGACGGCCAGTCATTGTCCGGTCGGATCGTCGATCGGCGGGCGGTTGCAGCAACAGAGGGGCTGACGACCAATCAGCGGCCGGATGAGTCCCCACCTTGTGGTTAGTGTCGTTACACCTTTTGGCCCGGGCCACCCTAGCGAAATGGTTCGGAGGAATGGCCCAACATGGGTTGGTCCACGATTATTCTGAACGTGCAGTCGATCTCACGGGACGCAATGCGAGGTTAAATCAGGTTGCACGGGCTCAAGGACGTGGTGCGTTATTATTCGTGTAAGGCGATTGGAAGAAATCTAGACTTGACCGGCGACTCGATACGGGGGTTGCCAAATGACGGAGTCCCCCATCACCTGTACAACACATCGCAGCCCATCAGGGGACATCCCTGCTCCTTCTGTCCCACCTCAGAAAGGCCCTAAGTCGACCAGAGGGCCGATCCCGGACACCTTCTCAGGGCACTATAGCAGTCTAGCACTCATCCGTCCGGACCACCACCGGTTGACGATAGCTTTAAAGATCCCCCCTGGTGAAACCTGTCATAGCAATCTGCACGGACTGGCTGCAGGGTAACTCGTCGCTGCAAGGTACGGGACGAACCCGTCGATCGATACAGTATAATGGTCACAATAAAACTAAGTGGAGGTGCGCCCCGAGCCGGTAACTGCGAGATGCTCCCGGTGCTATCATTATCCGATGGTTCCACGAAAGATCGTCACGGCCATTAGTCTCCTTACGTGAATTTGAATTAACGGTGGTTCGGGGAAGATGATACATCACAAGGCCTTCATTTCAGGCGAGTGGAGACCAGAGGAGATGGTCATAGCTTTTTTGATTACTTCCGAAAGCCCCGATCCGCTCGACTAGCGCGGAAGTGGAGGCAGGAAAAAGAAAAAGAACACAGAAAAAGAAAACAGAGATGAAGGAATGGCGCAAAAGAGGGGGTGGGAGGGTCGTCGCTATTGGAAGGAATTATTCAATTAATATATTCGGTCTGAAGTGGGTTAGGGATTAACTCTGGGGTCTACATGTACGCTGCGCAGCGGGTATCGGGCCGTCGATAGCAGGGATCTGGGCCCTTTTTATGGAGTTGAGAGAACAAGTGGTACCTGCTTTTTCCGACTCCTCCACTTCTGCGCAAGAACTCCGTCTACGTTTCTGATTTCCGCGCCCCGTTTCTTCCCGAGTTTCCCCCGGCCCCCCTCCCCAACGCCACTAATAATCACTGTAACTCAGTGGGGGCGAATGATACAGTCAGCTAATTTATTTGCAATGAGAAAAAGGAAATACGCAAAAACGAAAAAAAGGAGATCCAGGGCCAAGGAAAAGGGGAATCCTGATAGCCGAAAAAAGGGGCATGAACGTAATACGCATGGAATTAAAGGAATTGGAAACATGGATCCAGTACGGGGAAATCCCACATCCCCCGGGGTTGACATCTGTCAACCCGCTCTACCGTGGAAGGCCCTCCTCTACTGAAGATCGATGCAAGGGATGAACACAACTGGCGGTGTATAGCTTTGTCCTGGAGACTCCCCTTGCTGGGCTCTAGAATATCGTCACGGGGCATTGCAATCCGGACGTAGGACTGAACAGGGATGGAAGAGAGAACAGACCCTTGATCGACTCAAGCCACCCGTGTTTCGTGGTGCTCTCTGAACCACTGATTCCCGCTCTTTTTTTCTTTTCTTTTTTCGATTTATTAGTGACATATTATTATTATCGTGGTATTGATAATTTCTTTTTCGAATTTCTTTTTTTGCCAGTGTGACGCGCCCAACTCCACCGTTACTCACGGGCCGCCTTATCGCGCGATGATTTATTCCCAACGATCGACGGGCCGCTGAAGACCCACGTCCGTGTCTCTCACCTTGCAGAGCATCTCTCGCGCGGTAGTTTCTCGGGGAGATCTCAGCGTGAGAAGGGAGACAGGAGATGGAGAAGCAGAATCCACTCCAATCGTAGCGCCATCGTAAGAGACGGTAGAAATGGATTGCAGTTTCATCTAGGGCATGTCAATAGTTAAGCGCTGTTCTGAAACTCGGGTAATCGACCGTGCTTCTGCAGCCGCAAAATGTCTTGCACGGGGAAAAGAGGGGAAGACCTCCGTCGATCGGAGTCGAGACTACCATCCTCATTGTGTGCCCTCTAGCACCTCTAGTCAAATCGCCGATTCCATGGATCTCGTTGGTGGGCCCGGGAGTCAACCATGGAATCAATAATGGCATTCAATATGATACCCAATTTGTCCGTTGCCCGCGGGTTATTGTATAGGAAGCCGAACTATCGTAGTCAATGTGATGTATAGTGCGTGGCAGTACCTAGCGGGGACGATCAGCGCGGTGCTTGTCACACAGACCAGGATCCTCAGCTCAGTGGATCCGTTTCTTGGTTTTGGTGTGTGGATTGGAGCTTTGGGGGGTTTTCGGATTTTTTCTTTTTTCCCTTTTTTCTCGGTTTCTGGCCCAGTCCTCTCATGTCCCTGCATTTTCTATTTTGTATTGTAATTAACGGATTTTCACTAGTTACCGTCCTTGCGTGGTGGCGGTTGACTCGATCGCACCTCCACTTTCTGGTCCCACACGGTGATTCGATGCTATTTCGGTTGAGAAAAAAAGAGACAAAAGGTGGAAAAGGTGGCCGGGTTTTCTGAACATTCTTCTCTTCTTTCCCAGCCTTCTTAGTCATCTCCTGCGGCTCAGCGTATCCCTTCTCCAAACGGTGTGCGTTTGCATATCTCCCTTTCTAAGCATCTCCACTTTGGACTACTTCTTGCATGCTGCCTGCACTGCTTCTGCTCTTCATGTTTTGTCACGATTAATGTTTGATGACTGCTCTTTGCCCTTAACCCTGGCGCATCTACTCCTCGAGCTCTCCATTGTTGCGTGATTGCGACCATTGCGACAGCTGAGCCATTTCCCCTCCCATTTCCAGCGCTGAAGACAAGGAAGTTTACTTTGCGCCCTGTGCCCCGGATTACCGTGCAGACCAAAAAAGCCCATTTCTTTCAAAAGGACAGGAAAGAAAGGAAAACCAAACAAAACAAAAGAATCGGGGGTTTTTTTTACTCTCCTAAAGCTCGTCGGACTAGAGATTACATTCCTCAGCCCGTCGTCTAACGTCTTCCCCTCCCCCTGCCTACTCCTCTCCAGTGTTCCCCCGTGAAACCGAAAAGCTGGAGCTGCCGTCGATTTCGCAGGTCCACACCCGCGGTCCTGCTGACATCCCCTGGTACAACCACCACGCGGCCGAAAGACCGCTGTTGTCGGGCGATAAGCTACCCGCCCTCAGCTTGCCGACGGCTCCCCAAGCCCCATCTCGTGGTTATCAAGACGCCAGCGTGAGCGGTAGCGCTCGTACCAGTCTATCCGAGGCGTCGGCCGTCCACGATCCCCGCAGTCCACCCGCCGATCTAGCTACACAGGGTCGCCTGTCGCTGGATTCGGAGTATTCCATCGTGCCCAACGAGGCCTACTACCCCAGCCCGACCTCGCTCGGCAGCATGAACCAAGGCCCACCCTACATGGACGTGCATTCCCATATGTCTTCCGCGCAATCATATCAGTCGCAGGCGGCCACTGCGGGTGCGATGTCGCATTATCCTTATCATCAACAACCGCCGGTCTTGCAGCCCGTTTCCAATTATAACCCGTCGTACCCGCAATATGGATATGCCAATGGGGTCACTTCACCGCCGACCGGACATCCCCCACCAACAAGCTCGATGGGCGGTCAGATGGCACCCCAGATTTTGCCTCTACCAGGTGGTGAGTATTTTCATACATGGGGCGTGAGATGAGGGGGGAAAATTTCAGGAGAATTAAAAAAAGAAAGCTAACGATAATATAGTAGGCAATCACCAAGTTCCCAGTGGATACGGCAACAGCACCGGAGCACCACTGCAGGGCTATGTGTATGATACAACCGGCCAAGTCGCTCCCCCAGGGGCGAAGCCACGCGTCACTGCGACTCTTTGGGAAGATGAGGGTAGCCTTTGCTATCAGGTGGAGGCGAAGGGAGTCTGCGTTGCGCGAAGAGAGGGTGAGTAAAAACAAGGGCAATTGATTTTCATGGTCAATCTAACACGATCAACAGACAACCACATGATCAACGGCACCAAACTATTGAACGTCGCTGGAATGACTCGTGGTCGTCGCGATGGGATCCTGAAAAGTGAAAAGTTGCGCCACGTGGTGAAGATTGGCCCCATGCATTTGAAGGGTGTCTGGTATGTGCAACCCCCGAACCGCGGAACCCCTAGCGTCCAACTGACAGTTTAATCAGGATTCCATTTGAGCGAGCGTTGGAATTTGCCAACAAGGAGAAGATCACTGACCTTTTGTACCCATTGTTTGTGCACAACATCGGCGGCCTGCTGTACCACCCAGCCAATCAAAACCGAACAAACATGGTCGTGCAAGAATCCCAGCGACAAAGGATGGAAGGTCCTCCCGCTGGGCCTCAGCGCACCCCAACGGCGCCGCAACCCTCGACCTTGCATCACCATGCGATGCAGACCCCCATGTCTTCTCAAATGTCACAACCGTCTTCCATGGGCCGTCCCGGGATGGATCGAGCCTTTCCCACTCCTCCAGCCAGTGCATCCAGCCTGATGGGTGTGACGAACCAAGGGAGCTCGTACGAATGGGGTGGCCAGGCCATGAACTCGGGAGTGCCGCACTCTCAGCCACTTTCGATTGACACGACATTGAGCCACCAGCAGCGTTCCTTGCCAACCACGCCGGCTACCACTCCCCCGGGTAACAACATGCAAGCCATGCCACCCTACCAGGGACAGTCTGGCTACGATAGTTCCAAGCCCTACTACACCGCTCCGCCTCAGTCTCACTCGCAGTACGCTCCGCACACACCAATGACCCAGTCCGGTCTGCCCCAGTATTCGCAATCTCTCCCGGCCGTCAATTATCTGAAGAGTGAAATGGCTCCTCCGACCGGTCGCGCCCCAGGTGCCCCTGAGACGGAAACTCCGGAGTTGAAGTCTGAACGGTACTCGCAGAACAACGGTCCCGAGGAATCGGTGCCACCGCACGAGCCCGAGTACCTGCAGGACCAGGGGTCCGCTTATGGTACCAATCGCGGATCGTACACGTACTCTACCAACCCATCAGTCGGATCTCTTACAGGAGAACACCAGCAACTGACTCCCGAAATGACCGGGTCGCCACAGCAGAACGGTTCGGGCCGCATGACCCCCCGTACTAGCGTGAGCGGACCTCCGCCACACTGGACTTCCGGGTACAACACTCCCCCGCGTCCCTCGGCAGCTACCACCCTCTACAACGCCGTTAGTGACACCCGTGGTACCCCTGCCAACGGCGTCTCCGATCCTTACTCCATGGCCACCATGAACGGATCTCTGGGAGGCTCGGGCGGCAAGCGGATGCGTGAGGACGACGAGGTGGCCCGCCCCGAGAGTGGTGATGGGTATGAAACCAAGCGTCGCAAGACTATCACCGATACCACTCTGGGTGGTCCTGTCGGTGGTGCCCCTATCTTGCAGCCCATGAAGACTGCTGTCATGGCTGGACGTCGTCGCTGAAACAAAAAAACATCAACAACCCCTCAGCCGCCCTATTGCTTGTCGTCTCTTTGTCATGTGTTTTAACAACACACTTTTCTCTGCGCTGGCTGGAGTTTTTTTTTTTTTTTTTTTTTCTGGGGATTTGCTGATAGACTGTGGTGCTTCATGGATAACCGCAGACTTGGGACATTCACGATTTGATTTTCTTAGCACACCCACTCGGGAAGTTCTCTGCCACGACCGAGAAAGTGGTTCTCCATACCATTCTCACCACGAATCCTTTGGGGGCATGCATTTTTATTTTGGATTTTGGGTTATTTTCACTTGACCTCCCTGGTTGTATCTCGGGTTTGACGAATCTTCTCTTCAACTCTGGTTGAAAGTCCTTTTTATTCTGCAGACTGATGACACGGGAAACGGAGAATGATGCTTTGCATGGGCCTTCTACAAACCCACCTTGATGACTATGATGACACGAATCTCCTGTAACGAATCTTTTATGTGTGCGATCTTTCCTACATCGCCTTTTGATTTACTTTCTCGTTTAAGTGCGTCATGCTTTTGGGCCTTTCAGTTTTTTCTCTTTTGGGCAGAAAATGGTCTTCTTTCCTGGCATCCGTGGGTTCATCTTACCCTCCATGGTTATGTTTTAGAGAGACGATATGATGGTAATGAATGTTCATGAACTCAGCTGATTTCGAGTTGCTTCTACCTTTGGGCGATACATTGTTTCTGGTTAAAATTCTTAAATCGAGCCTAATGAATGATTATACGGCTTGAATGGTGCTTTCTACTCGGGTACTCCCCCATCTTCGATGTTCAACCACAGAAACTTTTTTCAATGCGCACTATAAACCACACTGTCCATCTATTCTAGGTCTATAGAAGCATTCAAAACGGCCGTCATATTTACCATCATAATATCGGCCCGGTCATTAACGTCACTGCTCCAAAAAATTGCCATGAACCGGTGTCATAATCTCATACCCAAACCTCCAACCCTCCAACCCAAGAACCAAGGACATGCCAAACCATTGAATATGTACCTGATGATCATTGTAGAAGCAAACCGGCCAACCAGCAAAGAAAGATAGAAGTATAAAAGAAAAAGAGAGCAAAGAAGGTCTAGCGTTTGCCAGCCTGCGCAAAGATCTGCTGCCAGATCTCTAACCACTGCTGTTGCTTATAAGATAGCGGACGATGCGGGTTCTTAAACGTGGTAGCAAGAAGGTCCCTCAGACGCGCATTAAGGAATTTAAGCGCAAGCATGGATTTCCAGTCGCGAACCGCGAACCGAATTCTGTTTGCATCAATGGAGATAACACCCGAGTACAACTAGATAAGCGCGTCAGTTGGATCCAATTATCAAATTAGATGAAAGGGAGATGTTACCTTGAACTCGGCCTCACCACAGAGCAGGGCAATTGCGAAATCGTCCACAGCACTAGTCTCGTGCGCGTTCAAGTTTCGGTTACGAGCCTGCATAATGTGGTAATACGAAAGCCACTTGATAGCGTAATCGGCGCGCTTATTCACAGAGGTAGGATGCAACGTGACGGTTTGGTTGTTTGAGACATTGCGCCATCCTTTACCCTCACGGGTGATGAGCTTAGGGTAGAAACTCCAGGCGACGACGGAGTTTATGACAACGTCGTTCGTGCTGTTGATGTCGTGTTCTTCCGGGATTGTGAAGAACTGACGGTTTCGGTTACCCGATCGGGCTCTGTAGGCTGTTAGATAGACTGTAAGAGTTGAGATCCAGGGGCTGAAGATTACCTGTTCAGCGCAGACTTCTGCGACGGATCTAGCGTCAGTAGACCGGCATCGGCAATTGATACGACGAGTTGCATCTTAACATCCTCGATACCCAGAAGAGTCTGTGGGTTGAGGAAGTTCTTCCGGCAGAATGAAAACTCGTTTGAGCCGGGTGTGCTTCGTGAGCGCTTCCAGCCACAGTAGGCATTGTATACAGTCAACAGGTCCGAGTCACCTAAAAGAAAGTTAGAAGGTTATCTATGGCGGCAGATGTTGTGAATGATGCAATTCACCTCTTTGGAACGAGCTTCGTGCTGCGTCACGCTGCGAGTTCGAACCCATAGTATTCACAAACGGTGATTTGGAGGAAAGAATGGCAGCAATGCTGACAGCAGCATCCAGACACTTGAAGAATGCACCGTGAATAATCAGTTTTCCGAGGAACACATCTAGCGGCAATTTTGCCAGCTGGCTTCCCAAAGGTGTAAGACTTTCGTTACTGGTGAGGGCTTTCACTTCCTTGAGTGAGTCAATAGCACGTCGGATGTTCTTGGAGGACGGTGGGTCTAGAGCTTCCAGGAGAGTTTGCTCTACCTCGCCCAATTTACAGATTTTGACACGCAGGACCAAGTCTTGCAGAGAAAGTCGGAGCATTTCTGGAGTTTGTTGCCCAGCAAGCTAAAGAGATTCGTTAGTGGTCTAGTTGGGAGTAGGAAGCTTTGCGTTGACTCACCTGTTTGTCATGGCGGTGCTTGGTAAAGAGGTGGAAGCAGATACCCTCCTGAACACGACCTGCTCGACCACGTCTCTGCTTAGCATTGGCACGGGAAATGAACGACTCGACAAGTCGAGAGAGCTGCCTTCTTTCGTCGAACCTGCAATAGCATATTAGCATCAATCTAGTTCCGAGCATGCTGCGAGACAAACCGCATCATCTTCTCCTTTCCTGTATCAACAACTGCAGTGATGTCTGGAATAGTGATACCAGTCTCTGCGATGTTGGTGGCAATGACAATCTTCCTCATGCCTGGAGGGGGCACGTTAAAGGCCTTTTCTTGATCTTCACTGGCGATCGAGGAATGGAGTGCATGAACGATCCATCCCTTTTGGAAAGTGGGCTCGGCGAGAAGCTCGTCATTGAGACGACGAATCTCTGCCAGACCAGGCATGAAGACCAAAATTGCTTTACTGTAGCGGTCCATCTCCGGGGCAGTAGCGATTTTGAGAAGCAGTCTCTTGATCAACTGATAATCCATCCGGTACTCGTCAAACTTGAGCACGGTCTCCCGCGTTTGTTTAGAGTATCCATCCAGACTGGACTGTAAGCCTCCGGTATCGCTGTTGGAATCTTCGGCCTCATCATTATCCTCGTCTGGGACAATGTTTGCCTCATCTTCAGATAACCGATAGTTGGTCAACTCAACTGCATCCTCCAGATACTTCATTTCCACGGGGAAAGTGCGTCCAGGAATGTTGAGAACGGGTACACCGCCGAGATAGGTAGAGAAACGTTGTGCTTCGAGAGTAGCGGACATCAGAATGAGTTTGAGGTCAGGTCGCTTCAGCATCAACCTGCGAAGAACAACCAACAAGAAGTCACTGTCAATTGTACGCTCGTGAACCTCGTCTAGAACAACGTGAGTGATGTCCTGGAAATCATCCGGTCGCTCCAGCATGCGCACAACAACACCGGTGGTTCTAGTCAAGTCAGCTCGGGTTCAGGGGCACAAAAATTGATTGAAAAGAAAGCATAACGTACGCATAGACAAGTCGAGTGGACGAGCTGATCTTGCTCTCCAGCCTAACCGCGAAACCGACAAGGGATCGGATCGTCCCCACATCATTCTTGCTCTCGCCTAGTTCTTCACTGACTCGACGAGCAAGCGAGATCGCTGAAATCCGGCGGGGCTCCGTCACATAAACTTTACACGGGCGGCCTTGGAGCATTTCATGTTCCAGGATATAAGATGGGATCTGCGTACTCTTTCCACTTCCAGTCTCGCTGCAGATAATGATAACTCGATGTGTGTCCAGAGTGGTTAAAATATCGTCCTTGAAGTTCCAAATTGGAAGGTTCATTCGGCCAGGCATCATCTTGTGGAACGATGGAGCGGATGCCTTCGCGTGCCATGCCTCTCTTAATCGCTCGTCTTCACCGAGATAATTGTTCTCCCGAGCCGTGCCTCTCATGGGGCTAGCCGACTTGACGCCATTTCCGTTTCTTTTCCGGAAATTGTCCAAGAGTACAACGTCATCCTCAAAGGTGCCTTGATTTTCCTGCACAAGGAGCTTCAAATTCTTGACTGTGGATTTGTCCACTTCATCCTCCTGTGTCTTCTTCAGAGTTGAGAACTCAGTCCAAAGATCCCTCCAGACTGTCGGTATCCGCAGATAGGCCTTACCCTCTTTGGAACTTTGAGGGAAAAGGATGAATAGTGCAAGAGTCGAAACGTATCCCTCTGCTTGCTGGGGATCCGGCGTCGCAAGAGAGTCCATCGAAACAAAAGTTGCGTTTGAATTCGACTTGTGCGTGACCGACTCCACCGCCAACGGGAAAGGAGGATCTTGCGGTTTAGACCAACGAACCTCAACGGCCTTTCTGTTGTGATGACCAGATGAAGAATAATCTTGGTAGACTACCTTGCATGACGAATCTCTAGCTTTGCAAGTTTCTTCCAAGACTCGTCGGGGACTCAAGCCCGTGGATTTCCCAAAGTCTCGAAGCGTAATCTTGGCTCCACTCTCAGGCAGTGGAAGACCCAATATCGATCCCGAGTTTTCAGCTTCGGTCTGGAACATGCCCCCCAGCAGGCCATCCGCCTCATCCATCTCTTCGAGTGATGGAACAGTCAGATTGGGATCTTCAGGCTCCGGTTCCGGTTCTTGGCTCTCCGTGTTGTCCTCTTTCTTCTTCTCTGCTGGTCGTCGTAGAAAGGCTGCGTCCTTCCTGAGATCATCTAGCTTGTCCTGCCAGATATACTCGGCTTCTCGGCGCTCGAAGAGAACATCGCGTTCAATTTTAGCAATCTTGCGTTGCAACTTGGCTACCTCAGGATCGTTTGACTGATTGGGCGCGGCTCCACGGCCCTTTTTGCCTTTCCCTGGACGATCAAACAATTCTGGTTGAAGACCGTAGAGTTTCGTCTGGAAATCCAACCATTCTTCAACCATGGAATCAGGATCGATTGAGCTATCCGAGTCATATGATATAGGAGGTGCAACCTTTGCAGCCTTCCATTCTGCTTTTGGCTTTTCCTGTTTGT